CCTCATTTTCCTCTTATTCCTGGAAAATTTTCAAAATTTTCTCTTTTCAAGTTTTCTAGAAAAAAATTAAAATGTAAGAGGGTGAATTTTTTTTAATTGCTTAAATAAGTCAATTTTTTAGAACATATTTGAAATTTCAGTCGTAAAAAAAAAGAATCACCCTTTGTCGTTTGTACATGATATTTAAGAGCACCCTGTATAATACGCAGTTAATTAATTTATATATTTGGGACTCCAATGATTTTTTAAGAGCCGGTATTTCAATGTCACCTTAAGATATAGAATAAACATAGACATTGACAACATTGTCTGACCTTGTTCGATGACGTCATCCTAAATGTTAATATAAGATAAAAACCGTATATTTTAAGGTAAGTCTTGATTTTAACAATAATAATTGCGAACGTGCTCTATGAATTAATCAACGACAAATACTTTTTTCTAAATTATGACGTCATCGATGACGTAAGTAAGTACAAAAAGTGCAAAAAAAAATACATAAAATAATTTGGTTGCACTAATTTTTTATATAAGTGTTAGGTAGTGCTATGGTGGGATGCCGAATAGGAGTGCTAATTTTTGCTTTAGGGGTGCTTAGCACCCCCAAGCATTCCCCTAGTTGCGCTTATGGTGATAAATTTACCTGCACCTGCGGACATCGGATTGTGAACAGGATATAATTATTCATACCACTTTTGAAAATGGTGATCTCTCTCAACAACAACAACGGAGGAGGAGGAAAAGAGAGAGATATCTCTCTCAACAACAACAACGGAGGAGGAGGAAAAGAGAGAGATATCTCTCTCAACAACAACAACGGAGGAGGAGGAAAAGAGAGAGATATTGGCTCGCAGAAATGTTGGCACACAGGCCCGGAGCTGGGTTGATACGCTACTGTGGCTCTGGGATACGAGATTCAAAAGGGAGGTGTGAATTTTGCAAAAAAACGCATCCCTCATCCACCTTCAAAATATTCCTTTTCTGAGATAATATGAACACCCTGTATTTAAACGATAGACTCATTGTGATAGGCATTAAACCTTGCAGTGTTTAAAGTCCTATTAGTATTTATATTGATTTTCTCTTGATTGTGTCGTTTAACGAGTTTTTGGCAAACAAACAATCTAGTTTTCAGATCATTGAAGGACATTTCAATATTGATTGATTTGTGGGACGCCAGCTTCTTTAAGTTTGTAATCTGGTAAATAAAGTGAGGTATATACTGCCTAAACAAATTTAGTAGTTACTTACTTGATGAAATATTTGCGGGGTTAGCGTGCCTTAAATTCCCAGAGTCACTGATCGCATTAAACTTTTAGAGTGTCGCAAGACTTAAATTGACGTATAAGGTTATTCAAGCCAGGGGTGGGTGAGGCGTATTATTTTGGAGGAATTATTTTTAAATTGAGTTGGATTGATTGTGGATTTTAGACAATCATATATCGATATGAAGTATTTTGTGAAGTTAATTGTATACTAAGTATTCTTGTAGAGGATGTTGTACCTAAACGTGAGGAAGTAATCTTGCCAAGGAATAGGTATAATCTATGGTGAAATCACACTTGAACAGAATAATTTTTACAATAGCATCAGAAAACTGGGATTGTGTATTTTAGACAATCATACAGCGATATGAAGTATATTGTGATGTAAATTGTATAGGTACTAAGTATTCTTGCAGTAGTAGAGGATGTTGTACCTAAACGTGGGGAAGTAATCTTGACAAGGTATAGGTTTAATCTATGGTGGAATCACTCTTGAACAGGATAATTTTTATAAAAGCATAAGAAAACTAAAGTCTTTCTAAAATTGGAATTTGTCATAAACAATATCGCAAATATTGCCGATATAGGGTATCTAGAAGTTTCAAAAGATATAAAATATGAGAAATAAGGGAAATGATACGGAGATATAGAATACATCAACTTAAAACAAATCCAACCACTGTAAAAGCATAGTCGAGCTCAGTGTTGCCAGGTCATATTTTGTTTTGTCAGTAGATTACCAATCTAAGGGCGGGTATTATAAAACTACTTTGAGAGTTAACTTAAAGTTAACTTCTGGAATGACATGTAATTCAAAAAGTTAACTTCAAGTTAACTTTCAAAGCAGTTTTATAATACCCGCCCTAAGTCAGTAGAAATCAATAGACAGGTAAGTTGCCTTGTTAAGGGCCAAATTATGGACCAACTGGTAAGTGTCTGGTTGTTACCTAGCAGGTACTTTCTATTATCTAGAGCATAGAAAGTATCTGCTAATTAACAAGCAGACGTTTACCAGTCAGTCCATAATTTGGCCCTAAAGGGGCAAACCAATAGATGGCTGGGTCCACTCATAAGTTCCGCAACAGTCCCGCGTTTGTATTTAAATAACTTGTCACAATATATTACTAAACTGCTGGACAAATGAAGCGGAACAAGCGATATTTTAGTTTAACTTCAAATTCCAATATTACGCGAACTAAAGAAGATATCAATGAGTGTTTTGCTTAATTTAAAAGTTAATTTTCGCAAACCGCCCATTGATATATTTTTTAGTTCGCGTAATATTGGAATTTGAAGTTGACCTAAAAATTCGCTTGTTCCGCTTCATTTTAGTTCTGTAAAGAAACATTACTAATTCCTGTTGAAAGGCGAATTAGCAAAAAGTGAATAATTATAATCTTACAAATTTTGACTTTATACCTATAATAAGTTATTGTTCACAAATAAGCGGATTGTTGCGGATTTTATGGGTGAACCTCTGCGGGACGAGCGCAGCGAGTTCCGCAGCCATCTACTCACCAATATACTGTTGAATTGTTCAAATAAGACATTCACCTGAAACATGTAGTTTTTAAACTAATGAGAATAACTCACATTTGAGTGGGTCAGGTTAGTATCGTAATTAAACAACATATGGATGAATAGATGGCTGCGGAACTTGCTGCGCTCGTCCCGCAGAGGTCCACCCATAAGTTCCGCAACAATTCACTCATTTGTACTTGAATAACTTGTCACAATATATTGCTAGTTAGATAAAGTAACATTAATAATTCCTGTTAAAAGGTAAATTGACAAACGTGGATAATCTTACAAATTCTGACTTTATATAATAAGTTATTGTTCAAGTACAAATAAGTGGATTGTTGCGGAACTTATGGGTGGACCTCTGCGGGACGAGCGCAGCGAGTTCCGCAGCCATCTACTCACCAATATACTGCTGAACTGTTCAAGTAAGACATTCACCTGAACCATGTAGTTTTTAAACTAATGAGAATAACTCACATTTGAGTGAGTCAGGTTAGTATCGTAATTAAACAACATATTGATGAATAGATGGCTGGGTCCACCTATAATTCCAAAACAATCCACTCGTTAGTACTTGAATAACTTGTCACAATATATTACTAGTTTGGTAAAGTAATATTACTAATTCCTGTTAAGAGACAAATTGACAAAAAGTGGATAATCCTATAAATTCTAACTTCTAACTTTATATAATAAGTTATTGTTCAAGTACAGGGTGTTTTTTTTTATATATTGAGACCCCACCTATAGCCGTCACCTTTACAAGTAGATGAAAAGTGTAAATACAAAAGCTGTACAGTAGGTATTGGCTGAATTTTTAGAATCCATGGTCAGATACAAAAATTGAATGTCAAACATGTGGAATGTTGCATGTTTTCAGCTTGTTTCAAATGGGTACCTATGCAGTAGTCTAGTATTCTAAAAACAGGTAATACAGGCTGCAGTTAGTTGTACAGCATAACGTTATGTGACCAGCTTTTATCAGTAGAATTCACATTGATATCAGTATATCAGTAGACCAGTGGCCAAATCAGTAGATCTACTGATAAATTAGTAAACCTGGCAACACTGGTCAAGCATGAAATCCAGGGTAGAGATATCAAAAATGAATGATATAGATGAGATTCTTAATTATTTGAAGGAGTATACCTTATGTCGATAGTATAGAGAAGTGAATCAGATTACCAATAATACCTACCGAGAGCGAATTTTGGTCGTGGCGCTATCTAACCAAAATTCGCTCTCCGTACTACTTCTACTTTGCTTGCAGGCACTAAACTTGGGTTGGGTTTCTTTGCTTTCCTAGCCACACTAATGAGACCTGATAAATCGAAACGCGTCTGTGGGTGGAAAAGCGAAGAAAATTAACACACAATTTACACATCACCAATAATGTTTTAATTTAGCCTAATGTCTGAGTTTTACACTTTTTACTTCGATACATTTTTCACGCCAATTATGTATAGTCTAGATTCTAGATAATGTTATTGCAAGCAATTTGAAACCCTGTTTTGAAATTTCAAAAGATTCTTCTCTTTAATAATGAATATCTTCAGCAAATAAAACCAGGCATGGGTGAACAAATTCGTGAAAAAAATTATGGAATAAATATCGGCTTTGATAATGGCGTCGTTACCCCTATGATAGTTCATTTCTATTTTCTTGCAATTCTTCATGACGTCACGCAGGTCATTTCATGAAAACAATGGTAGATTAATTGATGAGAAATTATCGTTTTTTATTATTTAAATTTTGCAGCATGAAAATCTTCATGTGGACATTTCTATTGGGCATTTTACCCTATACTGAGCTGAGAGCATGTGGACAAATTGTTTGTTTTTACTGGTCAAATCGATAAAATGAATGTTTTCCTGTTTAACCGCGATTTACGTATCACATAAAAATGTTGACGTTATATCGTTAGGAGTTTGACTATAATACATAATTCAGATTAATTCACAACATTGTATGATAATCTTTCACCCACACTTGCCGTAATACATTAAAAACAATATTTTTTGGATGTTGTTTTTGAGGTTCTTTCGTAACGCAGGCCTCTTTACAAGAACAAAATCAGCAAATTGACAAAATATTTTTAAAAAAAACTAGTCATTCTCATTTCACTCTTCCAAAAAAATTAAAAAAAAACTTGTCACCTGAATCATTAAACAATCTGACCAACTAAATGTGCAGTTAAATATTTGCTCTCACCTTGCATGGCTTTGGAGGACTCTTACACTGAAATGAAAACACTCCAAAATACACTAGTTAAATACAGCAGCTGTACACGGTGTGCAACCTGAATAAAGTAAGTGTGGACTGTAGCCGACAGAGCGAAACAACAGTTTTTGAGAGGGATGAATTCAGGGTTAGGGCGCTCTTGATTTCGCTCATGGTCGGCAAGGGGATGCTGCGCGACGAAAATCGATATCAGGGAATCCGATTTTTTTCGATGACAGAGGCGGAGAAAGCTTCTGATAATTCATTGGAATTTGAAATTAACCAGAGGATATGAAAGGAACACGGAACTTCGTCCCTTTAACTAAAACTAATCTTAACTTTTTTTAACATTGCACTTTATAGAAGCATCTTAGACTTGGCCTATGACCTTAGATACAGAAGAATCTCGCTTTGCAAATTTCAGCTTGTCTTGTTCTGAATTATCAGAAAACTTTCAGGGATAAGGAGAAATTTCAAATATATTTTCCATAATGTAGGTAATGTTTTCGGGAATTGTAGGTTGTGATTCGTGTAGGTATTACATCCTTGACGTTGCACCTACAACTGCGGTAGTAGTTATGATTAAACCAGTGAATTACGAAGTATTCGTCTCACTGCAGACTGTTGATGGTGGTTTTCACTTACTCCTTGCTTCTTCTACGCGGTCTTCTCAAGTTTTGGATCAGTATTCAAAGAGACAAAAAAAGAGATCGAAGAAAGCTTTTCGAGGATCTCTGGTAGGTACCTGTTTTCCGATGTTAATTTGATCGGTAATTCCTGATGGCAAGAAAATTCCACAGAAACTGCATATTTTCTGGTTGGTGGAATGAAAATTTCTTTTGACTTTGTCCAGTGTTTCCAAAAGGAAACTACTGAGAAGCTATCTCAAAATTGTAGTTAGATGAAAAGTATTTGTCATGTATTTTGACTACTTTGACTTGAACTTTGCTTGATAAGTGCCGCTAGATCAATCCTTTGTTAAGTATTTTTTAGTTGTTAACAATACCTAACCGTAGTTTGTGTCGATATATCAACCACATATTGTTTTTGTGTGGCACAAGTTCTTGCTAACTAAGAACTCAACCAATGATTGAATAGCCGCACTTGAATACCTAAGTGTTGCTTACTCAGTATTTATACCGACATATCAATATCACCAATCAAAAATTTGAATAACCCTGACAATATTAGCTCGATAAATTTTTTATTATCTCATAACTAGATTTTCAATAATGCGGAATTCAATATTATTTAAACCTACGCCAATTGGTTACAATTTATTATTTAATTAGTTATGCAGATTATGCACTTCTATATTATTACGTCTACTATTTATAATTATTGCATTGACCATGCATGTGTATTTGCTTATTCATTAGCCTTTCTAATATATTTTTAATCTATTCATTTTGCTTAGCTTTTGCAAGATAATATAACAAATTTTAAGTGTTTTTTCTTATTTTATTCAAATTCGAATAGCCTTTGATTTGAGGACATTTTGCGTAATAACATCATTCATTTCCTAAGTACATAAATACCCCAATCATGTTGAACTTGTTTCCTGCTTGATTGCCCTTCTCATGTCCGTGAACTTGTCCAAGAAAATATAAAGGACACGCACGAGGCATTGAACTTTTTTTCCATTTGTCCTACTTTAATTCTGTTGTTAGGGGTATGGGAAAATTACAGAAAAATAAGTCACTTTATTTTATTTTGCTCACTGACGGCCTTTATATGTATAATAAGTAGGAAGCAGGAGTTGAATTCAATCCAGTTTCTTTTTTGCTTTGGTAGATACCATTTTGAGACTTAAACTGGCAAAACTTTGGGAATTGTGAAGCAAATCTGTCACCTAATTATCATGGGACACTCTGGACGAGAACTAGGAGCTCCATGACAAGAGAGAATGACGAACTTGGAATAGATTATCAAACCAATAGAGATTCTTGTGACCAAGAGGTTCTCGAGACGAGAAACCTATTTTCTGTCGAAAAGTCACTTCGAGACGAGATGAGAGAATGCTTCCTCTTGGCGATAATTTCAATAGTGTCATATGCGTCAAAACCAGTTTCTTAGACATAGAGAGAGCATTTGATAACATCTCTCATAAATCAATCTAGAATGCATTCGTTAGAAAAGGAGTGGACAAAACCATATCCACCTAGATGGACGAAATGCTGTACAACTAGAGGACCTAGAGGATGTCGACAGGCACAGGGAGGGGTATATCACCTTTGGTGTGGAGTCTAGTGGTTGATGATCTCTCAAAAAAAACGATCAGGGCTCTACCTTCTTTGGAAACTCCGATGATATGGTCATCACGGTCAGGAGGGGCGAATTCGAAGGAACACTTTGGAAACTCATAGAAAAATCACTTCAAACCGTGAAGGAATTATTGTATGGGACTGAATCTAAATAAGAAGAACAAAATTCCCAAACGTGAGAAACACTCGTCTCGATGGAAGCAAAGCTAACTGAAATCAAGAAGTTAAATTTCCCTAGGAAAAGTGAAAAGTCAGAGAATATAGCTTCCAAACATGATCAATATCTTATGTACCTATGTAAGTAGTGATTTGATGACTTGAAAAAATATTGACTTTATTCCATTATTGATACAGAAAAAAAATACAAACCAATATTATTCCTGGAGAAAATAAACTGGACACAGTAACGCAATTGCCTAGCATCAGATCACCTGATGAGTTATTAACCAGATAATATAAATGTTGGCATAACTATGATTCTGTAAACAAGAGCACATAAATGCAAAATGATATTTCATTATAATTTCTGAGTTATTGTAGCACTATGTATCACATAATAAATATCTTTACACACGAATATCTATACTACTTTGAAATCTTTGTTGACTTAGCCCTCAAAGCGACAATGCTGGTCAATAGACATTCCAGTATGATAAGGTTTCCATCGTTCTTTGTCTGGCTGCAACTAAGTAATGAAGCCCGTACTAAGACCTCCAAAAGGGTTTTGTAATATCCTAAATACGCCACAAATAATGTCACTCTCTGTATTACAATAATTACATAATCGCAATAATTATTTGGTATTTATGTCCCATTCACTTTTTCAGGGTAGCTTAAAAAATAAATTATCCAACTATAGCATCTCTTAGCAGACACTTTTCTAAAAGCAAGATAGACATGACCTTATTCAAGGTTTTTTTTTTAACTTTCCGCGAATTTGCCTTTGAATTCCTATGGCGAGTGGGAGAAGGTAGAACAAAATCCTAAGTGAGTACCAATTAAGTTCTAGTTCTTGGGTTTCGACGCGAAAAAGTAAACCGGTCACCATCTTGTAATTAACGGAACGAGGGTGGGTGGTATTTGTCGATTATCATAATTAAGAATTTTTTTCACTTTTAGTTTTCAACTTAACTTAAAGTGATGAAATACGGAGTGTTTGGTATCTAGGTGACTTCAATTATTTCTCATTATCGTGTGTTGCTTAAGTCTGGGTAAAAATTCTGGAGTTCAACATATGAGTAAGTTGGATTTTCCTATTTTTTTTTTTTTTTTTAATGTGGACCTGACTTATACTTTGTTATACCTAGATTAAAGGCATTATTGTAAAAAAGCTTCTTGGCTTACCAAAATCTTGCGTGTATCTGATTAGTGAAATTTTTTTGTGTTTTTTGTGTTTAGTAAATTAAGACTGCTTTTACGCTTCACTGCGTCTTCTACTAATGGGTAGATCATTTCCGGATTTCAATTCAATTTTCCCATCTGCCACATAAGCTCCTTTGAACCCGTTTCCCTTCCTGAATTCCCTTGTCTTCTTGGATAACGCTACATTTACAATTTACATTCAATTCCAAGTTGACATAACATTTACATTGGGCCAATTTATATTGTCTCCCTCTGTTTATTGAGACATTTTTAATATTTGTTTAATATCAATCGCATCCCTCCAAGATTCTTTTGTGTAGGTACTTTAATTGACAAGTTTAATAGCGATTGCACCTGTAGAAGAAAGACGTTTTAAGAAAAACTTTTTTGATTATATAACTTTTTTTTATAACATGCAAATTATGGTAATGCAGTCCCATAAACTTTGCAATTAATGAGTTATTATTATGGCATCTGACATAAAACCTACATTAATACGATAAGTCCGCTCCAACCTTCTTTTTATGTGTCGTCAAGATGTTTCATCGGTATTTGAAGCTGCCATTTATCTTAAGATTTGCAGTTCCTTTAATGATTAACTTATTTTTTATGGTTAGGCAATTGAATTTATTTCTTTATTTTTTTCTTTTTAATTATGTAGGTAGTTTAATGCATTCATTGGTATTAAAATATGAAAGGAGTAATAAACATTACTTCAAGTATATATCTACAGGGTATTTTGACAAAATTACAACTTTCTTGAAATCCATACTTACCTTCTTCCTTCTACACATTATGATCTTCGTTTATTCAGAGTTATAAGTATTATTAAGGTAATATGCCTTTATCCCAAAATAATTTCATTCAATGTAGTTATACACATAGTTTCTCCACTTTGCAAGCTTCCTTATTACTTGTATCGATTTTTTTATTATTTAATCATTTTCAGAGATAAGATCTTGCTGTTGCCCTCCGATGCAGATGTATTCTGATATATATTTTTTCATATTTATTTTAAAAGCCCAAAAAATGTATACCTGGGCTGCAAAAAATTTTGCGGAGGCAGGCTGATTTTTCCAGGGCTGATTGGGGACTGTGTCCTGAGTATTGAGCCAAAAAATCACACTCGAAAGCCTTGTGCGTTCGGCCCTATTGGCCGTTTTCTTATTTATTTTTTTTTGACAAAATGACCTCAACAAAACTTGTAGATAATTACATTCTGATCAACTTTGCCTTATGACTTTTTTTGCTAGCTATTTTACTTTAGGCGCTGCGGCCATTTTAGTGTTCAGAATTCGCAAAAAAATTAAATAGCAAACCTGCAGATTATTATACATAATAAAATTCTCTATTTCTTTGCTTGATGATATTTTATCGTTACTTTATTTCTTTCGCTTGTACGGCCTTTTAGGCATTTGAAAAATTTTATTTGACCTTTGTGGCATGCACAGCGGACATTGTGGCATGCATAGCGTTTCTAATAGAATGTGCACAGTATTTACGTTTCTTACGAAAGTGGTTTTCAATATACCATTTTGCAATGTTTGCAGATAATAGTAAAAAAATTTCATCAGAATCACAAATTTTTAAAAAACAAGGAGAGGTAAAGCCCAATCCGCCAAGCTAGAGGGAGTGGCCAGTATCTTTGCTCTGGAGTCTAATAAAAAGAACCGCCTAGAGAACGCACTCTAAGGGCAGATAGGAGACACCAAAATAAATCTCGCATTGAGGAAGGCTACTTTTGAATAGTTTTACCACCGCTATTACCGCCGCTCTCATAGCTTTCATCACAGCTTGAACATAAACATGGCCTACGCAGCTGTTTACGTAGACGACCTTGCATTGGTCCCATTCAACGGCTAGCAAGATCTGAAAATCCATAGGTGGACCACTAGTACCTTTTCAGGAAAAAACACATTATGCAGATGCCTGAAAGGCCGTACAAGCGAAAAAAATAAGGTGTCAATAAAATATCATCAAGCAAAGTAATAGAGAATGTTATTATGTACAATAATCTGCAAGTGTGCTATTTAATTTTTTTGCAAATTCTGAAGCACTAAAATGGCCGCAACGCCTAAACTAAAATAGCTAGCAAAAAAAGGCATGAGGCCAAACATGAAGCAAAATTGATCAGAATATCGATGAGAATTTAATTATCTACAAGTTTTGTTAAGGTCATTTTGTCGAAAAAAAATAAATAAGAAAAAGGCCAATAGGGCGCCGAACGCACAAGGCTTTCGAGTGTGATTTTTTGGCTCAATACTCAGGACACAGTCTCCGATCAGCCCTGAAAAAATCAGTCTGCCCTCGCAAATTTTTTTGAAAAACCCATTAATTTCTTGGGCTAATTGATTTTGTTCATGTATCACATCACATCTTGTTTTCTATCTTTGGAATTCACTTTTGCGTTATTGGTAGGTATTCATGTAGATTTTTGTTCGACTCTTAGATCTAAAACCTCCAATATTTTCTTGTGACTCTGTCGTACATCTTTAACACAAAAACACTAATTATTGTACTTGCTGTATCGCTATTCAGACTCAGTAAATGCCTATTATTTATTTTATGGCTTTCCAACTATTTGATTCTTACCCAATAGATATGGGTTAAAAAAACGTATGTTATTATGGCCGGAACGATATAATTGTTGGCAGTTATTGGAAAACATAATTATTAGGTATATAGACATGTAATATTGTAGTAAAGATAACTTTTAAACCTAGGTTGAAATGTTCAAATAAAATCCACCTGTATATGTTACTGTTGAACATTTCATTCAGGTATGTAACAAATTAGTGAAAAACGTAAAAAGTTAATATCAGACATGATTTCTACACGTTGTTACAAATCTTTTAATTATCATTCGTTTAACTGATGTGGGTACAGTCCAAGTTCTAAAAGTGGTTCAGTCAAACTCAATTAGTTCTTGAAGTTTCTCATCTAGAAGGCGTTGCTGTCAGAAATTTGCCGAAGTGTAGATTTTTCGACAGCAATGCATTTTAAATGGAAAAGTTCAAGTAGGTACCAGGTCATCATTATTCTACATAAATTTAATTCTTCATAATTTCTTTCTCTTTGGCTCTTTCGTTTTGACGTTCCTTTTCAAGACATTGTTATATCCATCTTTTTTTTTTAATTTTTTGCCAGTCTTTTCACTGGTCTTCTACTTCTTTTATTTGTAGGAAGAAGATTTGTTTGCGCAGCATTTCAAACAACTTTCTTGATTATTTCCATTCTACAGGTAGATACTTAGGTAGGTACCTCCTCATTTAGGAGAAAATATCTTATTTCAAATTTTTAATATAATGCATTTGCACATTCCACAATGCGAATTTTTATACAGCATTAAGTCATTTCCCGAGCGTTTTATAGATTTTCTCCATTATCAGTATGAGAAAGTTCGAGTGCCTTAATTTCAAATAAAGTGTAACCAGCTAAAAACCCATTTCACCAATTTTCAAACATCCTTTTTCGTTCCGTAAATGAAGCTCGCTTCGTAAAAAAGATTATTACCATAATCCTGATAGACTCTGCACTCTGCAATTAATCTTTTTTCATCTGCCATGTATTAAAATAACTGAAAAATGATCTTGCGTTGCATAATTGCACATCTAAGTACATATTTCATCATTGTAAATAAATGAATAAATAAATAAATAAGTATTCAGTCGGTTTTCAATGTCACGAGCAACAAGAAACCGCACTATAAGATTTATTGTCCCTTTAAAATTTAATATTTCAACGGCTACTGAAAAAATTTTACATAGTAGCAAATTTTTTTCAGACAATAGATCTATCAAACACACATCACCACAATGTTAGAAATCCGGAAAAAGTTATCTTCATTTTATCCCACTTATGTCCTGGCTATTGTTTCTATTGGTTATGTCTTGGGAGAGCTTGGACATTATATGGTAGGAGTGACCAGTAAAGCCATGGCAATGGATCTTCATTATGGTAAGTATATCTAGTAATTTTTCTGTATCACATTTAGGCCAAGTTTATTCAGCTTTTGATAACTTGTCAATGCAATCTGGCGGATAAAAACGCAATTTATACATATATCCTTTTGGTCGACTAGTTATCCAGCGACCAATTATAGAATGATAAATTTATCTTGCAGACACTTACCAGTAAGTTCATCTAAAGATGAATAATAACAGTCTACTCAAATTATACAATATATATTTATATTACAAGTCTGACATGATGATTACTACAAAGTATCTATACAGGGTGTCCCAGGGAAAACAGTCCACCCCGATTTATTGGGTTTGGGATGAGAATCTGGGAAAACGCTCAGACACGTCGATGTTTGATTTGAGGGGGAACTATTTTTCAGTTTTTTTCATCCCTGTAGCCTCAACCCCCTAGCTAGGGGGAGAACAACCCCCCAAATTTGAATAGGGAATATGGGTCGTGTCATACCTCTTTTTAAAGGTCTCATTGAGTTCTTTATGGTCCTAGAATTTCATCTTATTATTTTCATCCGTAACGAAATGACAGCTTGTCAAAATCTTGGAAATGGACTATGTTTTAGTAGGAGTAAAAGCGGTACTTACCTGCCTTAATAAAAATACGAGTAAAAATACCTACAATTTACAATTCTCATGTACACCTCATTAAAAATAATAAGAAAAAACTTCATTTCAAGTATTTTTATTAGGGGAGGTAAGTATCGCTTTTGCTCCCACTGTCATTTCGTTACGGATGAAAATAATAAGATGAAATTTTAGGGCCATAAAGACCTCGATGAGACCTTTAAAAAGAGGTATGACACGACCCCTATTCCCTCTCAAATTTGGGGGGTTGTTTTCCCCATAGCTAGGGGGTTGAAGCTACGGGGATGAAAAAAACTGAAAAATAGTTCCCCCTCAAATCAAACATCGACGTGTCCGAGCGTTTTCCCAGATTCTCATCCCAAACGCAATAAATCGGGGTGGACTGTTTTCCCTGGGACACCCTGTATAGGGAATGTGATAACTTGTGGTAGCACACTTGTAATGTAACACACATTTTATCCATGACCTATTGTGACAGTCACGCATCATTTTAATTATTCTGAAGACGAAAAGTTACATGCATGGGATTATAGTACTGTCACATGGCGACAAGTGCATTTTTTTGTCTGTTGATCACTTCGACTAATGTATACAGAACTACTTAACAGAATTATTTATTTCAGGCGACATAGCTTGTCAGCTAAACAACACAAATTACTATCTCAGCGATTTGCCGGTGATTTGTTCAGATGCGAACAGTTCGGACACGTGCATGTCGTTGACAATAGACGACGAGCCTTACTGCGAATGGACTTACAACGGTTTGGGCTTGGACTATCAAATTTTAGCTGGACCCAGTTTCATCGCTGTATTCACTGTGGTCGGCGTTATTATGGGCTATTTGGCGGATAAATTTAATAGGTAGGTAGTTGGAAATGAAAAAACTGAACTCAGCCAGCTCAAAAACTATATCATTAGCATATACTATGTCATAGTATACCTACTCACTCATTCGTTATTTTCATCTACATCTATAGTGGTTGCATGAATTAAGCCATTCCAACCATCAATGAAATCTGGACCTTTTCATTAACATAAAGTCCGTTTGTGGATACCATCTAAATACAAATTTGTTCAATGGACTTGTATATAGCTACACTCACACCCTTCGACTTTTCGGTCAATATTTTCCAGTCAATGTATTTACAATTTCTAGATATAAATAACTCGAGAATGGCAAGTCGTATTTAGTTGGTGGGTAGGTAAAGTTTTGGAATAATTTCAAATTTGAAAATGATATTGAGTCTCCATATTCAGTTACTTCTCGTTTTGTATAGGTAGAGCATTTTTGAACCAGGAAATTTATTTCTCCTTTTCATTCCAGCATGGATAGTAGGTACCTACCTGATCCATCTGGCTGTTTTGTAGCTTGGCAATTTTTCTCTGTCTGACTCTTATAAGTTCTAAGCTTGTTTCCGGTTGTCAGTTCATTTCATTAAATTGGCTAAATATTTATTGCATGTTTCGGACTGATGATTACCGTTATTTTACGCTTTAAAGGATAAGCAACTTAACATCAAATTTGTTAACCTTATAAACCTAATTATCTTGTATATTATGGCTTTGTGCTCGGTCACGGAAAACCAATAAAATGTACATTTTTAATAATGAAAAAATAACCACACAAAAAAAAAATATTAATAATATTTTCCATTTAACACTCTGTTGGTTTAATTACTAAAATACGACAATTTTTTTTTTAGAGTTAAAATGCTGGGTATTTGTACCATCATATTTTCCATTGCTCTCATCGTTAGTGGAGGAGTCAAAGAGTACTGGCACCTGGTACTACTGAGAATGATAATGGCAGCAGGAGAATCTGCCTGTAATCCATTGAGTACTGGAATTTTGTCCGATCTATTTCCCGAGGAGAAGCGGGCATTGGTCATGTCGATATTCAATTGGGGAATTTATGGAGGATATGGTAAGAATTAATAGTGACAAGCATAGTCATAATTTCTCATAGGTAATTTTGAATTGACATGAGTATTTCTGTTTAATCTGAGTTTTTGCATAATAAAGGGGATATCATACCCACCTACCTACCTACTTATTTGCACTTTCTGGCAGCAACAAATGTTAAGTTGCAAATTTGTCAAAGAATGTACCTATTAAGTAGTTATATACCAGGTGAGAGGTGGTTTTTCTTTCTGTTGGAATTACATATTATCTATTCTTATAATCAATTATATGTGCAACTGCTTGGCAAGAAAAATTATTGCGAAAGGCATCGAAAAGCAGTGGCAATGAGATGCGTTGGTGTTTAAACTATTTAGCACAAATTTAGTAGGTATCTCAAAGACAAGTTAGGTGTATGAATAAAGAATACCAAAAAACAACAGATCACAGAAAATGAGTAGAAAACAACAACGGCGGAATATTTCCAATCAATGCAGGAACTTTCCTAAAAAATATTAATAGTTTGATTGTTGTTGGAGACGATGCATTGTTACACGTTTTCTTTTTAAGAGAGTCCCATTTGGCTTGACGTGCGCACCAGAATATTTCTCAATATTACTAAATAAAATTCTGGCAGGAATAGAGGGTGTTTCAAATCATATAGATGACATTTTGTTTCATGTCTCGACTTTAGAAAAACATAATGAAATTTTGCATACTGTTTTGAACAAAATCAAAAAAGGACAAGTGTGTATACAATTTCTGTTTCTCTTCAAGTCTCTTGTCCATATAGGTATCTTTCTTTTTTCTGTCGGACGCTTATTTCTACCAAAGCTTCAACAATGAAGCAATGATGCTCTGCAACGTTCCCTGTTTTTCGACAATATAACGACTCTGTATTATTCCCATTACATTTTTAAATTTCCTTGAAGCACGTTCTGTTGTGCTAGTTTATTTCCTTTCCATTTCGCTCCTTTTGTTCTGAGAACAATAACTTAGTTTCAACTCGACTACCTATCTGAAAACAGCCATACTATAGGTTCCTACTAATTATAAAAGCGTCCTGCCTTTATTCGTACCAATACTGAAACTTATCCCATTCGTGCACTCTGGCAGTAGCAGGAAGTTATAAACTGAATGCAAACTCACCGTTTTGCAGTTAGGCCACCCACTTTAAAAAAGTGGGTGGCCCTAACTGCAAAACGGTGAGTTTGCATTCAGTTTATAACTTCCCTGCTACTGCCAGAGAGCACGAACAACTTGTAGAGTTAGACATAAACAACTGAATTCTTGACCCTCGATTTAATTTCCTAACTCTGCTTTCTCACCCTTTCAAATCAGATCTTCCCGATTTGACGATTCCATGATAAACCTTCAACCTTTCCAGTAGGTAAATCATTTGTATTTAATTTACAAAGAATAAATGAATATAATTTGATGCTGTCCTTGTAAGCATTATAGAATAACTGATGACAAGATTATTCATTATAGTAAATAAAAGAATTAAGAGAGCTCACATACTGGACTTAATTAACCCAATCAATTTTTTTTTAGGTATTGCCTTTCCAGTAGGCAGATACGTCCCACCAATAAACGCCTGGGACCTAGGCTGGAGAGTGTGCTATTACGGTGCTGGCATTGTTGCCCTAATTTTTGGATTCCTCACTCTATTCACTCTATGGGAACCAGAACGCCAGACTATAGGAGAAGATGCGGCACAAAATCCCGACGCCAAGAAAGTCACTATTTGGACCGTGATGAGCGAACCAAGAGTGATAATGTTGTGCCTAGCCGCCTCCATAAGACACTGCGGCGGAATGTGTTTTGCCTACAACTGCGATTTGTATTACCAAATCTATTTTCCTGATTACGATTTGGGTTGGTGGTTGTTTGCGGTTACCATTGGTATAGGCAGTATTGGTGTCGTAGTTGGAGGAATAATTTCAGATAAATTCGTGGGGAAAATGGGCATTAGATCTAGGGTTATTATTTTGGCTCTAAGTCAAATTATTGCCACTCCTTTTGCCTTTGGCAGTGTTTATTGCGAACCTCTTGGAGCAATGATTACACTTGGATTTTCGTATTTTTTTGGTAAGGAACTCTTATTACATCTTTACATCCGGATGTTCTGCCGTGATATACCTATTGCCATAAAATGACTTTCGAGTCATTAAAAGGTGCCTTTGCCAACAGCTAAAACAATATTATTATAATACACATTTATCATGCAATGTTGATGACTATGTAGGTACATTGTATAATTTGTATATCTTATTCAAGCATTTTATAAAAAATTGGTAACCAAAGCCAACTGGTATAGAGATAATTAGATTAACCTGAACAGCATTTGGGAAACTTAGTTTTATACTCAAATTCTGACATTCCTATCAGTTGCAAGATTATATATATTTTGTCTGTCTCAAAACTTGAGATCAATTCAGGATGATACAGAAGGGGATAGAAGAGTCTACATTCAAAGTTAGTCTACGAGTCAAAACTAGACTTGTAGTAATAAGAAGAAGAAAGAGGGTTGGAACATTTATCAAAAATAAGTCGTCAGGGAAAATACAAACTGGTAAATATCTATAATCTATGGGCAAAAAACCCAGTGTAGAGAATTTTCAAAAAGGTTGCCTAAATAAACTATGTCGAGTTTACGGAATAAGATGATACCAAGCTGCACAAGATAGAAAGGCGTGAATGCAGATGAAAAAGAACCTTTATTCCGGAGTAGTCAGAAAATGGAAGAAAATAATATTTTCTTCCATTTTCCATCTTCCAATCTTATATATTATATAAGATTGGTTGAAAAAATTAAATCCATTCAACCTAATTATACCCATCACCAATTTAAAATATCCAAATTTGAATATGTCTTTAATTAAGTTCAATCCCAATTATCATCACAGTAGAACATCCTCAAAATTATTTTTATTAAATATCTCCAAATCTATTTTACTTTTTAGCTGAAATGTGGTTTGGTATTTTATTTGCCATCCTAGTAGAGATCGTACCATTACACGTAAGATCAACTACAGTGGGAATTTTTCTTTTTGTAATGAACAATATTGGTGGCAATCTACCAATAGCAGTGGAGCCAGTTTCAAAAGCTATCGGCTACAGAGAGAGCCTCTACGTATTTTATGTGGCGTTTTATTTATTGAGTAAGAATTTTGAAATTTCTTAAAGATGTGTTTAAAATTTAATTTATTTTTAGGTTCCCTAATGTTTCTTTTGACTATATTTTTGATGCCAGGAAATAACCCGCAACCTCCTGCACCCCAAAAACAATTCAATGGGATTGACAATGTAGTTTTTTCGAATGATGAAGTACATTTGCCTCCAATTACGTCCTTGGTACACAACACTAAACGTACTAATGAGAGCAAGAGACTGTAATTATTTAGATCAAGTAAAAATAATTATATTTTTGTATATGTGTATGTCTAAATATAGTAAGTTAATATTAAATAGAATTTTTGTTTTCCTAAAATGGTCCAAAAGTTACATTAAATCATACAAATTATAGTTTAAACTTTTTAATTCAAATAAAACTTATAACAATACAAATTAAAAAAAAAAAAAAATCTGTACAAAAAAAAAATGCTGTAGGTGTGTTATTCAGGTTAATTGAGGCCAAAAACTAAATACAAAATCCTTCTGCAATGTTGAATTTCTTCCTAAAAAATAGAAAAAACTTAAAAACTCCATATAACAAATTAGAAATGTTTCTTACCAAACACTCATCTCTGTTTCCGCATTCTTTAATATATTTCTGCAAAACTTGTTGTAAATTATATGCAGGATTTCTACACTCGCTCAAAGCAGTAGCGTTTTCTTCAACCAGAGTAGCCAACAGGGACAAAACATGCTCATGACTGGGTCGTCTTTCATTAGATATTAAACCAATCAGTGTAGGAATGCATTCCAAAAATACTAAACGACCTTAAAGATTTGCGTTATTATTTTGATGAAAATTTAAATTGTGAACATGTAATTACCTCTAAAATCTGGTTGAGATTGGCATAGATTTGTTAAGAGAAACGTTGATTTTGTGATTATTTTTTCACAGTCCCGTTTAAGTGATCCTAAAATAATTGACGGACCATTATACTGAATGAATTGACTAAAACCTTCTGAACTGTTTCTAACAATTGCTAAAAAAAAAAAAACATTAATAAATTCTAATTGAAAAATATATTATATAACAGTAGTTCTTACCACTAAGAGCATATAGCGCTTTAATAATTACTTGATTCAAATCATCTTTTTCAATTATATCAATTAATTTAGGAACAAATTCATTAGCCAATACAATTTCTTGGCAATAAGGATTATTTTGACACAATTCAGCTAATAATTCGCAGCCTCCCGCTCTAATTTTTGAATTTTTAGATTTGAGACATGGATGCAAAACCATAAAACCGCCAATTTTATGAAAATCGCAAGCAATATCGATGTTATCCACATGTTCTAATATAACTTCTATGGCTCGCTCATATTCGGGATTATCTTGTTCAGCTTCACATTTATCAATATTTTGTAGAATTTCAATTTGCTTTCTTAGAAGCTGTATCACATCCACAGTCATAGATTTGATTGCGTTTTCCAGCCAACGTTTTCTCTCTTCGTCCATGGGCATAAATTCTGACTCACCAGCTGGTGCATCTTCGGATTTTGTGGCTTCCATAGCAAATCTAAGTAGACCTTGTAGATTTGTCGGTTGTCGGGGTTGATTTAGTATAGGCAAATTGTCTTATTAAATAAAAAATATATATAATCAATAGTATGAATAATAGCTATTACAAGTACATAAACTAAGGCTTGAAATTGATCTTTTAAAAAATCGTAACATTAACAATCTAAAGTAGTTAATGCATGTACTTTGAACTTTCAATTAGGAAAACTTTCTTGAAAGTTGCAAGTCAAAAATCCCGTGACAATGATAAAAGTAGGTGTTAAGAGCTGCAAAATAGTGGAGTTAAGATGACATGATTCTCACAGTATCACGCTGTCTGTTATGAATTGGTTATCTAAGTACCTATTTGAAAATTCATTCAGCCCTTTAAGTGCTAGAGGGATCTATATAATATGTTTAAGTGGACAAGCGGCATCCAAGGGATTTTCCATCAGATCAGTGGATCTTTGGGAACCTTATCTTATTGTAGAGCAAGTGAGTATTTGGTAGCCGCGGAATTGGTTAACCTGTTCATGTAAGAGGTAAAAGGAAGGGACTCATTGGCAGGCCATCTAGTAGATGGTTTATTTTTATTTATAGGGAAAAGTAAGCAGTCATACATTCTTATTTATTTATTGACGGGATTACTCCATTAAATGTAAGAATCTTACAGAATATTATATTATTGTGATCTCAAAAATGTAACAATTTTAACTTGCTCCTATACAACCACATTCCAAATTGATGTGATTTATCACTGAGAGACTTCTATTTGGAGGGGTGTACAAATTCTGTTGTCAAAATCTCCATTAAACATATATTTGTGTCTTATTACGTGTTTACAGGACTCTGATTTCCTTGATTTGCTCTAGTAAGTAATTGAGGGAAATCTATGTGACATGTGATAATTTTTCCTTTTTATTTCAGTATGGATCTTAGGTCTAACATAAGTATATCATAAGACCTTGCATATCAAATTCACCTCCTCTCTTATAATGTTAAAATATACTGGTGGAAGGCTCTTCTGGTCCATCTGGTTGGTCTGTAATTTGGCATTTTTTAGCTCTTAATCGTATTTCTGAATTATAGTCCTAAGCTTGTTTCCAGTTGTCATTTCATTTCATTAAATCGGCTATTTATTGCATTTTTCGGACTAATGATTACTGCTATTTTACGCTTTAAAGGATCGGCAGCTTAACATCAAATTTGTTAACCTTATAAACATAATTATCTTGTATATTACTGCTTTCTGCTCGGTCACAGAAAACCAATAAAATGTACATTTTATTAGTGAAAAAAAAAACAAAAAAAAATAATTATATTGTTCTATTTCCATTTAACACTCTGTTGGCAAATAGTTTAAGTAATTTCTAAAATGCAACAATTTTGTTCAGAGTTAAAAGGCTGGGTCCTTGGCTGGGTATTTGTACCATCATATTCTCCATTGCTCTGATCGTCAGTGGAGAATTTAGAGAGTACTGGCACCTGGTACTGCCTGTACTCCATTAAGTTCTGGAATTTTTTCCCATCTATTTCCTGAGGAGAAATGAGCATTGGTCATGTCAACATTCAATTCAATATTATTAAGTACTATCCCTTTGTAAGTCATTTTGGTTCGGATAGCTGGACTTGATTTAGACAGAGTTCTATCGCTGGAATAAAATTTCCGGAGGCTGTCTGTACTTACTTTACCCGAGGACTCATCTAGAAGCCAACAAAACAAGGATTTTTTTATTTATGAAATGCCTATTTTTCCTTCAGCTTTTACCATAACATAAGGAGATTTTTCTGTTATATCAGCTTTGGTGAATTTATTGGAGAAATCTTTCAAATCCAGTGAGTCTATTTCCTCTTCAGGAGGAATAATGTCTGCTCTCATGTTTTCTTGAACCATAGTGTTATCAGTAAGGTTTTCAACTCGATTTCCAAGTTCGCCTATTTCAATTTTGGTAAAATCGACATGATGTATCGTTAATGCTTTGGTCTATGATTAGTGGAAAATCTAAATTATCACAGTCATTTAGGTATATGCATCGCAAACAAATAATATTTATTAATGATCCCCCTAGCTGTGTCCAAATAACTACCAGTTTGCTTTATGCAGATGATTTTATTTAAGCAAATATCTAATGAAAATGACTGCATAAAATTACAAAAAGATCTTGACTCTGTCCTGCAGTGGTTTGATGAGAACAAGATGTCTCTTGATGTTAAAAAGTATATGGTTGTGTCTTTTACTCTTAAAGTAAATTATTTTATTGAGGATTATTATAGTGGTACTAAGATAGAAAGAAAAAGTGAAGTGAAGGATCTCGGCGTTAACTTTGAAATGAATGTAAAAATTAACAAAGATTACAACTGCATAAGCAGTAGTAAGGCTTTTCGAGCACTGGGATTTGTAATACGTAACAGTGGGGATATTCAGGTGAATACTGATGTAAGATTATACAATACACTTGTGAGGCCCCATGTGGAGTATGCATCTGTGGTATGGTCACCAACAGCAAACACAAATATTGATCTTAAAAAGAATACAAAAAATACTTTTAAGGTATCTGTATGCAAAAAAGAACAATGCATACCTCGATGCATACCCTTACATGGTGTCCTACAGGTCCATGCTTAAAATTTTTGAGTTTTCAAGCTTATATGCAATAATACCAAATACAAGAAATGTGATCTAATTCAGTTTGTGAATTTCAAGGTACCAAAGATTAAACCTAGAATTTTAATCAGAGAAATTTTTAGGGTTACAGTTAATAGTACATGACCCACTAATAATATCCTAGCCTTTTGTAATGAGATGTTAAGTAGAAATGAATATTTCGATTTTTTTAACACGAGCACAAGCTGTAAAGAAATACTGGACTTGCTGCATCAGGTCATATAGCTTTCTTTTATTTGTGTGTATCGCTTAGTTTTTTATTTTAGTATTTCCTAGTTGAGTCTTTGTATTGTTTTTTTTTTTTTAAATCGAATAACTACTTAGTTGTAAGTTTCCTTTGCATGTAATTACTGGAAACCAGTGTCTGTGAAGAGCAAATGCATACTTAAATAAATAAATTTTTATCAGCAATTCCTGATATGACATTATCATTGAGAACATCATTTAGAGCTGCATTTACACATGATTCTACGTTAATGTACAAAATTTCTTCTGAGATTACCATAGCAAATTGCTTGGAACTTAAATGGGAAGTTTTTTTTTCCTCTCTAAGAAAACAGCCCTGGGACTACGTAACGAATAGAGATATTTTCTCTATCTCTATTGGCATCCCTTCTCTATTGATTTCGAAAAGAGAGAAGACAGCAAGTGCCATAGAGATAGAAACTCGGATAGAAATAACGATCTTTACCCGTTACATAGTACTCCAGAACTCTTCGTCTTTGTGTATATCAGACACAATCTCATTTATTGTTTGAATTCTATCTAGCTGTTTCATAAAACTTTTGATGCTGAAATTGATGACTGTGGACAAAGTTGAATTCATAGATCTGGCCATTCTGAACAATTTTTGCGCAAGGCTGATTGCCTATGTTTGAACGCTGACAATAGGTCTGTTATTTAATCACGGAACAAAAAATTACCACAAAACATTCTTTAAGTGTTTTTTTTTTTATCAAATCATAAAAGAAAATACATAATATAATATTATTATTTAAAAAAAAAAAACAAGGCAAGGGCTAGTGCGTAAAACTGAGGAACATAGTATAGGTTGAACAGGCTCGAAATAGCCCCAAAAGGGATAAGCTGGCAACACTTGATGCTTGTTTAACTTGAGCAGATAATCACAACTTAAAATAGTGGTGACGATGTGCGTGAACATTAGAATTTTGAAGAAATACACTCGAGAAGACATAAGAATACATGAGAATACAAAGCAATACATAAGAATCCATAGGGCATACATAAGAATACATTGGATTATATGAGAAAATAAGAATACATGATTACATGGGATTACATGAGGCTTGTATACTAGAATACATTGGCAACCCCTTTCTTATGGCTAGAGTAAGTAGGTATTCGGTATTTATAGTATAGTAAGTCGTGTTTAATGGCCGATGTTAAAATCTAAGCTACCATTTCCTGTTTCAGCTCAAGTCTACTGTGTACCAGTTTATCAGTATCATATCGTTTATCCACCTCTAATGGACACAAAATAAGGCAACGTCATACAGACTAGGGAAGCAGTGGAATTGGTTAACCTATTCATACAAATTCTGCAACACATTTTGGCTATAAGCGGTAAAAAGAATGGATTCATTGAACACATTTTTTTGAAGAAACCAAGTCAAAAACAGTGAATCTAATGAATATGTCGAGGAATATTTAGATTTCTATTTTCACAATTATTATTGAGAAGTTTTCCAGTGATATTGATTGGCTCTTAACTAAAGGTAAACTGCAAAATGGTTGACACCATAAAAAAATACAAGAATTAATTTTCCAACACTTCTTATGGGATTTTGGGATTCGGTCAATTTTTCTGAAAATTTGATATGATGCTCCTCTCAACATTCTGATTAAAAGTGTTCATAGCCACAATTTGATCCTATGACTAGTTTTCGAGATACAGGTAGTTTAATGTCCAAGAAATGCACACATTGATATTGTCTATTTACAATCTGTAGTCCAAAGGTACAGGTAAAATTTACTTGAAAATTTATCACCTTTCAATGCTATTCGATAGGGAAAGGTAATAAATTTACCTGTACCTTTGGACTACAGATTTTGAATAGGATATATAAGATATCTTGAAAACTAGTCAGTACACACACAGTGCAAGCAGGTTTCTCCAAACAGGTAGAGTACCTGCTTTTTACTCTGTTCTAGCCGATTTAAAAACATGCATTCATTTTTCGGCGCTGGTTACCGGTAAGCGGAAACCTGCTTGCACTGTGTTTGTACATGATTGTGTTTGTACACATATAGTCTAGGAGGCAGTGAAGATTTTCGGTACTCATTTTCCCAGTCACGAAACATGGATAGAATTGTAGGGTTAGTAATTCTAAGCAAAAGTTATATATTTTTAGGGGGGGTTTTCCGATGGGTTGAGGCGCAAAATGCGTTAGAGCTTACGAATGCACAGCCCTTTTTTTTCCAGTGATAAAACTAAGTCAACTAATCAGAAGTATACTGAAGTTACATATAAAAATAGTCCGGCTTATCTGTGAGTATGGATAATATGTATGGCAAGTGAAAAATTGAAGATCAGAAAAACTTCAGCCAGACTAACTTTCCACTATCTGAGATGAGCCAAATTGCTATGTTCATATACTTTATGTTCTATTGTAGTGGATGTGGAATATTTATGACTTGGAAAATAAGTGTACTTGTATTTTTCATTGATCTAGTGAACCCATCCGAAAATTTTTGCGAAACTCAAATATTCTTGTTTTGTATCACCAAGAGAACAACTATTTGATATACACCAACTGGGAAAATAAGTGCAAAAAAATTTCACTGCCTCCCGGACTAATAGGATCAAGTTGTGGCTCTGAACCTCGCTATGAACACTTTTAATCAGAATGTTGAGAGGAGCATCATAGGTATCAAATTTTCAGGAAAATTGACAGAATCCCAAAATCTCATAAGAGGTGTGCTAGGTCCTTTGCTCAGGAATTTGGAACCGAATTCGAATGACAGCAATGTGAATCACATGAAGCCTTCGAAACAAGCTTTAAAATTATATAAAAATTCGTGAAATAAATTTTAACAGGATAGGGGCCTTGTGGAAGACATAATTAACGATTTTACTTACCTGATGAACCTGCTGGTTGGTTAGCAAGGGGCGCACAAATTGCCCCTGCGATTTTAGGCTTGTCTTCAATTCCGGGCATGACCCAATTATTGTTAGCTGCAAAATGCAAAAGGAAATTCGAATGAAGTAGAGAGAAACTGCGATTAAAATGGAAAAGTTCGGCTCTAGAATTATCTAGAGAAATCCCATCATGAAAAAGAAAACATTTAAAATAAACATAACCTAAAAACCTTGATTTTTGATTTTGTCAACGTCATTGTTAGATAAGGGAGACAATGCTGCCAGATTTATAAGATTATTCCAAGATAAATTCCAGACTCTACACAGCTTTTCTATGGTTTATAATGAAATTTTAAATCGTTTTTCTTTCGCTACTTCACTAGTAGTAAAGTTACAGTAAAGTATGTCTTTTTATAAGCTTTTTACCTGAATCTACATGTTTCAATTAGTAACGCATAGGTGGCGTTCATAAAAATATGCTCACCCTTTAATCTATGGTTTTCTTTATCTAATCTATGCTTTTAGAGGGAGAGAAAAACCGCTCTTTTGAAATGCCAGATGTTCATCATTTCTTCTCCCTTCCCTTCACCAAATAATTTGATTTTCAACCGTCGTTTTTAAACTTTTGTTGTGTGTTGACCAAAAACTGTAAAATAATTAGTTTCTGTGTACTAAATGCATAACTAACAAATTATGGAAGCCCTAAAAGACCCAGTGAGTGTAAGAGTGGCCCGGCTTAACGCGGAATTCACAAGATTACCAAAAAACGTCAATAAAACCAGTTTACTAAACCGTGAAACAATTTTGGATGCTTTGCAAGTTTTATATGAGGAATGCAACAACGAAAACTTGCAAAAGACCGACTCTAATATAGCAGAATTTGTTAAAAAATTTAAAAATGCTATCAAGGAAGTTCGGGCTTTACGTGTTAACATTTGTGACTTCGAGATCAAGAATATTATTGGTAAGTACAACAAATCCTTTACAAACACACAATTTATTACTCAACAAATTATTTAGGCTGTGGTCACTTTGGTGAAGTTCATGTAGTCAAAGAAAAACAAACCAATGACATCTATGCAATGAAAACTATTAGGAAATTCGACAATAGCACTAAAAAAACATCCTTTGAAGAAGAACGCAATATTATGGCATTCTCCAACTCCCCATGGCTAACCAGTTTACAATACTCATTTCAAGACAGCTCCTATTTATTTTACATCATGGATTACCATCCTGGCGGAGATCTTCTAGGCCTTCTACATAGAAAAGGAGGTTCCTTACCTGAAAGCGCAGCTCTTTTTTACATAGCAGAACTAATTTTGGCTTTAGACGATTTACATAATATGGGATATGTTCACAGAGACATTAAACCAGATAATATTTTACTGGATAGGTGTGGCCATTTGAAACTTGCTGATTTTGGTTCAGCAGCTAAATTAGATAAGGACAAGCTGGTTAAAGCAGGACCACCTGTAGGGACACCTGATTATATTGCTCCGGAGGTTTTGCAGTGTTTGGATAATAATAATCCTGGCTATGGGGTAAGAATTTTGAGATGTGTTATGTTATAAAGCCCCTACAAGTGTGAACTTTTTTTTTAGATTTCCTGTGACTTTTGGTCATTGGGAGTTTTAGCCTATGAGCTCACAATAGGCCATCCGCCGTTTCAAGGGCAAAATTCTACAGCCATATATTCAAAAATTATGAATTTTCCCAGCAATTTGAAATTTCCTAGCGATTTGGTTTTGAGTCAAGGATTTGTTAGTTTTATCAAAGTAAGTGAGACGGAAATGTTGTAGGAAACATTTTATTATTTCGATGCGCAACAAAAAATTCGAACTAAAACAGGTGTATTTGTTTATTTTGAATTCCTTATTTTATTTTTATTGAAGCCAACAAAAGCTGTTAGAATTAAAAAAAAAGTAGTTTAGTAGTTTCAATTTGCTTGCCTATGGTTGGGTACTTAATAATAATAAAAGTTAAGTTTATGTGGTGTAAAAGAAGGAAACTTTGCTGTTTCCTACAAGGTAAATAATTTTTTATTTATATGTTTTAAAATGACAATAATTATAAGTTTTGTCGAGAATCACCCGGAAAGGTTTTCTGATTGTTGATATTGAAAAAATATAGGATCATGGTAAGATGCACCTTCGACCGCAATGTTCAAAAATGTATAGTCTTTGTAAAGTCAGTTGAAACAAGGTAAAGATAAATCACAACTGGTGATTGAATACTTTCATAATAAATGCACTGCCACTTGTCAGCCACCAGTTGCAATTTATTTTTACTTTCTTTCAATTGACTTTACCACCTCATATACCACAGTCAATCAGATTTTTTTATAAATTGTTTCTGTTAGTTTGGTTTGCTCTCTTATTTCGTAGACAATTTCTAAGCTCCTGATTGGTTCCTTATTTTCCAGGCTCTGATCACAGATGTCAAAACTCGCCTAAAGCCCGAAAAAATCAAATCACATTCTCTTTTTAAAGAAACAAATTTTAATACTCTAAGAGATCAAGTGCCTCCGTACGTACCGAAAATATTATCAATTGAAGATACAAGCAACTTTACAGACATACAAGCTAAAAAGAAACATTTAAGCATAGAAAACTTCAAGAGAAGATCTCAGTTTTCAGGAAGGAATTTACCTTTTGTTGGTTTTACATTTACGCCCGATCCGCAAGTCATGTTTGAGCCGAATTTACAAAGACAAAACAATGAATTAGTTAACAGCCTAAAATCAGAAGTTGAAAATTTGAAAATGGAAAAATCAAAAAATGAAGACTTTAGCAAAGACAAAGAAAGCGTTGAGAAAAAATTAGAACAAACATCAATAAAGCTACAAGGGCTTGAAGCCTTAAGAGATAAATTAGAAAAACAAGTAGCAGAGAGTATGGCTGAATCCGCTGCAGTCAAACGAACATTAGAAATAGAACGCAAAGAACGTTCTAACTTAGAAAAAAAGGCTTTAGATTTAATTAAAGGTGCCAAACTTAAATGGGAATTAGCTGAAAAAAGCAAAATTGGGGCCTTGGATTTGGAAATAAAGCAATTGAAAGCCAAAATTGATCAGATGACTCATACAAATCAAATGTTGGATGAACAGTTGCTTCATGTGCGTAAAATGGAAGAAAGAAATCGTCAATCCTTGGAAACTGAAAAAAGTTTGGGAAGAAGAAGTGTAGTAGGGCTCGAAAATTTACTGGAAAAAGTCAATAATGAGCGTCAAATAAGAATTTCAGAATTACAAATTAAACTAAATGAGGAACAATCCCAAAAATCAGATTTAGAATTTAAAATTCAATCTTTAGAAAAATCTTTAGAACAAAAGGATATTGCTTTTAATAAATCCCAAGAAAAATTGAAAAGTAACCAAATTGAGCATGATGATTTAAAAAACAGACTTCAAAACAATGAAGTTTTCATTAAGGAGTTAAATGATAAAGTTAACGAGCTGGAATATGAATTAATAAGAATTGATGAATATGAATCTGAAATTGAGTCTTTAAGACACAAATTTGAAGATAGCCAAAAAACAATTAAAGATTTGCAAAATAAAATTGTCAGTTTGCAACAGGATTCCAATAATTTAGATCATCATAAACAAGAATGCGAAAATTTAAAAAAGAATATGCTTGAAATGCAAACCAACTTTAATATTTTGGAAAAAAAATTAGAACAGGAGAAAGAAGATAGTAAAACTTTAAAGAAACGATTAGAAGAAGCTGAAAGTGCAGAAACAAAAACACAAGAATTACGGGAGAAGAATTTACAGTTTTACAAAATGCAAAAGGAACTGTCGGATTGTAAAATCGATAAAAGGATTTTGGAACGTGAATTAAAGGAGGCCAAAATGGAAATCAAGCAGCATCAAGAAAAATTAGCTGATTTTGAAAAAGTTTTAGCCGAATCTAAGTCATGTCATGAAAAAGCTCTACTAGAACTGTCGCATATGAATGAAAACGTTTATACGGAATTAGTTAGGTCAAAAGAAAATATTAAAAATTTACAGGTATGTAATAATTTTTTTAAATTTTGTAGAATTTTAATAAATAATTTGTTCATTTAGGAGCAATTGCAAAATGAAAAGGGCAAAAACTGTGATGAGAAAAGCATCATAAATGAAATGAAATCTTTACTTGCAGCCAAAGACAATGGAATTCAAAACTTGGAACACACAATTAGAGATTTGCAAAATCAAAATGTCACTATAAGTAAAAGGTAAGAAATGGTGTAACGTGATTTTTTCAATCTACTTTTCTAACCATGGAATACAATTTTCACCAAGTATCAACTCAATAAATTCAAATAGCGTAACGTTTGAAGGGGAATAGATCCTCTTTTAACTGATTATATTGATTTAGAAAAATGTGTAATACCTACTACTGTACTTTTTGCATTTATCATGATAGTTTTTTGTTTTATCCAAATTAGGTGTGAAAATGAAGAGAAAGCCAAAGCAAATATGGCAGAGGCATTTGAAGTAGTCCAGAAAGACAAAGCTAAACTGTTGGATAAAATTGAAGAACTAAATACGAATGTATCCCAACTTACAGTGGTAAGTTAATCTCAATGACCTATTTTTTTGTGTTTTTCGCTTCTATAATATTATCTTGTTGAGCAATAGAATAGAACAATCTCACTTGATATTGAGAATAATTTTCCTATATTTTTCTTGATAAAAATTGAACATTGGAACATTTTAACTGAAGGTACTGTCAGGATTTCATGTTCCGGAAACAGATCTCTACAAGAATGCATAAGTCTTTTTGATTTGAAGTCGAAATCTATGAAAAAAGACACTCAGAAAAATTGAAAAATTGAAAAATCACCCCAAATAGCCTAACACGATTTTATTTCTGAAACTATAAGTCAAAATGAGCTGAGGGATTGTAGTCCTCTACTGGGATAAGAATCGCTGAAAATTTCAGCTTTCTTTCTTTACTAGAAAAAAAGTTATGACCTTTCAAAGTTTTCCAAAATCTAAATCATAAGGTAGCTAGCTACCATCTCACTTAAACGATGAAATTTCATATTTTTTGTTGTTTAAGATTTTTTGTCCTAATGGTCCTTTGGGACCCCCCTCAACTCCATACACTAAATTCTCAGATTTGAAGTCGAAATCTATGAAAAAAGATACTTAGAGAAATTGAAAAATCACCCCAAATTGCTTAACACGATTTTATTTCTGAAACTATAAGTCAAACTGAGCTCTACTGGGATAAGAATCGCTGAAAATTTCAGCTTTCTATCTTTAATAGAAAAAAAGTTATGGCCTTTCAAAGTTTTCCAAAATCTAAATCATAAGGTTATAAGCTACCTTCTTACTAAAACGATGAAATTTCAATTTTTTTGTTGTTGGGATTTTCAATTTTAATGTTATGGTTCTCAAAACATTAACGTCAACTCAAACGTCTCCTATTCTCGAGCTTGCACCCTACCATAATCATAATACCTTTCTTTATTTTCTAATATCATAGAACAGAGATGCTTTACGTGAAGCCTGCATCCTTCTAGAAAGCCAAGTAAAAGAATACGAAAATTTAGTAGAAATCAGCAAAACTAAGCAATCAGAACTTAGTGGAAATACAGAAAAACTGATTGCCGATCTTTGTCAAGCCCGAAGTGAAACCCAGGAAGCTAGAAGGCAAATTAACGAACAGAAATCCCTGAAAGCTGTGGCCGAACAGAAAAATAAACGCCTGCAGGAAGACATTGATTGCCTTACCAAGGAATGCACTGACTACAAGTCTCAATGTATGGAATATAAGCAATTTTCTCATGGCTTATCTGAAGAATTAACAGGTGTTGAAGAAAAATTAAGCAATTCTGAAGTCACTTTGAAATCTTATGAAAGAAAAATTGAAAAATTGTCATCGGAAAATAGAATTCTAAAAGAAGAAATATCTGATCATTTAACTAATATAAGTCACCTAAGAGACTCTAAGTATAGGTTGTCTCATCAGGTGGATGATTTAAAGAAAAACGTTGCATCCTTGGTGGCCAGAATCCATGAATTGGAATCAACTTTACAAGAAAAAATGAATTATTTTAGAGAGAGGGAGGTGAAAGCTGAGTCTAGAGACCAACAACATCTTAAGCTGATTGATTATCTTCAATCTAAGGTAATAATGATTAATGCAAACTACTCGATTTAATAATTTTCCAAATATGTAAGTATCATAACTTTTTCATTTGTAGATTGAAGAACAGTCTCATAAAAAAAAGTCCTTCACAGAGGTCATATTTGGAAGTTCGAAAAAAGAGAACCAACCGCCAATTTCGTTGGCCTTGAACTACAAGGATTTGGAAACGGAACTGATAAAGGAAAAAGAAAGCAACAAAAAATTGAAAGAGGAAGTTGTCAAACTAAAAGCTGCAACTATGAGCGAAATATATACTGATAAAGTATCAAAAATGGAAAAGTCTAAAGTTGACGTACTAACACCTAACAGTAAAGCAGCCTTAAGTCAAATTGTGGTTTCACCGACGTCAAGACAAAATTCTTCGAGGAGGATGCATTATAGTATACCTCATAGGTGAGAATTTTGGTAATCTTAGCTTAGTTTAGTTAGTTTTTCCTTCAACCTTTTGGATTGAATTATTCCTTTATTAGTTTCCCCAAACAAATAGCCCGCGACCTACTGCCATTTAATTCACTTCTGATAGAGAGACAATAGATAAACGCGAAATTTAAACAGAAACTTCAACTATTCCTTTTTTATCACATGTGCTAATTATTGTAAATTAACAAACAATTATTTCAAAAGCTATCTTTCAATTCCTAAGGCTAGAAAAAGAGATCAACACCAAAACAAGCAAATGTCCAAAATGCGGAGTAGTAATTCCCATCGGTACAATTCAGCAGGCTTGCAAAGAATGCAAAATAGCTTGTCACACTTATTGTGCTGACTGGCTCCCAAAAACATGCGGTATTCCTAAAGGGTTTATAGACCATTACAAGGAAACTGTAAAAGACTCTGAAAATGCAGCAATGAATGAGAAAAAGGAGATTCAAGAGTCTGTATTTGAGGGATGGATTAAAGTACCATGGTAAAAAGCCTAGACTAATATTGTTTCTACAAAATATATTATAAATATTTTTATTGCAGTACCAAATCCAACTCCTGGGAAAAGCGTTACGCGCGTCTAACAGAGACTTCTTTAGATATCTACACTCAAAATCCCAAGGAAAATATCACTTTAGCAGCATTGGAGAGTTTTCCTTTGAAACCAGAAGGAACACGAGGCAATGTAAGCAGAGATTTCCTTTATTCCATTTCAGAACTACATGTTGTCTTTTTTTTTAGGTGATACTCGAACCAACTCACTCTGAAATCGGTTTACCAGTAGCCAACAGTGACTTACCTTTCATAATGAAAGTTGAAGTCACTCCTGAGACTACATGTTGGCCTTCCAAGTGCGTTATTTTTATGGCACTTAGTGCCAAAGAAAAAGATAGCTGGTTTTCAGGTAACTTATATTTAGTCAGTGATTTGATGATCTATAAAAGTTTTATGCAGTGTACTATCAGTTAATCCCACAATTTTTTCTTCATGCTAAAAATACTGTAGATACTATTCAAATGACTGGCAAAATAAAATCTTATGAAAACCTTAACATTTTTAAAAAGTTTCCTGGTCCATGAACATTTCATTTTTTTACTAAAATAAAGACTGATATTTAAATCATTTTTCCATTTAGCTCTTCAAAAACACTTTGCCACTGAACCCTTAGGCTCCAAACTGGAAACTCTTATGAAATTACCAGAAGGATTGTCTGTTAACTGTCTTGTGGAACTTACCAATAATATTAGGGTTTTGGGCACGGATCAAGGACTGTATTCTTATTATGAGAATAATTTGTTACGGATTGAAGGTGTTAGCAAAGTTGAACAGGTAAGTTTTGCGTTAAGTTGATTAAAGACTATATATTCAAATTAAACAATTTCTAGATAATTCAATTTTCACCAGCAAACGCAGTACTCATGATAGCAGGACCAAAATCATCACTTATTTCTTGTGACGTAAACCATCTGATCAATTTAAGTCAGTGCGCTTCTTGCACTAAACCGACACTCAAATACAAGGATATTACTGTAAATAATTTAAATGGATTTCATATATTACAGGTATGTACTGTTTCTATTATTAAATAGAATTTAGGAAACTAAATTTGTTCTTATAGGTTTCTAAGCAAAAAAAATTGGGCATCGCCACTGTTAAGCAAGTAATAATCCTGGACTATTTCTATGAAACAAACGAGTTTATTCCGATCAGAATTCTGGATACAGCAAAACCAACAAGTTGCCTGTTGTTCACTGAAAATAGCTTAATTGTTGGGGCGGATAAATTCTTTGAGATTGACTTAAAATCGTTCCAAGGGGAAGAATTTTTAGATGCTTCTGATATTAATCTAAAACAAGTCTTGAAATGTTACAAAATTGGCAGTTTTCCTTTAAACATTTTAGAAGTTTCAAATAAGCCCAAAGAATATTTGCTATCGTTTAATGAATTTTCAATATTTGTTGACGAATATGGACGGTCTTCAAGACAAAAAGAAATAAAAAACGAACATCTTCCATTATCAATGCATTTATTGAAAAACTATTTATACATAATACAATTCGGTGCCATTGAAATCCTTAAAATTACCCAAGACACTTGTAATAATTCAACCGAATTGGACAAATACAGGATGGAATTAAATCAATTCAAATATTTAGGAGCAAATTCCAGAGGGATTTTCATCAAACAGAATGGAGAAGTTAAATTTTTGAATGTCAGAAATTTGCCAGATTTTGATGCCGTTTCACTTGTGTCTGAAAGTACCGAGCAAGAAAACGAATCAAATCATAGTCAGTTTAGTTTTACTAGTTCAATGGTGCAAAGTTTGGATGGGAATCTAAGCGATTCTGGTTCTGAGCAGGATCTGAGGAGGAAAGTTAAATTTGATCAGACTGATTTTTGAACATGAAATAATATTTTATAAGGTATTTGGACAAAATCTATGCACCACTGTATATGAAGGTAAATTAATTCTATTATTTGAAGAAAGACTTGGCAATTGAATCGTTTTTGGAAAGCCAAAAAAGAAAACATTGGTAACCATTTTTTTTTCTGCCAATGTGCTTTGGCTTGTTGAAGATTATTGCAATTGATACCAAAGAAACCTGGTAGGCATGTTATCTTTTCATGGTGTTAGTTACCAGTTTCGGAATACATTGTGAATCAATAGTTGTGAAAAGTTACTTCATTTCACAAATATCAGGGGAGTTTAAGTATGCAAAAGCATGAATTGCAAAATAATAGTTATGGGTAATAGAAAATTTTCAAGAAAAATGTAGTGGTGTGTTGTTTTGTCCAGGAGTTAATTTTGTACAGTAGTTTTTTATGCTTAAAAAGTTATGTATTAATTTTATTTTATATCCAATTAGTCTGTAAGTTTAATTTGTGTTTTCTAAATATATTTTTTACTGATTTTCATATAATATAAGCAATGTTTTCTATGGCTCAAGGGGGGGTTCTAAATGGGAGCGAGCGTTATCCTATCATTAAAAATGTGAGCAGCTATAATTGGTAAATACCTTAAAGCCAACAATGAATCATAAATCCACGGTAATTCCTAATCTCCTCATTCAGTTATTGGAATGATGTTTGAATTCAACCATGTGACTGCACTCGACCTTGTCTAGATACAAGATAGATATGCAATAAAAACTTAGAGAGAAGGGAAATGTGCTTTTCCTTTCACTGAATGTTCGGCAAACGTGTAGTGTGCGCGATTCGCCAACAGTTGTTACGCGTCAAGGGCTACAATTTGTGAATACCGATCTAATTTAAAGTAAAAAAAACACACCATCATGGGGTGCAATACCTCAAAACTTCCAGACAACACGACCAGTAAGTGGAGTAGGTATTTATCCCAATTTGTTAAGCTTAATTTATGGATGAGTCAATCACTCTTCTAACCAATAGGAGCAGGGAATATTTAAATTTGACCAATAGGGGCCGTTTCTAGTATCGGCAATTCCTGGTTTTCGATTTTATGAATTTGGAACAGGTGCAACCAATGGGTGATGTCAATTTTCATTGTAACAAATCTACCAAAACAAACACTTAACCTCAAACTTTAGACATACTTTATTAATTAATTGATATTTGTTAAATAACTAATTGAAATTGGGTGAGTGAGTTTTTACCATGTCAAGGAACTATTTCAAGGACTAGTGAATACTTTATTGTATGGTTCCCAAGTAGCACTCCCATGTTGGGCCAATATTGGGACAATAACTACGATTTATTGGCCCAAGTCAGATTCTCTATGTTGGCCCAATAAAAGATGTGGACATTCTGCTATATTTGTCCAAGAACGTTTGTCAATATATACCCAAAAACAAATACCAACGTTGGTACAATAACGTAACCAAATGTTGGCCCAAAAAGAAATAATCAATATCATATCAAGAACTTTATGCAATATAGAGCCAATTGAAATTACCAATATTGGCCCGGAGACGTATGTAAATCTTGGCTTTATATTATATTTAATTAAGGTAACGGACCAATTATAAGGACCGACTAAGAAGTGTTTTCTCTTTGCCGGACCATCCGTGGACCCGTTGCGCTGTATCACAAGTCATCAGCATGGTTAAGTCCCGCCAGGGTCCCGCAGAGAGAAAACAACCAATTTTTGGCTTCATCCTGGAACCAGGTTTAAGACAGGTAAAGTGAAGACAGAGTCTCCATCTATTTTTTGGTCGGCACACCAAGTGCGTACATTGAATACCCTATATTGGACCAACATTTTCAATTCAGAAAATCTAACCTTGGTAAAAATTAGTATGTAAATATTGGCCCTTCATTGGGCTTTTCAAAAAGTATCAATATTGCGAAAAAATTGGAAATAAATATTGGGTGTACAAAGTTTTTGAAGTGAATTTAAATATCAATAAAAAATTGAATGCCAATATTGAATTAATATTATATTACAATATTGTTTCAATAATATAAAATGTAATATTTGGCCAATATTTCATAAATCAATATTGTAGTGAGAAGTCTTGGGCCAATATTCAAATTACTGAAGAGTTAATTAATCTATGAAAACAATATTGGTACAAGATTATTTTTAAATATTGTTTCCACATAGTTAAAACTAACGTTGCCCCAATGTTGGTACTGTGTTGATTTATCAACAGAAATGAATAAATATTGGCCCAACTGAAAAACGATGTTTACCCCATATTATGTGCTACTTGGGTTACAAAGAAGAAAATGTTCTAAGAATTGATTATTTGATTTGAAAATGTTTCCCAGAAGAAATCCATAGGATGGCATGTCATTGCAAGTCTAGTAATGCTAATTTGTATAAATATTGTTATTGTTAGTTATAAGCAGATTACACAGTATCCGTTTGAACTAATGAACAAAGACACATTTTAAACCTGTCCTACTGCATTTTTCCTTTTTCCCAAGATAGACAGGACCGGACATTGACAATATTGAAAACATAAACAATGCCGCCTATTGTTTGAAAATGCTGTGTATTTGCGGTCGACGAAGGTTTCGTTTTACAGGGTTGAAATCACTATTTTCCTTTACCTTACTAGAAAACGTCATTTTCCATCCCTCAACAATGGATGAAAATGGTTCTTTTTCCCCCTGAATCAGAAATTTTCCCTTCCTTCCAACCCTTCCTCTTTGTGGACAGATTTTCTCTTTTTTACTGGAAACAGAAATTTTCCTCTTTTTAAATTAGTGGACCTCCAAATTTTCAGAAAATTCACACAACGTAGTGGAGATACGCCATTTTGGAATCACCCTATACATACTAGAGGGCTTTCATTTCAAAACTTGTCACCCACGTTATCTGCATAAAGAGGCATATTTGTAGAAATCGCCGAAACACGTCAACAAATTTATTGGGGGGGAAGGTTTTTTTTGTGAAACTGGACTTCCTTTCTTCAACCCCCTAACCCCCAGGGCTACCACCCCAGAATTTTCAAATGAGACAGGGAGTCGAGTGATAGATCATTTTAAAGGGTTGTTTAATCTGTACATTTTGCCTTTCTATTTTTTGAATTTAACCTCTGTGTTACAGAATAACACCCATATCAATGTTTAAAAATGCCTATTTATTTTTTTATATCCTACTGTACTATTATAACCATATAATACCTTGGTTACGATAGTCATAAACAGGGTCTTAACTCCCAAGGGAGTTAAGAATTTCATAGCGAGAATTAAGGATATCATAACTCCCAAGGGAGTTAAGGATTTCCATAACTCCCGCTTTTACTTTGAATATGTAAAAGTTTGTGAAAAAATAGAAATTTTCGTTTATGGTTTATTCCTTTATAAAAATAGACAGAATACAGTAAATTCAGTAGCATGCCAGGATTAAGGGGGGGGGGGCTAACGGGGCTGCAGCTCCGGGCCCCGCGGTCCAGTAGGGCCCCGCAGTGGCCCTACTTTCGAAATTGAGGCCTATGCTGGTCAAGGGCCCGTGGGCAAACAATAGATATCAAATGCACTAGTCTTTCGCGTCAATAAGTATTCACTTTACACACTATTCAGAAGACGTAAAATTTCTCTTCACGCATTAGTGTGTAAAGTAGTTCACTTCACGCACTAGTGCGTAAAGTAATGTCAATGACAGATGTCGACCTGTCAAATTACTATTTTTCTGGTAAATTACTTTACGCACTAGTGCGTAAAGTGAAAATACTTTACACACTAGTGCGTGAAGAATTTGTCTAAATTTATTTTTTTACACATATTTGATTGGTACCTAGTAGAAAAAAGATATTCTGACATAATTTTGTAAAGCATGTATGTATATCCTATTCACAATCCGTAGTCCAAAGGTAAAGGTAAATAAATCACCTTTCCTTATCAAATAGCACTGAAAGGTGATAAATTTTACCTTTACCTTTGGACATCGGATTGTGAATAGATAATAGGTATAGCAGTGTCAGACTGTTAGATCAGGAATAGTAGGTATAGTTTTTTTTTATATATATATTTTTCTGCACTTAATGTATGAAGGGCCCCCTAAAACTTTACTAGCCCCGGGCCCCATGAAAGCTTAATCCGGCCATGTTCAGTAGGATATAAAATTATCAATGTATCACGGGAGTTATCAGGTGTTAATACCCACGGGCAATTGGTGTCCCTTGGGCCACAAACGTTGCCCTGGGGTATTAACACCCTCATAATTTCCTTGATACATAAATAACTATAACACACCTGTTTCTTTACCTACCTTTTAATTACAGCAACAGGTAAACAAGCAGGTGTGTTTAAGGATAAATAGGCATTTTTAAACATTGAAATGGGTGTTATTCTGCAACACTGACTGAGGTCAAATTTAAAAACTATAACGGCAAAATGTAGGTACAGATTAAACAGCTCTTCAAAATGATCTATCACTCGATTTCCTGTCCCATTTGAAAATTTTGGGGTGATAGCCCTAGGGCTTAGGGGGTTGAAGGGGCGGAGTCCAGTTTTACGTAAAAAACATTCCCCCTCAATAAATTTTTTGACGTGTTTCGGCTATTTCCAGAAATCTGTCTCTTTATGCTGATAATATAGGTGGTAAGTTTTGAAATGAAAGCCCTGTATGTATACATACAGGCCCCTCAAAATAACTAAGCGAAAAATCAGTTCTTTGGGGTTCATCCATTTAAATCTTGACAGAAATATCGAAAATCCATCTACATATCTTGGTTTATACACTAATTAATGAAACGTTAGTGATTAATATTTTTCTTATTACATTTGCACAACATTATTGTAAAACTGATTCCAACCCTGTAGAAGGATACCTCACCTACAGAATGGACATGGCATTTTGAGGCCAATAAGCGCCAAGCGGCATTGTTTATGTTTTCAATGTCCTATCGTATCTATCTTGGGAATTGAGACTGTACTATTTTTTTTTTTTTTTTAATTTATCTTCAGAGATTCAAAAGCACTCGATGCCTTCGGTCTGGGTATCATTACATCAATAGACACACGCTTTTTTTAATCCTCAATCTCTCCAGGGTGTTTGACATCCTAGACCCTCCAATGCTGCTGAAAACAACTAATGTATGAGTATGGAGTCAAAGGCAAGAGTACCAACTAGATATAGAGTATTTTCGCAGAAAATCTGTATCAAAGTTATAGCGATTACTCCAGTACTTCAGTGAATTGTCTTCTTTTTCCCATTTGCTATAGCACTTAGCTAGTAGCATATACATACTTTTAAAAAAAGAGTCTTTTGTAGTTCCGTTATTTTTACCACCGATACATGTTAGTTTGATTTAGTACGGACTTTGAAGCCTATTTATGCTATCCTTGTTACATAATACAAGTAATGATATACCTACAGTTCTGCTTAAAATGGGGAAAGACAATGTTATCATACACCAGTTTTTTGTCCCATGAAGACAGATACGCAGATATTCGCCTGAAAAACCCAACCTTTTTCCGTATTTTTTTACAGAGGTAGATGCCTACAAAAAGCTAGCTGTGAATCCAAGTACATTTATCTATTTTAGTCATTTGAAACTTGGAATTAGCACAATCAGACTCGTTTTTAACTCATTAGGGAAGGTACCTACCGGTTTCAAATGAGGTATTTATCAAATAATGGATTTTTCAAAATACAGGCCCATTAGCATCCAAAACACCATCCCAAAGGTATTTGAGAGCATAGTGACAAAGTTTTTCACTCCAAATATCAATCCCTAGCTAATTGAGCTGCAGGCCGGTTTCCGTCCAAAATGCTCAACTGAAACCAATCTCCTGTCCTACCAGGACAAAGTTTCAAGGATTCTTGCGGATGGCGGATCGGTCCAGTCTATATATACCGATTTCGCAAAGGTCTTTGACCGTGTCAACCATGCCGTTCTGCTTACTAAGGTAGAAAGTGCTGGAATCTCCGGTACTCTGTTGAAGTGGATTAGCGACTATCTTAGGGAGGGAAATCAAATAATCAAAGTCAACAACCTCTTCTCACATGCAATTGACATCCCATCGGGCGTTCCACAGGGACCCCTGCGTTTTTATTAACGATTCAAGTCTTGTTTCATTGGCAGTGAGTTTCTGTGCTTTGCGGATGATTTAATGGTGTTCACTCAAGTCTCTTCCATTGAAGACTGTGCCAGACTACAATCTGACCTTGACAGACTCTCTGAGTAGTGTGTTTTGAGCGGCATGGAGCATGGAGCTCACTGCTTCCAAATGCAAAGCCATTGTTTTTTCCAAGGGTCGTAGCCCTCCACAATTCGCGTACCATATAAACAACGTGCCGCTCGAAACAGTCTCACAAGAACGAGATCTTGGTGTCATCTTTGACAGCAGTCTCAATTTTATCGGGGGTAATACCACGACTGCTTAAAAATTTCCGATAATTTTTATGAATGCTTGTTGTTTTAATTCCAGGAATTTGTACAACGAGCTTGAATGAAAATTATCTGGTTAATTTTTAAGCACGAATGGTATTTAGGGAGAATATTTCACGAATTTTATAAAAATTATGGAATAAAATTAAATTTAAATTTGTTAAAGTCGTTAAAATACTATTACATGAGCAATTTTGCGGTAACATTCCAGAGAACTTTTACTGTAATGCTCTTTATATTCTTCTCCGTTCCTTTTTCTCATATTAAAGGCCCAGCTTTTCAGGATAGATGCAAGTTCGGATATTGGAGTATCTTGATCAAAAGTGTACTTTTTTTCGCCGCAAAATGACATAAACTGCCTCCAAATACTGTTTTTAGATTTCACTGTGTTTTTTTGGTTCAACTTTCACTATACTTTTGTCGATTTCCTCATCTTTCCCTTCACCAAATCGATTCATTTTGATTTTTAATGGCTTTTGCTTTCGACGTTGAGTGTCAGATAAAAGTATTAGGTAATCCTGAAACATCGAGTGGTATTCAAAAGGTTATACAACGAACTTAACTTTATTGCTTTATTAATTTTTATAATTATTAATAACAATATTGCCACCAAGCGCGATAATCCCAAAAGGCTTATCACTTCTTAAGCCTCTCGTGTCATATGGGAATAATGTACAGTGAGTTGTATGATCGAATGTAATACCACAAGAGGTTTCAGGATTACCGGATAATACTTTTACCTGTCACGAAACGCGTTACGCAGCAACACCACAACTCCGAAGGAGGAGTGGTGTTGCTGGTAACGCGTTGAGTGTCAGGTAAAAGTATTAGGTAATCCTGGAACATCGAGTGGTATTCAAAAGGTTATACAACGAACTAAACTTTAATACTTTAAAATTTAAAAAAAAAATTCTATAGAATTTGCTATAAATGCCACCAAACGCGATAATCCCAAAAGGCTTATCACTTATTAAGCCTCTCGTGTCATATGGGAATAATGTACAGTGAGTTGTATAACCGCTGTAATTTTTCGATTTGTCACTTCTCTAATTGAAAAATTTATACATGAGTGAAATATTCGCCCATATTTCAGACATCACGACAAGGTCGTTAAAACTCGTATAGGCTTCGTTGAGAGGTGTTCGGGAGACTTTACAAAGCATATATTCTATCAGATACCTTTATTGCTCAATGGTGAGGCCCCTGACCAGACAGAGGAGTACTGCTCCTCTGTCTGGTCACTGATGTACTCTAATCATATCAGAGCCCTAGAGCTAGTACAGCGCAAATTCGTACGTTTTTTAGCCTTCAAGGCAAGTATTCCTTCACCTGAGAACTACGTATATGACTACAATGACCTATACAGACGCTTCAATCTACAACCCTTAGCAGCTAGATGAAATCACAGAGATTTTTATACTTTTTACAAGGTACTGAACTCTATCAGTGATTCCGCATACCTACTGCCCAGAATAGGGCTTCACGTCCCAGCAAGGGACACTCACTCTTCCATATCACCTTCTCAGAAAGAAATCACCATATAAGTAAAAAATTATATAACGCGTGTTCTTGCTGTACCCTGATGCAAAAATGTGTGAGACAGATATATCAACTTCGCATAAGTCTATCACTCAGCCTGGTTTGGTCTAGTGCGCATGCGTTGAATGCAGTTGAGGTGATTGGTGGGTTGTAAGCATGGTTTTCACACGATCGATAATCTCGTTTTCTAGTGGACGGACGATGCTCGACGACCAATGAGTGCTGTGTAATTATAGGCATGCGTAGATTTGACGGACCGAACTACAAGATAGACTTATGCAGAAATGATATTTCCATCTCACTCATTTTTGCATCAAACGCCTCTCATTGCGTAAATGGAGTACACGCGTTATATAATTTTTTACTTATATGGAAATCACCGTACAAACTATGGTTAACACCCATGGTAGCCTCGATTTTTTTAGACCCATAAATAGCTTTAAAAGAGAGCTTAACTCTCTAATGTGATAGTAATTCTCTTCATTTGTATGTGATACCAAGTTAAATAGCTAAGAATGTCAAGTCATCTTGATCAGTGATTATTTATGTCTGTCCTCATTTTTTTTTATACCCATAACTTTTAAATTAATGTTATACTGTTAATAAATGTATATGTATGTACTGTTATCCTGTCACTACGCCAAATATTACTGGCCTATGTTTACTTAGTTGTAAGGTACTTGTTGTTTCTTTTTTATAAACTTTTAATGGGTCTTGCCCGTGATTATTTGTTTACGAGTTTCGCAAATGTGATTCTCATGAACGTTGTGAAATTTGTTACTATAGGCGGAATTTCACTATACCAAATTTGCTTCTCAATACTTTCGGCCACTTCGTGCAAACTGTCTAAGTAAAAATCATTAAAGTTCTCTTCTGCTAGCCCATTGTACAATTTTCGAGTAGGTAATCAATATGTTTTTTATTCCCCATTATGTTTTTTACGCACCTCCACATTTTCTTTCATCATCACGATAGTCATCAATACTTTTTTCAAAATATGTTTTATCCACACATGAGTAGTTACAATTTGTTCCTATGGAGTTCCAAGATCACATTATTGATAGTGAGCTGATTCAATGTATGGACTTGTGACATTTGTGGCTTTTCCTGAGCAGTAGGCACCTAGAACTTGTATTTCTGTGCCTATCATTATTTCATATGGTCGTTAGTTGCTAGAAAGCTTCGCACATAATCCAGGGATTTCTTTGCTGCATAAAATAACTTAACTCCATTATATGAGAAGAAATAAGTACCCTGTATATTTACATGTACAAAATCTACTGCAGTCAATGGAGCCTTCTTTTGTTGCTACGAGTAGTGGCCAGTGCAGTGGGTTTGTGTTTTTTGTTTTTCTTGGGTATTCGCATGACAAATAATTCTTATCATCGGAAACAGTGTGGTTATTTTCGGAACATCATACAAATTTACAATTAATACACTCATGCGTGGTGAAATCTACCACTAATTGTTTGATAATATTGCATCAATTTGTTGACTACGCTAATAATACACAGAAGTTTCTGTGGCAGGATATTATGGTGTGCCTGGTGCCTATATGCGGTTTTACACATTATTCATCTAGTTTTAAATGAGAATAAAACGCACTTTATGCTGTTCAAAAATAACCAATCAAACGACCAAAGCACATGGATATTCATCTTGGAACTTCTTCTTACATTCTTCCAGAAAATGTACCTATAGCTAGAAGGGTTATTAAGTCACAAAATGAAATAAACTTGATTTGTCGTCAAATTTTTGTTTATTCCAGGATATTGAATTTTCTTTATGTTCTCTAAGTAAATGGACAAATAAGAAGTTCCTCAATATCGTTTCTAGGAAATTTGATTCTTCCCAAATTAGTTTCCTTGAAATTTAATACAAGTATTCATGGAAGAATGCTTCCCAACGGTGTTTCCCCAATATTTTCAAAAGTGTTCATACTTGAATTATGAAATTTTGTATTTTGGTATACTTACTGCATAGGTATACTTCTGACGCTGAATCAGAATCTGAGCTTGTTATTTATTGGGTCTCAGGAGTTCAGCGAGTGCATTGAAGTAAAAATTTGCAAATTTTCTTGAAAATGATTGTTGTATCGTTTTTTACCAAGAGTAAGGTAGGTAGGTATATTTTTTACGTATATAAATCCTTTAGGTATCATATCCTGAAACCGAACTGTGAAAAAAAAAAATACCATTAAAAAATGGGGTGATTTTTGCTTTTAACCCCTTCATCATCGTACGCTTTTGGATATTCTATATTTATATTTTTTATTCCTTAAATTCTCCGTGACTACCTTAATTAGATGACTATACAAACTAATTAAAACACGTTCCTTCGTCTAATTTAAATCTAAACATTTTTCTAGGTGGGTTTTTTTGAGTTAAGGTCATGTCAGTTCTGGTAGGCGCACTAAGGTCAGCACAAAAACTAAAGTATGATCAGTCACTTTTTCGCAGTGCTCTCATTCACAAGAATATTCGTCACTGGCCTACCATGGCTGGTATAACCAAGGACGTTGCTTTAGGCTCAGGTATTTCCGATTTAATTAATATTTTATTTTATGAATTGGATAATTATGAAAGTATTTAAATTTAAAGCCTGAAAATGATATTCAAATAAATTTATCAGTCATGTTCAATTTTTTGATTATTGTAAAACAATAAACAAATAAATAATAAATAATGTTTTATAATAATTATTGATAGGTACTAGCTTCTACCTACTAGTAATTAACCTTGTCACGTCCATTTATATCTATTCCTTATCTAAACCAATTTTTTCTACTGACGTTTCATAATAGCAACTTTTCGATTGTCATTTTAGTTTTGAAATGACATTCTTTTAAGCACTCAGTGCGTAAAAGTGACTTTTAGGCACTCAGTGCGTAAAAGTGACTTTCAAGTGCGTAAAAGTAACTTTCAAGTGCGTAAAAGTGACTTTCAAGTGCGTAAAAGTAACTTTTAAGCACTAGTGCCTAAAAGTGTCATTCATTGTTCAGAAATAAAAAACACACTAAACACAGATTTGAATTTTGTTTTGTATTTATTATGAATATTAGTCACCACCATGAAAGATGTCAAGCAAAAGCAGGTGACAAACATTGAAATAAAATAGTGTTTTTTTATTATGAAACGCCAGTAGAAAAAATCTTGTATACAATACGTTACGAAACGAAGTCTTTTAGTCACTCGACGTGTTGTCCAACTCGGCTTTGCCTCGTTGGACAATTTTCACGTCCCGTGCCTAAAAGACGCTCATTTCGCAACTTATTGTATAAATAGCTATTATACACTTGAAAATTTTGGAATGAATCAGCAATAAAATTCTTAAATATTGCTCTTACAGGTTCGATCTTTCATTATTTGCATTTTCATTTTCAGATGTTATCTTTTTCCGAATCAGTCTAAACTTTCCTCCATAGATCAGTCTCAGGTTCAATGATTAAATTAGGTTTTTGCATCGTGAGCATAAATGTAATGTGCTCCCTAGTGGGAAAAAATCCTCGGACCCAAAAATGGGAAATTTTACCTATGAATTCAGACAGTATATTTTTCGTGGTATTCCTAAATTTTCCTAAACTCAATTTCTGGACTCTACTTTAGGAATCATCTGCAATCGTCTTTTTCTGTACCTAATTTATTAGCTGGTATATAATTGAAAATTTGGTTGTATTCCTTATTTAAGCAATGTTTTTCTTACTTTCAGCCTCAAAACCCGAAGATACCAATGACGGATACGTCGAAGATGTGGTGTGCAAAGTGCAGGATCTTGCCGAAAACGAAATGCGCGCCTTCGATTTGGACGAACAAAAAGTCCTCGTAATCAAACAAAAAGGCGTAATAAGCGCCATTGGTGCTAAATGTACCCATTATGGAGCACCACTAGTCAACGGTGCCTTAGGAGACGGTAGACTCAGATGCCAATGGCACGGTGCTTGTTTCAATATCCAAACCGGAGATATCGAAGATTTTCCTGGTTTGGATTCTCTACCATGTTACAAAGTAACCGTCGAAGATGATAATGTTAAAGTCAGGGCTAAACGATCAGAGTTACATGCACAAAAACGCGTCAAAAGTATGGCAAAGAAAAATGTTGTGGCTAAGGAAAAGTATGTAATTATTGGAGGAGGACCTTCAGGGGCCACCGCAGCGGAAACTTTGAGGCAACAAGGATTTGAGGGCGATATCACTATGATATGTAAAGAAAAGTATTTGCCATATGATAGAGTTAAAGTGAGCAAACAAATGGACTTTGAAATTGATAAGGGTCAACTTAGAAACGATGCTTTCTATAAGGATAATGATATAGAAGTTTTGAAGGTGAGAATATTTTACTTCATTGTCTTTGATATAATTCATAAATGTAGTAAAATGCACTGTCGCTTCATCATCATCATATGAATACTTTCTCTTTTAGGGTGTCACAGCTACTGCAGTGGAAACTGAAAATAATTTAGTCAAATTAGACAATGGTGCCGAAGTTAAATATGACAAACTATATCTAGCTACAGGATGTAACCCAAGAAAGCCCAATGTACCAGGCAACGACCTTAAGAATGTGTGCGTGTTGAGGGGATATGATGATGCAAAGTAAGGAATTTCTTATTAAAAACTATTTAGTACCTACCTAATGAATAAATAACAAGAATTGTCAGGGATTTATTTCAATCCAGTTGCAGTTGTTATAATATGCTGAAACTTGGGATGCAATGTCTCAATTTAAACATTTCCTTTCCTTTTAGGTATGCTTATTCCCAATTAAAACCTGACATCGACGTAGTCGTCTTAGGCTCAAGTTTTATTGGAATGGAAGCAGCCAATTTCTGCGTATCAAAGGTAAAAAGTGTCACTGTTATTGGAAGAGGAAACGCTCCTTTCAGAGCGACATGGGGCGAACGTATCGGTGAGGCAATAAAGAAAGTTTTCGAAGAAAAACAGATCAAATACATACCTAATAACGGAATAAAAAAAATCAACGCCAATTCAGCAGGAGCTGTATCAAGTGTGGAACTTAGCGACGGCCAAATTCTGAAATGTGACATTTTGTTGTGTGGTATTGGAAGTACTTATTGCACTGAATTTCTCAAAGGCTCAGGCATTAATATGCGACCTGACGGTTCCGTAGAAGTAAATGAATTTATGCAAACGAACATTCCTAACGTATACTGTGGAGGTGATATTGCATATGCACCAGTATGGTCGCACAATAACACCAAAGCCTGCATTGGGCATTATCCTTTAGCTCAATACCACGGCCATGTTTCTGGGTTGAACATGGCAGGAAAATCATTCCCACTCAAAGCAGTTCCATATTTCTGGACAATGCTGTTCGGTAAAAGCATCAGATATGCGGGATATGGTAGTTATGATGACATTATTTACGCTGGCGATGTTGAAGCTTTAAAGTTTATGGCGTTTTTCTTGAAAGGCGACGAAGTTGTGTCTGCATCCTCGTGCGGAATGGATCCTTTGGTGTCTATGTTTGCTGAAAGATTAGCGCAGGGAAAAAAGTTGTATAGAAATGATTTGAAAGATGATCCTTTGGCTTGGTCTAAGCTCTCTTAAAAAAATTATTTTTATTTTAATGGAAAGAATGTGATGATGTTATGTTATTATTCTTATTCTTCTCTGTATGGTTTTACAAATGTTGCAGTATTATAAATAAACAAACTTATATGATAGTTTTGTGTATTTTGATTGTTCAAACTGAACATTTTCTTCTATAAAATCAATATGATTCCATTTAGAAACTTTATCACATACATAACTTACATTTTGATGTTATGCACCTAGGTACTTTGACTTGTTATTTAGGCTGTATTATACTCCTTGCTATCGCTATTCGGTCTAGAAATATTTGCAATATCTAGATTGTTCTCGTTCAATGATTACTTAATGGTTCAAACAAAATCCTCATGTGTTCAGTTACTTTTTATTTAACACATTTTCAACAGAAATACTAGAATTAACACGGAAAAAATCATCTTTTTACATTCAGAATTGCTCCTCAAAGGTTCCCGATCCCTCTCAAAATCCCTACCAAATATTCCAAAAGTCAGCAACCTATTTTGAGGTTTAAGGGACACAATGGATCGTTGAATTGTTGAATTTAGTTCAGTTTTCTTCCACGAATAGTCTTGAACTGCTAATGGCCGTATTGAGCTAAGTAAAGTAGTTGGATATTGAATACGGTCCTTTGATGGTGTAAAGTTGCCATTGATTTCAATGGAATTGAAGGTTATTGGCCAGGAAACTGTTGAATAATTTGAGAATCTAGAAAACAAATGGTTATCAGTAGGGAGAAGAAGTGTCGATGCGGCTTCCTAGAATATTTTTAAGCGGCTGCGCGAGGCTATATAGGAATTAATAGATAATTTCTTATGGTCCTGATCAGATTATTTTCAGTTAATAATTGAGTAGGCATTTCCTGTATTATAGAATACTGCAAATGAGAATGTTTTTCATGTCACTATCTCAAGTAGACACTCGGTAGGTGGATACATATTATACAGGGGTGTTCCAAAAAGGTGGTGCCAAATTTGAGTTCATAGGGGACATTGAGGTGAATCATTTTTTGCATAGAGACCCCTCGTCATAAATAGGCCGTTTTGAATCTAGAGTAATTTTTGTTTACAGACGTGTTGTTGTCTTCTTGATTTTAAAAGATTTGATTTAGATGAAAAAAAAAATTATGAAAAATTTTCAAATTGACGACTCCCAGCTTCTGTTATATTGAATCCGAATCATTGAATTGCGCACTAGTTGGAAGATGTCCGGAGCTCGCTGTACAAAAAAAGAGGGTGATGAAACATAAAATGTCGAAGTGTTTCAACGAAAAATTACTCTGGAGCCCCTAAAACAGCTCATTTTTGACAGAGATGTCTATGGAAAAAGATTCCAACAATATCTCTTATAAACTCCGTAAGTTTTGTACAACCTTTTTGGGACACCCTGTATATTAAATTTTAACCTTCAATAGATTCAGCACCAAAGATGAAATAATAAAGTGGATCCACAGTGGTTGAGCTTACCTTCTTCCACAAGAATCCACCGAACCATTCAAACAAGCCACTATTCCACAAGTTTCCACTCCGCCATAATAAAATCCAGAATAGGTTCTTACCCCATTGAAAGCCACCAAATGATAAGTGTAAACGTCCTTGGAGGCACTCTGAGAAGAACTTACAGAAATATTGATCGAAAAATCACAGCAAAGTTCTTCATGACATACTGTTGCATTGAAATTTTCTTGAGATAAGTCCAAAATTACCGAGTTGTGATCTAAATTAAATTAACATTGAAACTTGAACATTTTTAAAATTGTACATTAATATACATGCACAAACCTTTAATAGTTGGATCCACAAGCATGAAAAAATCATCCATTGATGAAGCTAAATCGTCAGTTTCTCGTTCATTAAAAGTTTTTTGTGATGTCACATTATCCGAAACGGACCCTATCAAAATATTAGTACTACCTGTGGGAGATATTTCACTTAATTGTGCACCTCTAGCTCCTAAAAATATCCCCGAGCCTCCGGCTCCTGTCTCAGGGTAACTTGCTCCTGCAGCTAGAAGCACCACGTCCATTTCTTGAGCCCACATTTGTTCGGTTTGCAATGCTAATTTGATTTCATTAATAATTTAAGCTTATTTTCTATTAGTAATTTATCTACCAGTTAAATATGGCAATTCTGATATCCAGTTTAAAGGAAATATAATATTTTCTACTCGTTTCTCTTTGACTAAATTGAATCCAGGCTTTCCAAACTGAATGTCGAAGCAGGTCATAATGCCGAAAGTTGTATTTTTAATGGTTATAACCGGCAAATCCAAAATTTCCGGTCTTGTTTTGCCACGTTCTCCGAAAAGATTGTATTTGCGATATCTATAAAAGTGACGACGTAATGGCAAACTAAATTTATCAGCCAAGAATGTTTACCTTGCCAAAACTGTACCATCAGTACCTAGTGCCACATTAGTATTATAAAACAATTTATTGCCAGATTCATCGATTTCTTCCTCAGTAAAATTAATGACAATAGTGGTGCTATGCAGTACAGCTGCACAAGAAATGTGTCTTAAAAATCTCTGATATCGAGTGTCGGTTGAATTGCACAGAATGACGTCACTTGATGGTACTAGGGATGAAGTAAAAGTGGTGGAAAAGTAAGGGGTGAGAGTTGATTCTGGAAATATTATCAAATCCAATGTCTAAAACAAAAACAGATATTTTAACTTTGTGAGTAGAAATGGAAGATGACGTGAATTTACATAGTACTACCGAGTTTATTCTCTCGGAATATTGAATCCAGCCATAAGCCATTAGAAAAGTCAATATTACCTTCACAATGTTTTTTACCCGTGAAACTGTAAAACATTCTGATTGGGTTAGAAATTGAAACTAGTATGAAAACTATAGCATGTTTAATAAATATATATGTAGGTATCCAAGTAAAACATTTAGTTTTTCATTTACAAATTTTGTAACACACTAATCCGAAAGTTTGCTGATGGTTTTGTAGGTATCTTTTTTAAACAATTCTTTATCTTTATGTACCTAATGTCTAAATGAAAATTTTTTTGATTAGCTATTACATACCTACCTGATTTTTCGTTACATTTTCTATAATATCCAGATAATTATTTGTATTTTCCTCTAGAATTTCTTCTAAGCTCTTTGTATAGTTTAAATTAGGAGGCAGTTCAATTAACGCTACATTGTACGATGCCTAAAATATAACAATGTAGGTCTTCTAACTTCACCATTGACATAATGCCATTATAGAAAAACTTACCAAAGAAGGCCCTATGAAAAAATCCAATAAACAAGCAGCAACAATTATGTGCATGATTTTTAACGTCACTAGATTAAACGCAGTAATCATTGACTGGTTTGATAATAACCTTGGATATGTAAGATGGTAAACTTATTAAATAATGATAACAGGACCGGGTTATTTGAGGTACTTCTACTTTTCCATGCCACTGATATGCCTACATTTTTTGCGAAAACCATAATATGGTGTAATGACTCACAAAAAGACGAGCTCGGTTACTAATTATTAATTAAATCTCTTCAACGTTTCACCTTGAGACAAATTTATAATTTTAATTTATTGCGGGCGGTATCTTTTGAGACAAAGTAACATGTACATGTTACTGTAAATGCCCGAAATTCGGTAAAACCTAGGATAAGCGCGCTAAACCTAGGATTTACCAAAACCAAGTGGTAAAAGCCCGAAAACTAGGTATTTTGTTTCGATTTCGGACTTTTACCGGACACAAACAGTAAATCTTAGGATTTACCACACCGCATTGGTAAAAGTACGAATACCACTGATACACGTTACAGAAATCGATATCGTGAAACGATAATCGTTAAGAAAATTAAGAAAATTTCTTGTGTCCTGGAGATTTTCCATCTCAGGAAATTAGCGTAAGAAGTGCAGTGCGAAAATTGTCGTTATGTAGTTGCCAATGATTTAAGAAATGCAATTGTATTCGAAAATGTTCCACCAAAAGATGTTTATTCCGATCCTCTAAATACTCTGCAATTCTAAATGCCATGGAAGTTTGCCCTGTACCAATAAATAAATATTTCTATTAGTGGATATTTTAATCCATTTATTTCATTAAAAAAATGGTTTTAACATTTAAGTACCTATAGTTTTTCGAAAGTCAATTGGAACAAGGTGAACACAACTCATAACTGGTGGCTGACTAAAGGCAGTGCATTTCTTATGGAAATATCCAGTGACCAGTCAGCTACCAGTTGGTATCTTGTTTTAACTGAGTTTGAAAAGACTATACCTACTTTTTGCAATATTAGGTTTAAGAATATTAAAACAAAAAGTGTTTCGGTGTGACTTTTTGTTTCATTTATAAAGTATCTTATTTTTAGACATTGAAATTTTAACGATTATCGTTTCACGATATCGATTTCTGTAACGTATCAGTGGTATTCGTACTTTTACCAATGCGTTATGGTAAATCCTAAGATTTACTGTTTGTGTCCGGTAAAAGTCCGAAATGGAAGTAAAATAACTAGTTTTCGGGCTTTTACCACTTGCTTCTGATAAATCCTAGGTTTAGCGCGCTTATCCTAGGTTTTACCGAATTTCGGGCATTTACAGTAACAGACATATTCGTACCGAGATTTTTAAATCATTTAAAACGGATTCTAATTTATTATAGCGGCATCTTTGAAAACGAACACCTGCAAATTTTTCGGCTTTTTTTAAAGTCACAAAGAACAGAAATTCTAAAAGCGTGGGGCTGTGGCCACAGAAATGACGCAAAAATCGCGTATAAAAAGGGGATGCTCATGCCGTTTAAAGTACAGTAAGAAAAAGTCACTGAGTGAGCAAGACTGAACGATCCGAAGCTTGAGTTGAGAGCCGAGTAATAAGTCAGTTTTCCGAAAATGTAGTAAACAGTAAATTTCGGTCTTACTCTAAACAAAGTAACGATAATAGGAAATTCTTGAATCGGAGTGAGAAAATTCTTAAATCGTGAAAACCAGTGAAGTAGATAGATATCAGAAATCGAACATTTGAGTTCGGGATCGGTAGTGAAAGTTAAGTTAAAGTAAAGACACTCTATAGGAAGAAAATTGAATATTGTATACTAAGGTAAATACTTTTGTAGACTTAACTTGTGAACTTAAATTGTGGACTTAAATAATTTGTGAACTTTAAAGATTTGAACTATAACTTTATCCATTGACTCTTAGTAATATGCATTCACTGCTCGAATTATTTTTATGCTAGTAAATCGTATAAACTTTTAAAGAGTATAAAGTAGCAAGATAATAAATAAGGGAAATTGATGTTACTATTTTAAAGCAAAGCATTTTAAAGGACCAAATGAAATGTTACTAATTTAAGAGGTAAGCTCTTAAGTCTTGGATTAAAAATAAAGAGATATTAACCATTTGAAATGCAGAGAATTTGTGTACTTATTTCCACCGTTAGCAATTACGAACACTACCACTGTAGCCACTTTGGTAAAAATCTGTAATAAATTGGAAACCGCTCGCCAACAATCAACATCTTATACAGTGATACTAGAGCGGGCGCTACAATAGGATCGGGATTTCATCGTAACATAACTTCCAGTGGCGCACCCAAGGGGGGGGGTTTTGGGGGTTAAAACCCCCTCCCCCCCGCCCCGAAATTTAGCACTGATACAAAAAAATGTCCGGTAAAAATATATTTTTTTTTGCGGTTTTGGTTAATAGGTACCTACAAACTACGTACATTTTATATGCATTTACGGTTAATACAACATGATACAACCGGATAACATATCAGGATAGACGGGTATCCTCACGCTCAGGTGACAGGTTGATGTAAATGTATATAAAATGTGTATACCTACAACTGTAAAAAATGCATTAAACTACCGATATCAAAAACTAGTCCTAGGATTGGTTCGGGTCCATGAGAACTCTTTATCAGGAAGTCAAAGTCTAACACGAATCAAAATTTTATTGAGTTTGACAGAAAACCAAATACCCATAAGAGGTGTGCGGGGTTCTTTGCGAATGATCAGCAATGTATATAAACAAATTTATTTGATTGGTGGAGACGGAATTTAGAATGTTTGCAACCATGTGGGAAACATACTATGAAAACAGTGGCGGTGACAATGGCTTTTTTTCGCGCAGCTATTTTGCTGCGAGCGTTCGTTTTAATTGTTTTTTGATGGAAATCACTTACAAAAAGTTATTTTTTGAAGGCTTGAAATAAACGTTTTTAGGCGTGATACCCGAAAAAAAATTCTTCCTACTGCGACGAGCCTTCATCATTATGAAAACCCGCCCCCGAAATAAAAAACCTGGGTGCGCCACTGATAACTTCCTTGTATGACTTGTTTCAATTAAACTTTTGCCATATCTTAGACAACTTACTATTCCAAGTTTAAGAGAAGAATTTCATTTTTAAAAATATTTTTGTTTTCTTTGGTGGATCACAGGAAGTTACAAAGCAAATGTAGTAAGACAGACAAGTAAAGGTACTGGATGCGTGGGATTCAAGCCTGTGATCACCTTGAAATAAAACTGGTGTTTGCTTGGCTATTTGCTGTGTGCCTTATATTGCCTTGGCATCACGATTGTCCCAATTTACAGGATTATTCATCGTTTCATTGATTGATTGACTTCTGCCAACAATAATTTATTGTAGGCAGAAGTCGTCTGATGTCGCTGATACCAGCATATTTTCCTATACTTTTTTTGCTGATTGCTGGTTTGTACAGGGTGGCCCATTTTCGATGTTTTAATAGGCTATATCGAAAACTAGCAGAGATATCAAAAATCTGGGAGCACATTCTCGAGCTCTTTTTTTGAGAAAATAAGAATGGCGAAGACAAATCACGGCTAACTTGATGCATTTAGGAAATACAGGGCATGACTTTTCAAATTTTGTCCAATTTTAAAAGACTTCTCTAATTCCCTTATTATTCAAGATATCCAAAAACGAAAAATACTTTCTATAGGCAATTTTTTAAGGAGAATCCATTAGCATAGCCAATTTTTCTCCAGATGCCTCCGATTTTGGAATATTGATCAAAGTTGTGTTTTTTCAAATGGGACACCCCGTATATTATTTTTTCATTGAATAGCTCTTTGTGAGCTGATTTTAATGATATACGGTTTTATACCTTTACCTTCTATAGCTTTGCAGAAAAAAAAAATAATTCCGTTTTTCCATAAGAAACAATGAGCTAGAGAGAGATAAGTCATTATAGTTATTTATGTATCAAGGGCACTAAGTAGAAGATTATGCCCTGAGGGCGACATTCTTACAAAGCCGAGGGCCTCTGGCCCGAGGGTTCGTAAGTCGCCCGAGGGTATATATATCTATTAGTACCCGTGGTGCATACAAACTTTTATGTCATACCAGTTGGTTGTGAATAATAAATACCTGGGAAAAAAGTGTCACTTAGCAAGTAGTCATCAGTGTGCAAAATCATAATTTTTTGACAAAAATAATATGTTTATAAGCGTAAATTTATATTTTGTTAATAAAGAATAAGATTATTGAAAACTGTTTTTTGCGTCTTTATGCCCGCGCGGGCCATAATGTGTACTTTATGCCCGCACTTGCATAAAGTAATGAATTATGTAGATGGTATCTAAGGTATAAAAACATAATAATGTATTGGTATGACATAATAGTAGATTATACCACGAGTCAATAATGATAGCTATTATCCCCGAGGATTATTACGAACTGAGCCGCGTTAGCGGCGAGGGAGTAACATTCCGAGGGAATAATAGCCATTATTGCGAATTGCGAGTAGTATACTCTACTTTATTTACGACAAATTAATTTATTTGAGATTTTCAATGAACAAATTTCATATGTCTCATAATTTTCAATACAGATCCACAAGCAATACACGTTTGACACTGACACTTTTGTGGAATAATAACCATTAATCCCGCTACTCGTCATTAATCCCTGGAGGAATAACATATGTCATTATACTGCCAAAATCACAAATTTAATACGCACATTATACATTAGTCGTAAATAAAGTAAATTATGTGTTGCCTATTTATCACCCCCGATTCATAACTCAAATTAAAAAAAAATTAGCTGAACTGAAAAATTAAATTAGGAATTAAGAAATTTGTAGCCGATTCATAGTTCAACTATGTCTTTCTAACTCATTGTTTCTTATGGAAAAAACGGAATTTATTTTTTTTCTCCAAATCTATTGAAGGTAAAGGTATAAAACCTTAATTATATCATCGAAATCAGCTCACAAAGAGCTATTCACTCAAAAAATAATATACGGGGTGTCCTATTTGAAAAAACACAACTTTGGTCAATATTCCAAAATCGGAGGCATCTGGAGAAAAATTGGTCATGCCACTGGATACTCCTTGAAAAACTGCCTATAGAAAGTATTTTTCGTTTTTGGATATCTTGAATAATAAGGAAATTAGAGAGTCTTTTAAAATTGGACAAAATTTGAAAAGTGCCCTGTATTTCCTAAATTCATCAAGTTAGCCGTGATTTGTCTTCGCCATTGTTATTTTCTCAAAAAAAGAGCTCGAGAATGTGCTCCCAGATTTTTGATATCTCTGCTGGTTTTCGATATAGCCTATTAAAACATCGAAAATGGTCCACCCTGTACATTCCGTCGTATAAAAATTCAATTAACTGCCAAACACATAAGCAAAAAATCAGTATAAAGAAATAAAAACAAAATTTAAATTTCATTTATTTCAGAAAAATTTCATCAACAGGTACTTTATCAAAAAAATCCTGAGCATATCTCTTCAGAAATCCTGCATAGCATTCCTCAGTAGAAGTACGTACGTCACTAAACAAAGCATCCCAATTCTCATTAATCACCCTGTTGATATTGTCGCCTAACAACTTATTGCCGTTGAATAAATTCTCAAAATTCATCTGCATTTTTTTCATGTGTATACCCACCCTGAAAGATGTGATTTTGAAATAGGTTTTGTCATCTTTTTTTGTTTCTTGAAAGTCCATCGTCACTGGAAAATCTAGTTCATCTAAAACAAGAGAATTTTTCATATATACATATAGGTAATTGATTCGAGGTAGTGCAGTCAGTAGGTATTATTACTTGGCAATATTGTCAACTACTTAAGTAAATACCACTCTGTACATCAACTTTACTAAAGTGTGTCGACGAGTCAGCCTTTATTTGGTATAAATACCGCACCGAAATCCATTACCGGGAGACTAAGGCTAGTGCAAAGTACCTCAAATGGGAAAAGCTCCTCTAGCTAAGTCTCCTCCCAGTGCAAACTACCTTTAATGAGAAACGCCCTCCTGGAAGTATTGAATGCAGCAGACTAGGTCCAGTGCAAACTACCTTCAATGGGAAACGCCCTTCTAGACCTGTCTCAAACCAGACCCTTTGGAGAGTATTGAACTCCAGCAGACTAGGTCCAGTGCAAACTACCTTTATTGGGAAATGCCCTTCTGGGCCTGTCTCAAACCCAGCTTCAGTCTTCAGTCACGCCAAGTGTACAGAGTGTACATAATACAGAGTGGCCTATAAATAGTACGTCCCTCCGTAGAAGAGACGTCATGATACTATTTCTAGGGTAATAATATTATTATTCAATACATCTTATTATACCTATACAAAGCGAGTTTCTCTCTACCTGAACCTCACCTACGCCCCCAGGTCACGTTCCTGTTGTGACGTCCCAGGACGAAACGTATAGGGGTTGTGACAATATGACAGTTGTAGGACATACGAATTTTCATTTTTAGTTTATAATTTAAATTTCATTCCTATCATTATCATTATTTGAAAACAAATTTTATTTACACTTTTGTCGTTGAAAATTCTCATACTGATAAATTGTACAGGGTGGGCCAATTTGGACACTTTCTTATGGAAACACCCTTTATTTTTAGAGATAGAAAAAAAATGAACCCCCCACTCTGAGGCTCAAATTTCATGAAATTTTGATTGGTGCAAACCGCATTTTGATATCTGCAACCGTTTAGCCGCTGGAGGGCGATTCTCGATTTTGAGCAATACTGTGAAACCTTCATAACTTTTTTATTTATGAAAATAATTCATTTCTGTAAAGACTTTCTGGAAGCACTTTTTTAAGTGGAATTCAGTGACGTTCACAGCTTTTTTTCTATTTGGCTCCGATTCCGAGATATTGACCAAAATCCGACTTTTTTCAATAGGACATCCTATATATTAATAGCTCATTGAAAAGCTTTGCTTTTGCTGATTTCAATTATATAAATTTCGATAGGTTTATCTCCAACGGTTTCCGAGAAAAAAATTATTTTGATTTTTGTCATAAGACACAATGTGTTGGAAAAGGACTTTATATCTGTAAGGAAAACGAGAAAGGTCCCTTTCTTATGACAAAAACAGAAATAATTTTTTTTTCTCAAAAACTGTTAGGGATAAACCTATTGAACTTTATATCATTGAAATCAGCAAAAGCAGAGCTTTCCAATAAGCTATTAATATATAGGGTGTTCTATTGATAAAAATCGGATTTTGGTCAATATCTCGAAATCCGAGTCAATTAGAAAAAAACTGAGAACGTCACTGAATTCCTCTTAAAAAAGTGCTCTTAGAAAGTCTTTACGGAAATCAATTATTTTCATAAACAAAAAAGTTATAAAGGTTTCACGGTATTGCTCAAAATCGAGAATCGCCCTCTAGCGGCTAAACGGTTGAAGATATCAAAATGCGGTTTGCACCAATCAAAATTTCATTAAATTTGAGCCTCAGAGTGGGGGGTTCATTTTTTTCTATCTCTAAAAATAAAGGGTTTTTCCATAAGAAAGTGTCTAATTTGGACCACCCTGTACATAGGTAGGTATATATTATTGCATTAAAAGCAAATCGTGACTATTCTTCAATGCCTATTTTATTTTATAAACAATTTAATGACAAGAACTTATATTAAAGGTCAATTTTATCATTAATAAGTATCATTATGTTTACCAGAATTTCCATAAACAGTTTTTTTTACCAACCATTGGGTAGACACATTTTACTTTCTGTTTTTCATGCAAATCTAGAAAATAGTTTATAAAAAAATTGACCTCGAACCAAAGTTTGAATGAATGGAAAAAAGTTGAAAAACAAATTAGTTTTTTAGGCGACTGTCACAAAAAGATTAGTTTTACGGATTCAATATCATCCCTAAAGTATATCTTTTTTGGCCGCATTTACTTTACGGCCGCATTTACTTCACGGCCGCATTTGCTTTATTACTTTACGGCCGCTTTTACTTCACGGCCGCTTTTACTTTACGGCCGCTTTTACTTTACGGCCGCTTTTACTTCACGGCCGCTTTTACTTTACGGCCGCTTTTACTTTACGGCCGCTTTTACTTTACGGCCGCTATATACTTTGGTGAAAATATATAAACAGACAATCGGAAACGCGGTCCGTAACTATAAACACAACCAATAAATAGTTAGCAACCACAATGCAACCAAATTTTTGATTTTAGCCCTATCCTATTACTTTTTCAAAAAAGCACAATATAGGATACCATGCGAAAAAGTCGGCAATTTTCTATAATCACACTTCCCTTATAGTAGTTTTTGTTACTAATAATTATGTATCTACCTATCTTTGCTGGATTATTTATCTAATCAATAAAAAGTTAAAGCTCCTGTTGAATTTTCGTATTTTTTCAAGAAAAAACACTCGCCTAAAAAATTTTGTGTGCACCTCGGCCGAATGATCTTTTTTGGCCTCACCTGAAATTTGCTTGGCCTCGGCTACGCCTCGGCCGCAAATTTCTGATTCGGCCAAAAAAGATCAACTTTACGGCCTTGGTACACAAATAACTACCATTTTTTTGTTTGTAAAACCATTACAAAACATATCACAAAAAAATATCCTGAGTTGCCTCAACGGTAAAACCTGTAGGTAGGTATACATTGATTACAAACAAACCTCAGTATAACGTCACAAACCGAACCAAGATCTTGAAGGATGAGTGATAGAAATTTTACAGCGATCTTAGAAAATAAAATACGATAAAGTGAAGATTAGCATCTTACCAATCCAAAAAGTACATTTGCCATTTCCTACTACAGGTAAAGCCAATATTTTGCCGTCGACCACGTAATTACCTTGCTGGATCATGCGAGTGAGCTTGGTGGAAATTTGAAGGGATTTTTTTTTGTCGTCGAAGCTAAAAATTTAGTTGTTATAAACTATACCAGCATATTTTCCTATACTTTTTTTGCTGATTGCTGGTTTGTACAGGGTGGCCCATTTTCGATGTTTTAATAGGCTATATCGAAAACTAGCAGAGATATCAAAAATCTGGGAGCACATTCTCGAGCTCTTTTTTTGAGAAAATAAGAATGGCGAAGACAAATCACGGCTAACTTGATGCATTTAGGAAATACAGGGCATGACTTTTCAAATTTTGTCCAATTTTAAAAGACTTCTCTAATTCCCTTATTATTCAAGATATCCAAAAACGAAAAATACTTTCTATAGGCAGTTTTTTAAGGAGAATCCATTAGCATAGCCAATTTTTCTCCAGATGCCTCCGATTTTGGAATATTGATCAAAGTTGTGTTTTTTCAAATGGGACACCCCGTATATTATTTTTTCATTGAATAGCTCTTTGTGAGCTGATTTTAATGATATACGGTTTTATACCTTTACCTTCTATAGCTTTGCAGAAAAAAAAAATAATTCCGTTTTTCCATAAGAAACAATGAGCTAGAGAGAGATAAGTCATTATAGTTATTTATGTATCAAGGGCACTAAGTAGAAGATTATGCCCTGAGGGCGACATTCTTACAAAGCCGAGGGCCTCTGGCCCGAGGGTTCGTAAGTCGCCCGAGGGTATATATATCTATTAGTACCCGTGGTGCATACAAACTTTTATGTCATACCAGTTGGTTGTGAATAATAAATACCTGGGAAAAAAGTGTCACTTAGCAAGTAGTCATCAGTGTGCAAAATCATAATTTTTTGACAAAAATAATATGTTTATAAGCGTAAATTTATATTTTGTTAATAAAGAATAAGATTATTGAAAACTGTTTTTTGCGTCTTTATGCCCGCGCGGGCCATAATGTGTACTTTATGCCCGCACTTGCATAAAGTAATGAATTATGTAGATGGTATCTAAGGTATAAAAACATAATAATGTATTGGTATGACATAATAGTAGATTATACCACGAGTCAATAATGATAGCTATTATCCCCGAGGATTATTACGAACTGAGCCGCGTTAGCGGCGAGGGAGTAACATTCCGAGGGAATAATAGCCATTATTGCGAATTGCGAGTAGTATACTCTACTTTATTTACGACAAATTAATTTATTTGAGATTTTCAATGAACAAATTTCATATGTCTCATAATTTTCAATACAGATCCACAAGCAATACACGTTTGACACTGACACTTTTGTGGAATAATAACCATTAATCCCGCTACTCGTCATTAATCCCTGGAGGAATAACATATGTCATTATACTGCCAAAATCACAAATTTAATACGCACATTATACATTAGTCGTAAATAAAGTAAATTATGTGTTGCCTATTTATCACCCCCGATTCATAACTCAAATTAAAAAAAAATTAGCTGAACTGAAAAATTAAATTAGGAATTAAGAAATTTGTAGCCGATTCATAGTTCAACTATGTCTTTCTAACTCATTGTTTCTTATGGAAAAAACGGAATTTATTTTTTTTCTCCAAATCTATTGAAGGTAAAGGTATAAAACCTTAATTATATCATCGAAATCAGCTCACAAAGAGCTATTCACTCAAAAAATAATATACGGGGTGTCCTATTTGAAAAAACACAACTTTGGTCAATATTCCAAAATCGGAGGCATCTGGAGAAAAATTGGTCATGCCACTGGATACTCCTTGAAAAACTGCCTATAGAAAGTATTTTTCGTTTTTGGATATCTTGAATAATAAGGAAATTAGAGAGTCTTTTAAAATTGGACAAAATTTGAAAAGTGCCCTGTATTTCCTAAATTCATCAAGTTAGCCGTGATTTGTCTTCGCCATTGTTATTTTCTCAAAAAAAGAGCTCGAGAATGTGCTCCCAGATTTTTGATATCTCTGCTGGTTTTCGATATAGCCTATTAAAACATCGAAAATGGTCCACCCTGTACATTCCGTCGTATAAAAATTCAATTAACTGCCAAACACATAAGCAAAAAATCAGTATAAAGAAATAAAAACAAAATTTAAATTTCATTTATTTCAGAAAAATTTCATCAACAGGTACTTTATCAAAAAAATCCTGAGCATATCTCTTCAGAAATCCTGCATAGCATTCCTCAGTAGAAGTACGTACGTCACTAAACAAAGCATCCCAATTCTCATTAATCACCCTGTTGATATTGTCGCCTAACAACTTATTGCCGTTGAATAAATTCTCAAAATTCATCTGCATTTTTTTCATGTGTATACCCACCCTGAAAGATGTGATTTTGAAATAGGTTTTGTCATCTTTTTTTGTTTCTTGAAAGTCCATCGTCACTGGAAAATCTAGTTCATCTAAAACAAGAGAATTTTTCATATATACATATAGGTAATTGATTCGAGGTAGTGCAGTCAGTAGGTATTATTACTTGGCAATATTGTCAACTACTTAAGTAAATACCACTCTGTACATCAACTTTACTAAAGTGTGTCGACGAGTCAGCCTTTATTTGGTATAAATACCGCACCGAAATCCATTACCGGGAGACTAAGGCTAGTGCAAAGTACCTCAAATGGGAAAAGCTCCTCTAGCTTAGTCTCCTCCCAGTGCAAACTACCTTTATTGAGAAACGCCCTCCTGGAAGTATTGAATGCAGCAGACTAGGTCCAGTGCAAACTACCTTCAATGGGAAACGCCCTTCTAGACCTGTCTCAAACCAGACCCTTTGGAGAGTATTGAACTCCAGCAGACTAGGTTCAGTGCAAACTACCTTTATTGGGAAACGCCCTTCTGGGCCTGTCTCAAACCCAGCTTCAGTCTTCAGTCACGCCAAGTGTACAGAGTGTACATAATACAGAGTGGCCTATAAATAGTACGTCCCTCCGTAGAAGAGACGTCATGATACTATTTCTAGGGTAATAATATTATTATTCAATACATTATCTTATTATACCTATACAAAGCGAGTTTCTCTCTACCTGAACCTCACCTACGCCCCCAGGTCACGTTCCTGTTGTGACGTCCCAGGACGAAACGTATAGGGGTTGTGACAATATGACAGTTGTAGGACATACGAATTTTCATTTTTAGTTTATAATTTAAATTTCATTCCTATCATTATCATTATTTGAAAACAAATTTTATTTACACTTTTGTCGTTGAAAATTCTCATACTGATAAATTGTACAGGGTGGGCCAATTTGGACACTTTCTTATGGAAACACCCTTTATTTTTAGAGATAGAAAAAAATGAACCCCCCACTCTGAGGCTCAAATTTCATGAAATTTTGATTGGTGCAAACCGCATTTTGATATCTGCAACCGTTTAGCCGCTGGAGGGCGATTCTCGATTTTGAGCAATACTGTGAAACCTTCATAACTTTTTTATTTATGAAAATAATTCATTTCTGTAAAGACTTTCTGGAAGCACTTTTTTAAGTGGAATTCAGTGACGTTCACAGCTTTTTTCTATTTGGCTCCGATTCCGAGATATTGACCAAAATCCGACTTTTTTCAATAGGACATCCTATATATTAATAGCTCATTGAAAAGCTTTGCTTTTGCTGATTTCAATTATATAAATTTCGATAGGTTTATCTCCAACGGTTTCCGAGAAAAAAATTATTTTGATTTTTGTCATAAGACACAATGTGTTGGAAAAGGACTTTATATCTGTAAGGAAAACGAGAAAGGTCCCTTTCTTATGACAAAAACAGAAATAATTTTTTTTCTCAAAAACTGTTAGGGATAAACCTATTGAACTTTATATCATTGAAATCAGCAAAAGCAGAGCTTTCCAATAAGCTATTAATATATAGGGTGTTCTATTGATAAAAATCGGATTTTGGTCAATATCTCGAAATCCGAGTCAATTAGAAAAAAACTGAGAACGTCACTGAATTCCTCTTAAAAAAGTGCTCTTAGAAAGTCTTTACGGAAATCAATTATTTTCATAAACAAAAAAGTTATAAAGGTTTCACGGTATTGCTCAAAATCGAGAATCGCCCTCTAGCGGCTAAACGGTTGAAGATATCAAAATGCGGTTTGCACCAATCAAAATTTCATTAAATTTGAGCCTCAGAGTGGGGGGTTCATTTTTTTCTATCTCTAAAAATAAAGGGTTTTTCCATAAGAAAGTGTCTAATTTGGACCACCCTGTACATAGGTAGGTATATATTATTGCATTAAAAGCAAATCGTGACTATTCTTCAATGCCTATTTCATTTTATAAACAATTTAATGACAAGAACTTATATTAGAGGTCAATTTTATCATTAATAAGTATCATTATGTTTACCAGAATTTCCACATAAACAGTTTTTTTTACCAACCATTGGGTAGACACATTTTACTTTCTGTTTTTCATGCAAATCTAGAAAATAGTTTATAAAAAAATTGACCTCGAATCAAAGTTTGAATGAATGGAAAAAAGTTGAAAAACAAATTAGTTTTTCAATACCATTTTTTTGTTTGTAAAACCATTACAAAACATATCACAAAAAAATATCCTAAGTTGCCTCAACGGTAAAACCTGTAGGTAGGTATACATTGATAATAAACAAACCTCAGTATAACGACACAAACCGAACCAAGATCTTGAAGGATTAGTGATAGAAATTTTACAGCGATCTTAGAAAATAAAATACGATAAAGTGAAGATTAGCATCTTACCAATCCAAAAAGTACATTTGCCATTTCCTACTACAGGTAAAGCCAATATTTTGCCGTCGACCACGTAATTACCTTGCTGGATCATGCGAGTGAGCTTGGTGGAAATTTGAAGGGATTTTTTTTTGTCGTCGAAGCTAAAAATTTAGTTGTTATAAACTACCGTCAGACAAAAATCAAAATACACAAAACTTCATCTATCGTACAAACCCAATCCTTACTGTGCTTTAATCACGGTCAAATTCGAAAAACCCAAAATTTCGACATCGATGTGGTACTGATCCAATTGCACTGGTCCAGTGCCGCCTTTAATAGTGAAATTTCCTGCGAAAAGTGGATCGAATTTTTTCAAACCATATTCTGGATATCCTGATTTTATTGCCCTTAGAGCAGTTTGGATGGATTTTGCCAGGCAGTCGTCAAAATTTCCATCGCCCAATTTGCAAAATGAGAACTTATCGGATGCGGCTGAAATTGTTCTTATTTCAATCTGATGAACTACTTCAGTTCATCTATTCCAAACTTGTTATGGAAGTTACCACTTCCATCACAAGATTTTGGAATAGACAAAGCTTCTCAAGTTGTTTCTGAAAACAACTGCACCTGAGACTCCTAAGAGCCCTTTTCCCATCTCTGGAAACTCTGATGGGAGCCAAAATTCTGTATAAATATTAAATTGAGTTCTTTAAAAATATCGGCGAGCTCTTAGAGGTAAAATTCTGTTTATTGATATTACTTTTTGTAGAAAAAAAAATGAACAATATTGCATACTTACAGCAGTTATTGGTGAATAACAAAATACAAAGTATTATAAATCGCAACATTTTATCTTCACCAATGCAATGTCCTAGTACTTTTAGCACTCTAATAAAAATTGTAGGTACCAGGTATCAGGTACCTCGAATTAATTATAAACTAATCAATATATAGGTATGAAAAATACCAATGGGGTATTATAATTGGCAAATCAATTGGATTCTCCAATTAAAATAATTATTTTTCCGCGTGTTGAAAAAAAAATAAATGTTAATTAATATCTCGTAAATTAATAATTTCAATTATACTCTAATTTGAAAATAACTTGTCAACTGACACTTTATCGAAAAAGTTTTGAGCGCATTTACGACAAACTTCGGCATAACTGCTCTCAACGTTTCCTCGTACGTCATCATATACAGCTCGCCATTCCTCGTTGACTAGTTTATTCATGTTAATAGGTACTGTATTCTACCCGATACAGTACCTCTGTTGAATGTGAAGACAACAGAAGTAAAATGGCAAACATTCTACATGGAGTGCCTTAAGGTTCAATTATTCTGGCACCGACACTCTTCGTACATACCTCTCCAATTTATATAAAGATAAGGACCCTATTAGCTTAAAAATCATCATTGAAGAAGAATTATACAGGAAATAAGTTAACAACAAATTTAGTTTAAAAGTAAAAAAATCAAACTATACTTATAGTGATATCAAAGTTGGAGTCCTGGCCTGACTCAACGATAACATTTTAAGGTCTCCCATTGACTCGTACAAACTGATCAAATACCTGGGACTCTTTGTCAGTTGCAAACTTATTTGGTATATGAACATCTTTCAGATCTGTAAAAAGATTGCACCAGCAATTGGAAAACTTGGTCGAATATCAGACATATCTAAGTAACTCTGCTATGGGACAATGCTTCCCTTAGCAAACTGCATCATCCATTGTCCGTTCTCCAAAATCGCGCTACAGAAAAATTGTTCAAGCTGCCATTTCTGTTTCTAATAAAAGATTTATATTATCCAAATGGCATCCTGGACATTCACTCCCTGTATATCTCGCAAGCATGCATCTTTCTCTTTTCTTGCAAGACTTCCAAAATTCAATCCAAGTCTCATTACAGCCAACACAATCCACCACCACACTACCAGATTCAATGAAAACTTAGGAACATCGGCAACACCACAACTGGTCAACGCAGCATCTTATCAGAAGGAGTAAGGTACTACAATCGAATTCCAGAATCTGTTGAAAGATTGAGCATAACTTGTTTCAAGTGTAAGCTGAAGCAGCTGATCTGTACAATAAGAAATATGTGCCTACTTTTTTTGCAATTTAGAACTAATATAGTACCTTTTTGTACTGGCTTTTTTCTCTTGTGTGATATTATATAGTAGGTATAATAATGTATTAATGTTATAGGTATAAGATACTGAATGACCCGAATAGCTTTCTAGTCTCTAGTTTCATCTATTGTCTAACTATTTTGTTGAAATAAAGGAAAAAAAAAAGTAAAAATTTATAGCCAAGATAACAAATTTTAGCACAAACTTGGTTCAAAAAACGGAATTGAAAGGCTTTCTACAACAATGTTTAGTATTCAGAGTTCGTGAGCTTAGGAAGCCAGAACTGCGCCTGGAAGCCCTTTATCTATCTTTAGGAACTCGACTGGGAGCTAGAATTCTGTGTAAATGGTAAACTGAGTTCTTTAAAACTATGTGCGAGCTCTGAGAGGTTAAATACTGTTTATTAGCAGGTACCTTCCTATTAGTTCTTATAGAATTAAAAAATTTATGAACAGTATCACATAATCAGAGTAGGTACCTGAATCACGACATTTCACTCTCACCAATGCAATGACCTACTACTCTTGGCACTCTGATGATCACGAATTATAAAGTAGGTAATCAAAACATATTAATGGGGTTTAATTATTGGCAAATCAATAAGATTTTCCAGAAAAAATAAATATTTTTTCCGCTCGTTAAAAAATATATTAATTAATTAAGTATACTAATTTAAAAATAACTTGTCAACAGGCACTTTATCCAAAAAGTCTTGAGCGTATTTACGATAAACTTCAGCATAACTGGTCTCAACGTTTCCTTCTACGTCATCATATACAGCTCGCCATTCCTCGTTGACTAGTTTATTCATGTTATCTCCCAACAATTTATTGCCATTGAACAGATTTTCAAAATTCAATGTCAGATGATTTGGTTTAATGCTGTGTGCAAGAGATTTGATTTTGAAGTACGTTTGACCGCCTTTTTTCGTTTCTTCGAACTGGAAGTTGTAAATAAAGTCGACGTTTTCTAAATCAAAATCAGCTTAATTACTTAAACGATACAAGTTGATTGATGATTTTTTACCAAGTGTTAATGTAGATGCTCCGTCGCCAACGACTGGTAAAGCTAATATTTTTCCGTCGAGAGCGTAGTGACCTTTTTGGATTACTTTTGGAACATTGGCAAGAAACAGTAGAGATTTCTTCTGAGCATCGTAGCTATAATAATAGAAAAAATTTACAAAAAAAGTAGCTTAAATAGCCGAACACATTCACTAGTTTTTAACAAAGTAACGGAAATCAGTCAAAATTGGAGCGTATGATCTTATTTTTAAACTCTGCGCTGAGGCTATGTATGTCTTGCTGTAGAAGCAAGAATTGCCAAAGTTGATTATTATACTGTTACTGCCACAACGATCAAATGCCCCAATCAAATCCTGAATAATATAAATAGGTATAGAAGAACAAGTCATACAAGAAAATGAGGAATAAGAAATTGTACGAGATCAATAATTCTGTATTGAAATAATGTGTAGGTATTATCATTCCTCTTCAATCTACCGAAGTATAAGAAGTGATTAGTTACACGCAGCTCTTCATGACTTGATTGTCTTCCTCGTGTAACCCTAATGTTAAAATTAGTGTTCCTTATTTTACTATTTTCTTTTGCTTCAATTCCAGGACACCTGGGGGCGATTAACTATTCCACCTTCCTTTGTCCTGATTTTCTAAAAGCCTAGCGCAACGACTTCGTCAGCAGTGTGCTTATTACAGATATGCCAACTGGGACTAGGATTGGGAAACCACTATTTTCTAGCTTTTTCCAGCACTATATTTTCTATGTAGGTATACACTATACACTCGCACTTCCAGTTCAACAGATGTTTCAAGAAGCAGAATTATCGAATAATATAGAGCAGAGAAAATTTGGGTTGTGTTAAAAAAGAAATTTATGTTTTCCTTCTTCTATAGCCTCATTATCATCCATCATTTTTCTGCTGGTTTTCAGCGTAATCCTCCAGTTAGTTTGAGGTTTAATTACCCTTCCAATGGCCTGCCTCTTGATCAGTGCGAGGAAAACCACCTATTCAAAATATTATTTCTTCAAATTTTAATTTTTCTAAAAAAACGTTTACTGAATAAAAGTAAAATGTTGCAACCATGTATCCGCCGCGTTCGAGCCACAAGAAACGGTACTGCGAACGTGAGCTAGAGGAGGGGCGATTTGGCATTAGGGAGACTAGAGTTTCTTTTACATATCACAACTTCCCTTAAATTTCCCAAATATTTGCTATGTCGGGCGCATGTCCAGTAAGTAAAATTGAGTAAGTTTCCACAACGTCGGTCCTATTTATTTTTCATTTCATTTTTCAGAAGATTTATTGTTTAAAAGGTAATAAAAATTCTCATCGTTCAATCTTACTGAGCGAACTCGGGTATGTTATACTACAAGTGTCCAGTAATATATGAGCTGTAATCATTGTATTATTTTTGAGTTTCTTTTGCCGCATCTTTCTGTCTTGCAAGCCACTGCGGAACTCGATTTTAAATGGGCGGCTTTTGATACTACGTCCTCCAATCTCGTTCCCGCTTTTATCCACGTGTGTAGCTCTTCAAAACTCTTGGATATGAATATGATGACATCAGCGAATCGTAGAAGGTTTAGTTATTCGCCATACCTATATTCAGATAAGTCTAGTTCCGTGAATACATGTTTTGCCGAAGTAAAATTTTTGGGAGATATATCACATTTCCCTTGCAGATGTTAGTACATACGTATCGCCGAATACATTCCCACGAGATAGAAGGGAAGATGGTTTCCTATAAGAATTTGGTGTCTCTGCATTTGATGATTTTTACACGAAACTATTATAGGCACAGTTATAGTTAACTAAAGAAAAATTTTAACAAAGGGGCAAGTTTCCAAATAAACTTTAATGTAGTTACTTACTGAGCTTTAGTCACAGTCATATTCGAGAGTCCAGATAATGTAACATTGTCATAATTCTGGACTAGCTGGACTGGTCCTCTACCAGCGCCGAAGGTCATTTTGTCCATCCTAAGCGGGTCCAGAGATTTAAGTCCATATTCTGAATTTCCCGATTTCAACGAGGTAATGGCACTTTGGATACTTTTCAACAAACATCCGTCATCGCTGGACTTACAGAAAGTGAAGCTTCCAGCATCTAAAACAAAATTATTATTAGTGATTATTATAGAAAAAACTGATTTAGGTGAGGGATAGGTACTTACAGCCTCTCTCGGCAAACACTGCAAGAAAACCAAACAAAAATATCAAGTGCATCTTTTGAAAACCGGCCTACCGGACATCAGGTACTACTATACAATTATTTACTCAAACGCAAAATATTTATATTAAACTCAAAACTAATTATATTATTTACCTACATATTTTCTTCAAGAAACATCATTAAAAATAATTTATTTTCACAACTCATCGGGTTGTTAGCAATTTTTCCGGATAATTTGTTTTTTCCTACTTTTATTACATTAAACGAGCGGAACCATTTCAAAACAGTTCCCCCAAAACCATATATATAGGTACCTCTAATTTCAATGCAGCAGTATCCCGTGATTCTCGTGACTAACACAGACGAATGCCTTTGAGAAGTCACAGAACACTGCCGCAGTTGCAGTAGCTTCCCCATCATTAGATATAATGTTTGAAAAGTTGCTGAAATATTTGAGGCATAGCATCATGCGTATTTTCCTTTGGTAAAAAGCCAAATTGTGCAGGGTTAAAAATATTATTGTGCTCTATCAAGAAGTTCATCATACGGTTTTTGACCAGTTTCTCAATAACTTTAGAGATTGTTGATAGTAATGATATTGGCCGATAATTTGATGGACTATTCTGAACTTAAAAATCATAATCGAAGAAGACTTACAGGAAATAAATTAACAATAGATTTACCTAGTTTAAATTTGAAAAAATCAAGCTATACGATAACATCAAAGTTGGAGTTCTGGCCTGACTTCACGATAAACTTCAAGGTCTCCCATTGACTCGTACAAACTGCATCAAATACCTGGGACTTGGTATATGCACATCTTGCATATCTGTAATAAGATTGCACCAACAGTTGGAATACTTGGTCGAATATTAGACTATCTGTCCATTATGTATCGTAAGATGATATACAATTTTCTAATCAATTCTCACATGCCATATCTAACTCTGCTATGAGGCAATGCTTTCCTTAGCAAACTGCATCTAATGTCAGTTCTCCAAAATCGTGCTATAAAGAAATTGCTGCCATTTCTGTTTTCAACAAGAGACTTATATTATCCAATTGGCATCCTGAACATTCACTCCCTGTATATATTGCAATCACGCATCTTTGTCATTCATGCAAGACTTCCAAAATTCAATCCACAATAACTCTCATTCCAGCCAACACAATGCCAGATTCAATGAAAACTTAAAAACGTCAGCAATGAACATTACAACTGGTCAACGCAGCATCTTATCAGAAGGACTAAGGTACTGCAATCAAATGTTAAAAGATTGACCATTAACCTTTTATCCATCTTTGGAAACTCGACTGGTAGCTAGAATTCTGTGTAAATAATGTTAAACAGAGTTCTTTAAAACTATGTGCGAGCTCTGAGAGGTAAAATTCTATTTATCAATAGGTAGGTACCTATTAGTTTTTATAGAATTAAAAAATTAATGGACAGTATTACATAATAACAACAGGTATTAGTAAATAACAATACACAGAGTAGGTACCCAAATCGTCACATTTCACCCTCACCAATGCAATGACCTACTACTCTGATGGACACGAATTATAAAGTAGGTAATCAAAACATATAAAAAATATTAATGGGGTTTAATTATTAGCAAATCAATCAGATTTTCAAAATAAAATAAATATTTTTTCCGCTCGTTAAGAAATATATTTATTCATTAAGTTAATTTAAAAATAACTTGTCAACAGGCACTTTATCGAAAAAGTCTTGAGCGTATTTCCGGTAAATTTCAGCATAACTGCTTTCCAAGTTCCCTCGTACGTCATGATATACAGTTCGCCATTCTTCGTTGACTAGTTTATTGATATTATCTCCCAACAATTTATTGCCGTTAAACAGATTTTCGAAATTCAATGTCATATGATTCGGTTTAGCGGTGTGTGCAACGGTTTTGATTTTGAAGTGCGTTTGACCGCCTTTTTTCGTTTCTTCGAACTGGAACTCCAGAGTAAATTCGATGTTTTCTAGAGCAAAATCAGCTTTAATACTTAAACGACAAGTTAATTAACGATTTTTTACCAAGTGTTAATGTAGCTGCTCCATCGCCAACGACTGGTAAAGTTAATATGGCTCCGTCAAGAGCGTAGTGACCTTTTTGGGTTAGTTTTGGAACAGTGGCAAGAATCTGTAGAGATTTCTTTTGAGCATCGTAGCTGTAATAAAATGAAAAAATATGATTTAAGAAAACTAACTCAGATGGCCGAACATATTCAGTGTAACAGGTGAAGCCTTAATTAGTTATGCGTGGCTTTTCATGAGTGAATTGTCTTTCTCGTGTAGGTAACCCTTATGTTAATGTGAGCGAAGTGCTGACAGGGTATCCTTAGTATGTCTTCCAACATAATACCAGAGAAAACCAACTTTGGTTTGCCCTTAAAAGCAATCGGCGACAGGACTTTGAAACTGAATGCAGACTTCTGCTTGTATACAGACGGCTCCTGGTGAGACACCAAGACTGGAAATTTCGACCAGCCAGGTCAAAATGGAAGCGCCAATATTGGACCACTCAAAGAAAACCTAACCTTTGATGCTACGTCCTCCAATCTGGTTCTCGCTTTTATCCAATTTTTGGACATGAATACGATGTCGTCGGCGAACTGTAGATATATCAGTCAAGTTCCCTGAATACATCTCCTTTTGCTAGAGTGAAAATTTTCGGAGATTTCACATTTCCCTTGCAGCTGTTAGTACATATACTGTCACATACTGTCTGTATCACAGAATACCTTCACGAGATAGAAAAGAAGATGGTTTCCTGTAAGAATTTGGATGGTAAGACAATGATCAGAAGTACTGCAGCTATTGGGAAACCAAGCTTGTTCTACGAGCTGGTCTATGCATTTAGGCGTTAAGCGTTCATGATGATTTTCATATAAACATTTTGTATATTAGGAACAATAACGAGAGGGGACGATAGTTGCTGATGTCAGCCCTGCTTCCACCTTTTTTGAAGCAGAATAATGCTTTTATTTCATATATCTTGTACCTACCTATTTCTGCACTCGTTATAGGTCATAGATTAAAAATAGTCTATTGATTGTCGATATAGCTCATTTTCCTTCTCTCAGCATTTCAGCGATCTTGTTCCTGTTGATTTGTTTTTTTTCGATATTTTCTATTTTTCGCTGTATTGATTTGTTGTGTGTCTCCTAGTCCTAGTCGTAATATTGCTTTGAACTGAATAGATCACGATAGAAGCTTTTAACATCTGAAGTGATTTTGTTTCTCTGTCTCTTCCATCTTTGTTTTTATGAACATGGTTTTGTTGATGTCTAATCTAGGTTTTAGGAATTTTGGAGCTTCATAATCTTCTATGGCTCTCTGTATCATTGATTCGTTGGTTTTCTTTGATATTTCCTTTTTTGGTTTTGGAAGTCGTTCCTTTAATCTTATGATATCATTTAAATTATATACTTCGAATTCGCCTTTCATTTCTTTTTCCAATGAACTTCGGAAATCTTCCTCCACACAAGTTTAATTGATAGATTGATAGGAGTCAAGCTTCACCCTTTTGATGAACAAAACGCTGTTTTTATATTTCGTCTTGAGGAAAACCACCTATGCAAGATATTAGTTCTTCAAATTTTAATTTTTGAAAAAAACGTTCACTGAATAAAAGTAAATGTTGCAACCTTGTTTGAGCCGTGAAGCGTACTGAAAGAGTAGGTACCGAACGGGAGAAAGAGAATACGCAACTAGACTAGAGAACAAGCTGGGCTGATCCATTAGACGCGTGTCTGTTATTATTCATTATTCAATTTTTATTTTTATTTTGCATTAAACTGATTGTTCAATCAAATTTGCTATTATGGTGTGTGTCAAGGAGCGATTACAGGTCAGTTGGATAATTGTTATTTTGTTTTTGAGAGTTCAATTTTTTTTTTTTTATGTTTTTTTGTTTGTTTATAACATTTTTTATAACATGTGCATTGTTCGTGTATTTAACAAAAATCGTTTCATGCTGTAAACAACACAGATAAAGAGTAAATTAAAAGCTAGAAAAATTATGTGCTGACTTTTTGTGCTGGGATTTTGATTTTTGAATTTAGAGCGTGCATTAGGGCCTTGTTGAATTCACTAACATCTTCCTACCCTGACGAGAGAATATCCTAACAAATTGAAATAATCAATCTAGAGATATTGGCTCAAAAACAACTATAGCTGAGTAGCTTCCCGTATGGGACCTTAGTACCTGCTGGGAAACTGGCTAACTAACAAAAAAACTCTTCAGTATTGAATATAGGTAGTGCTGATTGAATGTAGTGTGTGTAATTGAAATTTTAACACAAGAACAGAAACGGTACCTAATATTTAAACTTTTATTGACTTAAATTATTGAATGAATGACTCACAATTATTATTAAAATGACGCAGTATGTTTCGATTTTTGAGGAATGTTAGATCGAGGGTTTCTCTACCGTGCTCTTTCTCTTCGTTAGTTCTAGGATGAGAAGGGTCCGATTTACTTTAATAATAAAGTAGACGTTTCACAAGTTTGTCGTTTCTTTCACATATTATCACAACCTCCCTTAAATTTCCCTAATATTTGCTATGTCGGTGCATGTCCAGTAAGTTTCCACAACGAAAGTCCTATACAAATAGGACAAAGACAACTTTCATTTCATTTTTCAGAAGATTTGTTATTTGTAACGTAATAAAAATTCTCATCGTTCAATCTTACTGAACGCACCCGGGTATGTTATATAAAAATACCATAGTCTATAATAATATAGGACTTATACCGACTGTTCTGCGAAGTTTTTATTTTTTTAAGCAACTCATCTTATTTCCCCTAGTAGGTGTTTGTGCATCTGATGATTTTTACTCGAAATTATTATGGGCACAGTTAGTTAACTAAAGAGAAATTTCAACAAAGGGACAAATTTCCCAATAAACTTTAATGTATGTAGTTACTTACTGTGCTTTATTTACAGTCATATCCGTAAGTCCGGATAATGCAACATTGTCATAATTCTGGACTAGCTGGACTGGTCCACTACCAGCGCCGATGGTCATTTTGTCCACACTAAGCGGGTCCAGAGGTTTGAGTCCATATTCTGAATTTCCTGATTTTAATGAGGTAATGGCACTCTGGATACTTTTCACTAAACATCCTTCATCGCTGGACTTACAGAAAGTAAAAGTACCAGCATCTAAAACAAAATCGTTGTTGCTGTTTGTTATAGAAAAGAACTGATTTAGGTGATTGGTGGGTACTTACAGCCTCGCTCGGCAAGCACTGCAAGAAAACCAAACAGAAATATCGAGTGCATCTTTTGAAAACCGGACAGGTAATGTACAATTATTTACTTGAACACAAAATATTTATATCAAACTCAAAACAAATTAAAATATTTATTTATTTTCTCCAAGAAACATCATTAAAAATAGGTAATTATTATTTTTACAACGCAGCGGGTTGTTAGCAGTTTTCCCGGAAAATTTGTGTTTATCCTACTTCTATTGCCTTAAATCAGATTTGATTTTGAATGCGATTGGTTATTTACCCAATAAATTATTGTCCCAAATTAAAAATTAATCGATATATGATAGATTTTGTTCTTTTTCAACACTCGAATATTCTCAATCAAATTTCGTGTACGAAATGTACTCGAATGAATTCAAAAATACGATCCCTGGAATCCTTCCATATTCGTCTGGAGTAGAATTGCTTCAAGACCCAGCGCATTGACGTACAGTATGTTACTGTGTTTCAAATTCTGGATTTGGTTCGTTGATTAGTAGCATAATCAAATTCTGTCGAACCTCTTCACACTCTGTTGTCCAGGTGAAATCAGCATTTTTCTAGTAGTTATTGGTGCTATTTTGTTCGCAAACCCTTGAATAAACAGTTGTCTCACTCCTTTGACATCCTTCGGCGACATGGTGTTTTGTAGTGCCATCACTTGTCTTGGGCCAGGTTTTACTATGCCGTTTTCTATAACAACTTCCAAATATTCAGTACGAGTTCTTTAGAAACTGGATTTTTCAAGATTTAGTCTAAATCCGGCGTGCGAAAGTGCTCGTAGAACTAACTCCAATTTCTCTAGTCCTCCAGCCACCGTTTCACTGGGAATTAGCACATCATCCAAATAAACGAAAGCTATATTGTCCTTCATCTTTCCAAGAGCCTTATCGATTGCTTTTTGGTAGCATAAAGGCGAGTTCACGAAACCAAATGGCATCCCTGTGTATTCACAATGTCAATCTAGGGTTATGAACGCAAGAAGATGCCTCGACTTCTTTTCCAGCAGAACTTGAGCCTTCATATCCAGAGTACTATAACATTTAGCAGTGCTCAATGCATCAATTTGATCTTGAATTCTTGGCAAAGGATAAGGATTTTTCACAGCTCTTCTATTCAGATTTCGATAATCGACGCAAAGGCTTTTTTTCTTAACTAGAACAATCGGGCTTGCATATTCGGATGTACTTTCCTGAATTATGCCTTAAAAGTTCTTCAATTATTTAAGTTGCATCCTTTCAGCATAGGCTAGATGTCGTGGCCGATAAGCAACAGGAGTTTCATCCTTCAAGGAGATCGTCAGGGTGTCCTGTTACTTCTGCTGTTGGAGATTTTTCCATAGCTTGCCTTAATATCTCGATTTTTCTTTCCACTGTCTCATTCATTCCTGACGTTTGTTGTTGATTATCATTGATTTGTTGCACATATCGTATTGCTGCATCAGCATTATGTTGCAAGTCCAATCCATTACTTGTCTTGATCAGCTTAAGGCCATGCCTACTGATAACATTCCATCTAATTATGGCGTCCAAATCAGGAATGGTGTCGTCAGCAACTATCAGGAATTTCACCTCTAATGTAACATGCGGCAAAATGGCAATGATCACACTTGAGTAAATTTTTCACCATCAAATGTGTCAACCTTCTTGCACTAGAAGTGATGGTAGCACCCAGCTGTTTTGCAACATGTTCATGCAATAATGAGAGTAGAGTGTTTTCACAGCTATCACACCACATACCCACCTCCACTGTAAACCCCCTTCCGTGAAGCTCCTTCCCTGAGCACTTTTTTTGGCTCAAGTGCCCCCGACTAGCAGACCAATACCCACCTCAACTACGTAAATGGTCCACCAGATTCACAAATTTTGGGGTTGGCCCGGGTCAAATTCTCAAAATTTTAGATCAAAGGCGCCGCCGATCTAGAGATTTTCCCACGGTATCGAAAAAGTTCCCACGGTATCGAAAAAGTTCCCACGGTATCGAAAAAGCTCCCACGCTCAAGTGCCGTCAGCTATCAGACCAATACCCACCTCTCTATCAGGTTAAAAAGCTTCTACTCTGAAGAGGTACCTCATTCCATATCCCTTCAATTTCTTGAAAACTAAAGAATATTTAACCAATTCTTTTATTTGTATTCGTCAATAGTGTTCTAAACTCCATGAAATGAAGAAGCTCTTGAAAGGATTCAAAATTAAAAGCAGACCGTTATTGTTTAAAGGACCCTATCAAAGTTATATTACAAAAATAGTAGTTGAGTAGAGTTATTGACAACCACCAACACTGAAAAAAGTCAAAAATGAATTGTTGTTCTAGCTCATAGGACTGGTGAAAAAATACTCTCAGATTTTACAAGCGAAGAACTATTGAAAATTCCGTTGGATTATTTATTGAAACATGCAAAGTCCTTTGAACTTTTGGATGCATGTGGTAAATTACCAATAAGTTAGCTCCCGTGTCCAATAGATAAGTAAACTTTTTATTATTTTCACTGATTGCTGTGGCTATTGGTATCTTATCCAGGTATCGCCTCCCTTTGACAAGCAATATCTTTCCAGAATTCTTCTTCTCGGTATCAGCCGTATTCTTCATTCAAAAAACCCAAAATTACGACATCGATATGTTACCGATCCAAATGCACTGGACAAGTGCCGGCTTTCAAACCATGTTCTGATTTCACATTTTATTGCCCTCAGAGCAGTTCGGATGGATTTTGCAGGCAATCGTCGAAATTTCCATCACTCAATTTTCAAAATGAGAACTTCTCTGTTTTTTTGGACTACTTTACGTCGTCTATTTCAAACTTGTTAATCTACCACTTCCATCAACAGTAAAGTTACACAAGAAATTTCTGAAAACTTCTCAACTATACGTAATTTTTTTTTAGAAGAAAAGTGCGTTTTTAAATGGCTTTCAAAAATTTAAGGTCGACCTACAATCTACATCCAATGAACTTTTGTTAGAAGCACTTACTGACCAGAAAAGGTAGGTGGTCAGGTTTGTCTGAAGATAAGCTTCACAATAATTTGAATATGAAATACAATTTTATCCCAATTTAATTTGCACTAACATAAAATGTACGAAAAACACGTTCTCTTTTCGCCCCATGGCAACTTCTCAGGCGAATATATTGAACATTAGTAGTCAGATTTCGAAATAAATTACAGATCTGTGAAGTCATCTCAAATACCTCTCAAACAAGGTACTATTCGACCCAGTTTCCCTATTCAAGTTTTGAGGGTGCAACTCACCCCGGTAAGGAGGTGCAATCTAAAAAAAATTTGAAATAGCCAAAAAGTGTCCCCCTTGCAAACAAAATCGACGTGTTTCGACTTTTTTTTAATTTCTTAATAATTTTCGAGAAAATCCAGGTGGATCCTTTTTAATTTTCCACCCTGTATAAAAAACTTTAATATACAAATTAGGATGTAGCAATAAATCCGAATTTCACCCAACAATAAATTTGAGGTTTCCCAGAGGGTTCTAGAGGTTGAAAAATCAGGGTTGACTGCAGATAGAACTTATTACTATGATCATCTTTGGGAACTTTGAGCACTGAGACTCTGTTTAAGTAAAAGTTTATAGAGCCTCGACAACGAACTTAGTTTAAACGAAATTAAAAAGCTTTCTACAATAATGTTTAGCCCTCCACTCTGCTGCTGGGAACTCTGGGAGCTAGAACTCTGTTCAAATGTTAAACTGATCGGTTCTTTAAAACTATGTGCGAGCTCTGAGAAGTAAAAGAGAAATAAAATACAAATAATTTGCGCTAATAAAAAATATATTTATATATTTATTTATTTATTTATATGTACCCCATTAGAAATTATAACTAGTTGTCTGAGAAGTAATACTGTAAAATACTTAAAATACTAAAAACTAACATTAGCTAATTGGTCTCTAAATTTGGACATACTAATACCAAAAATCTCAATATGATGATTTATCAACCTATATTAATGTTAATATCTCGTTAATTAATAATTTCAATAATCATCAAACTAATTTAAAAATAACTTGTCGACTGGCACTTTATTAAGAAAGTCTTGAGCGTACTTCTGGAAAATTTCAGCATAACTTTTCTCATAGTACCTTTGTACGTCATTATATAAGGCCCGCCATTCCTCATTAACTAGTTTATTGATGTTATCTCCCAACAAATTATTTCCGTTAAACAAATTTTCGAAATTCAAAGTCATATGCTTCGGTTCGATGCTGTTCGTAACGGATTTGATTTTGAAGTACGTTTGATCGCCTTTTTTCGTTTCTTCGAATTGGAAGTTCAGGGTGAATTCGACGTTTTCTAAAGCAAAATCAGCTTTCTTACTTAAACGAAAAGTTGAATTTTGATTTTTTACCAAGTGTTATTGTAGATTGTCCGTCACCAACGACTGGTAAAGTTAATATGGCACCGTCAAGAGCGTAGTGACCTTTTTGGGTGACTTTTGGAACGGTGGCAAGCATCTGTAGAGATTTCTTTTGAGCATCGTAACTATAATAATAGGAAAATATGATTTAAAAAGATTAACAAAAAATTAACTCCAATAGTCAAATGGCCGCGATACCGAATATATTCAGTAGCTTTTAACAAAGTGATGAAAATCAGCCAGATTTCAAACTCTGCTCTGAGATTATGTGTTTCTGTGAATGCAAAAACTGGAAAAGTTGATTATTTATTTTTCACTCTACTGCCACAACACTCCAAATATCTCATTCAAATCATAAATAATATATCTACCTAAATCTCCAATCCACCGAAGTATAAGAGGTAAAACCCTTATTTATATGCGGCTCCTAATAATTTAGTTATTTACTTGTCTTTCTCATGTGACCCTAACTTTAAAATTAGTGAAGTGATTTTGAAACTTCCTGAATTTCTTTATTTCAATGTTTTCTTTCGCTTCCATTCAAGGAAACCTAGGAGATGAAAACCGCTCTTCAACTTAACAAGGTCATTGAGATTTCTTTTATAATCAGCACCTTAGTCCTAATTTCCTCGGAAAATTCAATCAAATTTCGGAAAAATGCAGGCGCACGTTCAATTACAAGTCAGTTTGCAATCAGTAGAATATATTCAATAAACCGTTTTCTCCATATATGCAAGCAGTGCACAGCACTATATTTTCAATTTTTGTATAGAACGAGTGAAAAATTGTGAAATCCGCTGTTAGTTTCAGGATCACTTAGAAATTCTTTTGTAATGTAGATTAAACTTTCAGAATATCTTTATCGAATATGTGCGAAATTAAAACTGGAAAATCCACAGGTTGCTGATAGAATGGTAATCGATGAAAGATTTTAAATTAAAATTGAAAGATATCGAAACTGAAAAGGATATTTTTTCACCTTACCTGGCTTTACTTCGAAACTCCACTCAGTTGGCCAGCTCTTCCAGGAAGTTCAAGTCCAATTTGAAGGAGTGCAAACGAAACCGCTTTGATTTAACCGGTCGCGGCAAACGAAAAACCGCAGGTCTATTTTCTCGAACCACCCGAAACGGACGGAGTGTTTTTAGCGACTGACTTTACTCGTCGGCAGTGTAAGGACTTTGCTGATATCCTTTTTCAGTGTTTAACGGACGCAATTTTAAAAGCCAAATTTAGCAAAGCCGTATCAATTCTTAGGCATATAGCATATAGCACGCGCAATTCAATTAGAATGAAAGAAAACAAAAATAAAGAGAAAAAAACGAATCAATCTCCATTACCAAATAGGATTTGGCATAAACTTTTATAGGCACAGTTAGTTAACTAAAGAAAATTTTTAACAAAAGAGCAAATTCCCAAATAAACTTCAATGTAGTTACTTACTGTGCTTTATTTACAGTAATATCCGTAAGTCCGGATAATGTAAGATGGTCATATTTCTGGACTAGCTGGACTGGTCCACTGCCAGCGCCGATGGTCATTTTGTCCACACTAAGCGGGTCCAGAGATTTGAGTCCATATTCTGAATTTCCCGATTTTAACGAGGTAATAGCACTTTGGATATTTTTGACTAAACATCCATCGTCGCTGGACTTACAGAAAGTAAAACTTGCAGCATCTAAAACAAAATCGTTATTGTTATTATAGAAAAAAATTATTTAGGTTGGGTAGGTACTTACAGCCTCTTTCGGCAAACACTGCAAGAAAACCAAACAAAAATATCAAGTGCATCTTTTGAAAACCGAATAGGTACTGTACAATTATTCACTTTAACGCAAAATATTTATAATAAAAATTCAAAACTAATTAAACTATTAACCTAAGTATAATTATTAAAATATTTATATGTTTTCTTTGAGAAATATCATTAAAAATAATTTATTTTTACAACTTAACGGGTTATTAGCAATTTTCCCGGATAATTTGTTTTTATCTAAACTTTTAATGCCTTAGATCAGATTTGATTTTAGATGTGATTATTTTGTACAATTCTTGTCCAGTGTTTATGTTGCTGTTCTTGAATATGCATGTGGACCAATAAAACCAAATGGCTTTGTTTTTTTAGAAAAATTTATTTTCTTCTTCAGCAATCGAGATGTGATTAGCTATTTTGTCAATAAGTTATTTTCCTCAATTAAAAATTAATTGATCAAAACAATTACAAAACAATTCTGTTTATGAGAATTATGTAATTTTTTATTGACATTAGCTCTTTGATTGGTCTATCAGCTAGTAGATAATTGAAAAATAAGTTTCAAAGGTTTTTGTTGTAGAGGTCAGTAAATTTCAAACTATCAATTGAAATCGAATCCTGAAATTTTAAATGCTGGAAGACTAGAAATGGGTTGAATTACGCAAATTTACTATTTAGATATTATTAGTGATAATACCTATACCTACTTATGTAAACATAAGCAAATTAAGTTTTGTAGTGGGTCTATAATATGAGAATTAAAGGTGAGAAAAACTAGAAATTTAGCAGAATAAAGATGGATTGTGTATTTGTATTTAGCGATATCCAATTTTATGTCACTTAATTTTGCCGTCAACCTGAGTAAGTTGAGCTTAGACGATTAATCTCCACTCATCGAGACATCTTGCCTTATAATAAGAATTCACATCGCTATGCCAAAACCAATTATCACCCACTAGTAGTATGTATATCACCAAAGCTACACCAACACTGCACACACTAAATGAACAATATCATCTTATATGCTTCATAAGCTACACAAATTCTATAAGTCAGTCTATATACAGGGAAATATCTAAATTGGGAAAACACTAATAGGAGCTGAGCCCAAAAAAAAAAAAACAACATGGACCCAAGAACCAGTGTCCAGCAGAAATCACAAACAATTCAACAGGCCAATAACCTGCGTGCTATTTATAGGGCAATTCGTTAGAATCCAATTCAACAATAATAAAAACCTTTCGGCGATCACTAACGGAAACTGCGCCCTTAGGAAAACTGGCCCCACGTTGGGCGCCAAAAGAAGGCAGTTCATTGTTATGGCTGTAATGCGAAAGGTTTTACCAAGAAGACGTGCCCTAAGTGTAGTACGGGAAGCGGCAATCGGCCCTCCTAGGAAGTCGGACCGGTCGTTACCCCACCGGCTATGGACCTATATTGAACTTCATTCTGGACCATGTTTCAAAGTTTCTAGGATTACTGGATTCTGGTGCGTCAAGGACATTCATTGGGCAGAAGGGATGGAATATATTGAGGGATTTAAACTTGCCTTGAATAGGTCAAGTTGTACCGTGGCCAATGGACAGAAGGCCCAGAGTTTGGGTACTCTTGAACTCCTTATACAGGTTCGCGACAGAGTTAAATTGACGGAGATCGTAGTTTTGCCGGACTTACCGCACGCATTAGTTCTTGGTTATGATTTTTGGGTCGTGATGGGTATTGTCCCAGATTTACGATATAATGAATGGCACTTTGCTGAGTACCCTGACTTGGTCTGCTGTATTGAGCCAGAGGAAACGATTTTGAGTAGTGTAGAGAAGATGCAGTTAAACGAATTGATCGAAAAGTTTAAAGAACCTAAGGACAAGGAAATTGGATGTACTTGCAGAAATATATCAAGGAGGAAGTTGAGGAAATGCTTCGGTTGGGAATCATCGAGCCCTCTAACAGTACTTGGGCATCTCCTATATTGTTTTAGTGAGGAAGAAAAACACGGATAAGATGAGGTTCTGTATTGACTATAGGAAATCAAATTTAAATACACAACGAGGCTCGTATCCCCTACCCTTAGTGTCAGAAACTCTCGATAAACTGAAAGAAGCAACATATCTATCCAGTTTAGACATCAAAAGTGCCTACTGGCAGGTTCCAATGGAGGAAAAGTCCAAACCACTAACCGCGTTCATTTGCATGCCATAAAGGATTGTTTCAATTTCGGCGGATGCCCTCTGGGTTGCATAATGCCCCAGCGACGTGGCAAAGGCTGTTTGACAGCGTAATAACGGTTAGCACCATATGTGTTTGTTTACTTAGATGATGTTGTCATAGTGACAAAGACGTTTGAAGAACATAAGGGTTTTAGGAGAAGTGTTAAAGAGGCTTAAAGATGCTGGAATAACTTTCAGTTGGAATAAATGTCAATTTTGCCTGCCGGAGATGAAGTACCTTGGATACGTCGTTGACAGACGTGGAGAGTCGATCCAGATAAAGTCATATTGGAATTGCCAAGGCCCAAGACTGTCTCTGAAGTTAGGAGAGTCATAGGTAGCTTCTCATGATACCGCCGGTTTGTGCCCGAGCTTTCATCAATTAAATCCCCAATAACTGCGCTCACCAAGAAAAATAGAAAATTTGAGTGGACTGCAGAGTGTGAGAGAGCATTTGTTAGGATTAGGGAATTATTTGTAACTGCACCAATTCTTTGTTACCCAGATTATTCTAAGGAATTTATCATACAGACCGATGCGTCCGGATATGGGTGTTTTACTTCAACCTCATGAGGGTGGTGATAAGTTTTTGTGCTATTTAAGTAGATCTTTATCCAAACAAGAAAGGTTGTATACAACCACTGAAAGGGAGATGCTTGCAGTGGTATGGGCCATAGAAAAACTTCGACCCTATATAGATGCTATCCCATTCACCGTCGTGACGGATCATAGTAGTTCGAGGTGGCTTTTGAACTTAAAAGACCCTACTGGTCGTCTCGGCCGTTGGTCTAAAAATTACAAATGTACAATTCCAAAGTCCAGCACCGACAAGATTATTGGAAATTAGTGGTACCTAAGGAAAACCGAAATGAAATCATCAGATCGGCTCATGATCCACCGACATCTGGCCACATGGGAGTCTACAAGACATTCTCGTGGTTAACGGAAAAGTATTTTTGGCCGAAAATGCGTCAGGATTGTGCTGCTTTTATAAAGAGATGTCCAATTTGTGCTACCTATAAAATGATCCTCAGGGTGCTAGAGTACCAGATGGCGTCACACCTTAAACCATCCAGACCATGAGAAATGATTTCAACCTCACACTCACACCGCGAGTACCACTAAGGTAAGCTAACAATATACTCATTAGTACTATATAAACATAGGGTCTCCTCCTTTTAGCACTGATACGGTCCTCCAGTACCTTCAAGAAAATGTTGACAACAATAATCTAGAAATGGACCAGTAGTTCATAATCAATACAGAACAGCTCCCTTTACCCACAGTATACCCAGTCAAATGGTGAACATAGTGTGTCTTTAGTATTGTCAGATCAAGTGTATTTCACGTGCATACTGTTATTATTATTATTGTTGTTCTACATATCACTATTATCACTGATTGAATATAATAAAACACAGATTAGTATATCCGCTTGTCAATTTTCTTTTGTGTTCAACATAAGTTTCACAGCTATATAGTTTAGGAACCAACTAGACCTAAGGTTTAAGGCAAATTTGTAAGGTTACAATCATTGTGGGCATATAAATTCTTGTATGCTGTATTGGCCTTGAGAAGTAGGTACCTACAATTACAAGGAAGCCATGCAACATAAAATATAGATAAAAAAAAAATGATAAAAGAAACATTGATTTTTAACTTTCCAATATGTACATAGTAACTGATATTTAGATTAGAGTATCTATATCTGAAAGTAGCCACTTATTTCAGCCTTCCAAACAGGATTTATTGAAAAATTATTAGTATTTTTATCTCTTTTATCAAAAAAAGCTACTTGACTCGATAAAGATTCAACTAAGCCAACTAAAAAAGCACAAACAGCATTTTCCAAATCATTGCAACTAAAAATTTCAACCATGAAAGTCCTGATCCTTGCCATTTTAGGGCTAGAACTAGCCCATACTTTGTCCTACCCTGGAACAGAAACTCGTCCAATTCTGTCCAAATCAGAAGCCAGCAATTACACGAAAGAAAACTATTTTGCTGGCTGGCAACCTGAGGAAATTATCATTCCTGAAAATCCGGATTACGTTGTGCAACAAGGACAGTCTATCCAGGCTGTAGTTAATAAGGCTATCGAGCAGGGAAATCCCGCTTATAGAACTTACATTAAAATTGAGCCTGGACGTTACATGTGAGTAGCAATTATTTCTTATTTATCTTTCTTATTATTCATCAACAAATTTACTCTATATACTAGACGCTTATCTGCTTCCAAAAATTGAAACATTAGTCAATAAGATTTTGAAATATGAAGTGTTTAGCACAATTGATTTGAAAAGTGCCTATCATCAGATACCCATCAAAGAACAGGATAAACCATACACTGCATTCGAAGCTGCTGGTAAATTGTATCAGTTCCGAAGAATACCTTTTGTTGTAACAAATGGAGTTGCTTGCTTTCAAAGGGTAATTGACCTAATAATTTCAGAAGAAAAATTGACAGGCGTTTATGCTTATTTAGATGATGTAACCGTATGTGGCGAAAATCAAGAGAAACATGATCAAAATTTGAAGAAATTTCTAGAAGCCGTCAGAAAACGTGGACTTACACTGAATCAAAATAAATGTTCATATGCTCCAAAAACAATCAATATCTTAGGCTACACTATAGAAAACAGATCTTTGAAACCCAATCCGAAGAAAAATTTCAAAGACCCAACAGAAATCGAAAATCGCCGAAGTCGCTTGAAGATTACCAGAAAAACTAACCCGGGCGAATGTGATAAATTATGTTTGCCATCTTTCATGCATTGAATTGTCAATCTAACTTTTCGTTGAATAATTACGAATACCTAGGTATTTAGCAAAAAAGAATTAAGAATAAATTACTCTTCTTTCACTTGAATTAGTTAAACTATGTGTTATTCTTATCAATGACAATAATAACAGCGACATGTTGAATAACTAATAACAAACAAAATTGTTCGAATACAGGGAAACAGTCTACATCAAAAGCAACATCCCACTAACCATCTACGGTTCAGGCAAATCTGCAGAAGATGTCCACATAATGGCCACCTTGAGCGCCAAAACATCAACCTCAGATTATATAGCTACAGTAAATCCGAATGGCGAACGTTACAAAGAAGGCGAGCCAGCTTGGGGCCTTTACAATTCCTGCGCCACAAAACATGGAGGCGTCATTGGTACCAACTGTACTGCAGTGGTTTGGGTGGAAAGTGACAATTTTCAATTGCAAGGTGTTACTGTACATAATGGCGCTACCGACGCTCAGGCTGTTGCTCTAAGAACGGCAGCTGATAAGGTAAAAGTTTGCATATTTTCTTATTTATATTTATACTTAAATACATATAGGTAAGTATATCGTACCGATCATTATCATTTTTCTGAAATATTCTGGACATCCTCCTTACCACGCACTTGCAGCGCCTAGTTGGTTTTGCGCGAAAGGAGCCAGTTCTTTGAAATGTATGGTGCTCACCTCCTTTAAGGTTAGCCGTTTTCAAAACTAAGAGCAAATGCTCCGTTGTTTCTATTGCTTGCAGAATATTCAGGTAACGCATTCTCTGTCTTACCTATCGTTTCTAGGTAATATTTAATATTTTACTAGACAATCATCAGTAAGCAGGTTGACGACTGTTCTCGTCTCTTTTGAACATGACGAAAAGTTGTTCAGATCTTTTTGCTGAAGTGAAACTTTCTGGTTGTCTCGGACACCGAATGAGTATTTGATTCTTTTCCTATTTGTTCATTTCTTTCATGAGGTGGCTCTTAATGCAGTACCTATTCCTCAGAATTGCTCTTCTTCTTCGAAAAGCACGTGGTTCAGGATCTTGTTTTACGAGAAAATGTACCCTACCTATAATACCCCTCTGCTGCATATGTACATATATGATTCTATGATCTCCTAACTGTTACATTAGATACTTTAAGGGAGCGTTTTATATAGCTCAATGGTTTTATATTATACGACCTTTATTCTCTGACACATAAGGAACATCACCTCTCAAACTCCCCCTATCTTTGACATATGTATTATTATACATCTCTTATACTTTCAATTTTGGAGAAATATTCCAAAATATATGGGTAGTACATTAGCAAAGGAAGATTTACGGACTTTAACATAACATTAAATAATTAGAACTTTGAATGTCAACTAACAATAACAACAAAGAGGTTTGAATCAGAGAAAACAAATTTTACATAACAAAATCATCAAATTTTTTTGGTCTTCGTTTTTCTCGTCTTTGTCTTCCTTCAGGTTCTATATCCTTATATCTCTGTAGTACTGCCGCTTTTCTCTCTTTTCTTAATGTTTAAATCTTTTTCCTTGATTTCAGATAGTTTTAACAAAAATTTTCTGTTTCTCCTTAGAACATCATCTTCGGTCTGGACCATAAATGAATTTGGTTCTCGACATTGTCTTACAATGTTTCCATTACATTTCACATCTTTTATGTAAAGTAGGTCATTGTCATTCAATTTTGGTAAAAGTTTTGACTTATCTCTACAGTCATAATTTTTCTTTGCTTTTTCTCGTTCCTCTACCTGCTTCTTCGTAACTGTTTCATGGTCAACCAGTTTTGGCTTTAGGTTTTCCTTTGTGGTAGGTAAAATTTCTCTAAGTTTTCTTCCAAATAGAGTAGTTCTGAAGGAGAGTTTCCACATGAAAGTGGTGTTTTGCGGTATATGCTTATATTCCCAAATACGGATCTTCACACTTTTTTAACAGTTTTTTCATTAACTGTACAGCTCTCTCTGCTGAACCATTACTTTGTGAAAACCTGGGGCTACTTTTTATGTGGTTGAAGTTGTAAGTTTTTGCAAACTTCCTGAAACTGTAACTATCAAATTGTGGTCCACCATCTGAGTATAATATCTCTGGAATTCCATAACGTCCAAAGATTTCTCTCAATTTTTCAATAATGTCTCCACTTTTAGTTTTTTGGATATTTTGAGTACACGTCCTGCATGACAAGGTAGACTTGATTTCTGTACTGGAATAAATCTGCTGATACATTCTGAAATAGTAAGTCTGGCAAATTTCGAAGTGTCATAGGATCTGTTACCTGATTCTGGTTCTTCAAACATTCATGGCAATTTTGTACTGTTTCTATAATATGATTATTAATATTGGGCCACCAAACAGTATGTTTTGCTCTAGATTTGCAACCATTTATGCCTTGATGTCTAATATGAATTTGATTTAAAGTTTCTCTGTACATATAGATGAAGAAATTATAAGCGTGTCTTTGTGATACAACAAACTGCCATAATTGCATTATGATAGTTTAAATATTTTGGACATGTCTCAGTTACTTTGTGATGCTTTTTCTGGCCATCCCTGCATTAGATATTCACTAAATTTTTGAAACTCTTCTTGCTGTGCTTTTTCAACCATTTGGTGTGTTAACTTCAAGTTTTCTTGAGTTGCTTTCCTTATGACATTTACATAGCATTCAGCTTCTTCTTCTAATACATATTTTCCATTATCTATCTGTTTCGGTGGCTGTCTTGATAACGTATCTGGTACATAGAATTTTTTTCCAGCGACATGTTCAATCTCAAATGTAAATCTAGTTAATCTAAGTCTAAATCGTTGCAATCTTACAGTCAAATCATATTTATAGATTTCTTCTTTAGGATACTCAAAAGTGGTAAATGATATGTTTGTGTAGTAAATGATTTAACTATGAGGTACTCTTCCAGTCTTTCACATACCCTGCAATAGCATATGCTACCTTTTCAATTTGGGTATATCGTTGTTGTTTTTCACTTAAACTTTTTGAACAAAATAACAGGAGCCCATCTCCCATCTGGTAGTAACATCATAAGCCTTCAAAACTGGTACACTTGTGAAAAGTATTTTTAATTTATTTAAAAGATGATTTATCATACCAAGAAACTGCTTCACGTTTGTCACTGTTTTGGGTTCTTCAAAGTCTAATATGTATAATTAGCCTTTATATTGTCAATGTCCATTCTTATACCCGATTGTCCGATAATGTGTCCAAGTAATTTCATTTCCGAAATGCCTATCTGACATTTTGACTCGTTTAAGGTAAGTCCATTATCTCGTAACACTTTAAGCACTCTTTTTAACCTTTTATCATGCTGTGCAACATTTTCTCAAAAAACTGTAATGTCATCAATGTGTACTATTAGCCCTTCATGGTTATTGAGAAGTCTATTCATTGTACTCTGAAAAATGTCTGGAGCTGAAGTAATTCCGAAAGGAATTCTCTTGTATGAGTGCCACGTAATTTAATGAAAGGAATGAAGGTAACGCCGCACTTGTAAGTGCATTTTTTTTGGATATAGTATAGTTATCCGTTATCCGCGAATTATGCTAGAAATATACCGACAGCAAAAATGCTTAACTGGAAATTACCGTTTCTTAAATTTCCACTAAGTACGTCCTACTGGAAAATGTTCTTCACTATATTCTGCGGAGTTCAATAAAACCGATTCAAAAAAAGTTAAAAGCATACATGTTTAGACATAAAACTATAAGATTTGACAAACATCAATCTCACTATACTGAGCTACTCATTCACGGTTCGTAAGTTTTTTAGTTTCGAAAACTCAACTATAAATAGGTCAAATAAGGATTTGATCAATTGATATTTTGTTATACGTTTTTAGTTGAAAATGATGTTTAAACTGGTAGGTACATTAAATGATTTATTATTGAAATGTTGGCTACCTTGATCTTCGAACAGCGGGCGCATGTTGAACCGAGATCCTATTCATTTATTAATTGACAATGTGATGTTTATAATGAGAATACATAATTAATTTTACAATTCTTGCCTTGTTTGACGCAGTTAACATCATATACTTATGCAATTTAAATAAAACATAGTAATATTCCATTTCAACATTGTTTCTCAAGTTTTTTTTGGATGAATGATTGTTTAAAATTTCTTCAATTATTTATAAACCTACGCAGTAATTCAGCATAAAAGTGTGTTGTTACTTTTTCTGCTACACCAAGCCTTACCTCTGAAACTTCTTTCATATATTTTTTTTAAAGACAAATAAACAAAACAAAGTCATTTTATTCGAGTACATTCATAGAAAATTTACAAAACGTTGCACATTAAAGTTTGGTCACGGAATCACTTTTGTTGTTTTCGGAAGGTTCCAGGTCCGAGTTTGAAGTTTCTCCTTTATAATATTCTATTTCTTGAGACAAGGAACTTGCTACATTTGATGAGGAACTTATTTGATCTTGTTTAAAAGATGTCATTAGTTTGATGAAATATGAAATAATTTATGCAAATATTTACCATCAGCAGCCTTCTCAACTGAGCCATGAGCCTTATTATTGCCACTAGTATTGTCATTATCACTAGATTTTTTCACTTCAGATGTTGAACCTATTTGATTTTAATTAAAAAATTATATCGGTTTTACAAAGTATGAATTTGTTATTGCAAATATTCACCTTGGCCAGTTTCCCTCTCAGCTGAGCCGCGGGCCTTAGTACTACCGTTGGTACTACTACCAGCTATTTGCTCGTCAACTGCCTAGAAACAATCATTATTAATATATGTAGGGGAAGTGTACCTAAAATGGGATACTTAAGGTTTGGACTTGGTTTTAAAAAAAAGTTCAAGTGGAAAATAACTGACAACCCTCATGAAGGATATACCAAATAATACTTTATTAAAAAAATAAAAATCACAGTCTCAAGTATAAAATAAAAAACGAAAAAACAAAAAATCTTGCTCTAGTCAAATTTCCCATTTTAGAAACATATATATCTAAAACGGGATCTGTGGTGTTTCTAAAATGGGATTATATTTCCAAACACAGATCACAAATGAAATAATGCGTTTTGTTGGTTGATGGACCGCAAGCTTCGTGCACCCATCTCTGGCAGGAACTGCATCGAATCCACTGGTCACCAGGCTTGCTGCCTAGAAAATCACCTTGGCAATAAAAGCATACAGGATTTTCTTCATCGTCACTGTTTTCTTTGGTATTTTTTTTGGTATTTCTTTCTTTGGTTTTGTCTTCCCTTCTCACATCTTTTTGGTTTCTAGTCTTGTTTGTTGCTTTGTCAGTCTTCTTTTCAGTTGAACCTTTTTTCTGTGGTTTGGAGGTTTTCTTTACTGATTCTCCCTTCAATAGTCCTTTTCCTTTCAATGATGGCAGTTTACTGGTTGGCAGTTTGAGTCGTTTCGCTTCTAGACTGGCATTCATTCATCCTTATAAGGTGAGCTAGTTAAGATGGCAGCTTTACCTCTATTTGCTATTCATATTTAAATTGAACACGAGCATTGTGGTTCTAAAATGGGATACATTATCAACACATCTACGTAAAATAAACAATTCCTGCATGTTTTCGATATCAAAATATAACCTCAAAATTTCACATGTTAAGTGATCATTTATGTCCTAGCAACTGTTAAAAAAATTATCGTCGTCATTTCATTGGCCATAAAAACAAAAAGCCTATGTTTGTAGATCTATATTTTTACAAAAAATATGTTTAAAAATTAAAAACTCACCTAGCTGCATTGCACCTGTCACGATTTTGGTCAAACTGCTAAAGGTTATTCATATACCGACAGGAAGTATTAGGTCAATTGCACAAAAGATGTCGCTGTATCTACTACAAAATAATTAGGGTATCCCGTTTTAGGACAGTATCCCATTTTAGGTACACTTCCCCTACCTCTATTTACTTTTCAAAAATTTTAAAATAATTTGAAATAGTCAAAATAGTTACCTTCATCTCAAAGGGCTTGATACCATTATTTGTCATTCGTGTGCCATCTACAAAATATTTTATTTTAGAATTGCATGGAAGGATAAGTAGATACAGAAACAGAAAATAGTTAGTGTAAAAGAAGTGTAAACTTCCCTATTAAAATTCCCCCTCTTTGTATAAGAAGTTTACACTTCAAAAATACTACAAGGTAGTTTGTGGCTTAAAGGCAGATACGCTAAAGGAAAACTTAATAGGTATTGTTTGGTCAAGTGTACTGCTCTGCAACTGAGAGAGAATATCTTCAGCCCAGCTAAAGTCTTAAGAGTATCTAAAGGTGCATCCAGACTCTGGTGCATCAAACCGCGCAAAACATTCGCGAACGTTGTAGAACATGTCAGTTTGGCGTTCATTTCACGAAGGCTTGTAGTGGAGGAGGAGACGAAGGCCGTAGTACATTGTTTCAAACGCCCTGCGGGCGAAGATTCGAAATGGAGGAGATGGACGCTGTTGTACACTGTTTCAACGCCCACTAGTAAATACTTATAACATCGATCTCATAACTTGGAGAAAGGGTTTGTCATATTCATATAAATTCAAGATTTTATATTGTATTGAACTCAATAGTATTCTGGTTTAAAATTCGACGAACGTTTTTGACGTCATGAATTTGTTTCAGTCAATTTTCATTTGTTAAAAAAAGAAGGCAAAAGTACAAACCCTCGTGAAACAAGCAGTATCTACCTTTATTATTATTATTGGCCTTTTCTAATTCCTCTTGAGACATTTTCAATATATTCTGCCATTTTGCCGGAGAATCGTGTGACCATTTTTCTTTGGTAGGTTCCTCAAGGACGCCGGATGATTTATTGGCAGCAGCGCAAACTTTGGCAGTGCCCACTTTCTTATTCATAATACTATCGAGGTCTATCTGGGTTTTTTCAACAATTTGCTTCAACTTATTCGAACTCTCCACTAGTCGTTCATAGTGCGACTTTATTTCTTCAATAGTTTTGTCGTAGTTGTTTTTCGTTTTGATTCTCATCGCCAGACTTTTGTTGATCAAACATAATTTGTATGTCAGAGTTTCAATTTCCAATTCGAGTTGGTTTCTTTCATCGTATTGTTTCTTTATAATCACATCCAAATGGTTTCGTTCCTCGTCGATTCCGCATAAATATTTTACTATACCTTGATTGTTTATGATAAGAATCTTGCCTGTTTCTTCTATGCAATCAACCATGGTAGATGGAGCATCCATATCTCACTGAAAATTTATTTTTAGGAATTTGAGAATTTGAAGTGTTTCATTTTTTGATAATTTTTGACAATTGTGTGTCACTGTTTCAACTTGATACGTGAAGTGAAAAATAGTGTTAGGCCCGTCGCACATGGAGCTACCCATAAAAGACGAAACTTGAGTAGAGACGCCAGTTACAATTTAAGTTGGATACTCAATTCTCGCGTACACGAGGGGACGGGACAAGGATCGAAAATAAACGCGTTTGTTCAGTGTAGTGTATGCAAGCTTGGTCATCCATTTCGTTTTTCGTCATTTCTTGAAGTAATTTTGGACATTTTTGTAGTATTAGGTCTAGTTACACCCTGCAGTATCTACTGTAGCAAAACGCGCCCAAGTACTCTTTTTAATTAGTTAGATGGTAAATGGCAAGCGGTATATTGATGGTATTTATTTTCTCGAGTGGCTACCTATAAAATTGTCGAGGGGGTCGATTCGCAAAAGAGAGAAACAAACTATCGAGGTTTACTAAATTATATTTTATTATACTTAATACCAAAAATTTAAATAAGCAAATATCTTTCTATTCTGACAGCCACTTCTATTTTTCCCAATTCATATTATTTCACATCCATTCAAATTTCATTACTACGGATCAGGAAATATCCATACTAAAAACGCCCTACTTCTTCTATTCTTGATAACTTATAAGTTTATACATTTACTCTTGCAAACAACACTTCCGATTCACATTCCGATTAAAACTACCCTTCACCTATATCTATAAATTCTTAAACTCCTAAGTCATTTACTGACTGACAGCTTATGCAAAATAATTATTTAAGTCATATTCCTACTCACTGGATTAAGTACATATGTATTATCAACTATATTTTTATAAAAACCTTACAAAATTACTAAATGAAAAACCCTAATTCAAACCTTCAGCACTTAAGGTCATTAAAGTTGCTTCATGAACAATAATTTTTAAACAAAACTTTCCAATACCTACATTTAGTGGTTCCATCCTTCACTAAGGATCATTTTGAACAGAACTATTACTATTTTCGGATTCCTAGCCAACAAACAAAATTATTTAAATTCTTATTAGTTAGTTACTATAGCCCTTAAAAATCCAATTGGACAATCCAATTCAAAATTCTTTAATAATTCATACTCAAAATCGATAATTGTTAAGAACATTATAATTTTCCCTTTCAAATCCTTTGCAAAATTAATTAAAATGTCATTAGACTCGAAGGCAATTAAAGTTATGCAATAAAGTTTTTACAGTCAAATCACTCAAGTTTTTATGCATTAAAGTTTAATGTTAATTCACTTCTTATCATTCCGAATCATTGAAAAGTCAAAAAAAAAAAAAACAATACGAGCCACTAGAGTACTTACATTTAAATTATCACTCGTAAAATTACTTAATTAATTCACTTCAAAAATCTCTAGAGCTCGCACATAATGTTGAATGACTGAATCTTCTTTCTTTCACAATTTTCCGTCACTTTTTCAAAGCTTAACGCGTTTTCCCGAGGCAACAAAATAAAAGAAACTTCGCAAATTTCAACCGGACTGACTCATTAGGTACTGTAGATTTAACTCAAACTGGACTGAACTTAAACTCAACTGATCTTCTAAAATCTCTGTATTTATATTTTTCGATTCCCCCCAAAATATTAATAATTACCCACCAAAATCGACAATATAGGCGGTTGTTTGACCATCTATAAATCAATTCTATTGGTCGACCTAGATATTACTCCAAAAATATAACTTCTTCATTTAGAGGATGATGCAATCTGTTCGAAATTTTTGTCATTTGGGTCCAATTTAATTAGGTGCATAACCTTGTAATTGATCTTTTCCGGGTTTTTATTTACGTGCTTGGTTACTGATGGCTTGTTTAAAATTTGAACGTACCGATATAAATATTTCAATTAATTTGGGTCAATTCTAATTTGTTTCATCATCTTTCAATTTATAGATACTGATTTGAAATACAGGAAATTGAGTTTTTGATTATTTGATTACATTTAATTTTTACAGTAAAGACATTGTAAATTACGGGTCTATTTTCCCGGGTCATTACACTACATCACTGCCTACTTTCAAACGAACCTCTTTCTAAACCTAATAATAATTTCAGATTCATCTAATGGGCAACAACTTCAAAAGCTACCAAGACACCCTAGCTCTAGGAATAGACTCGGCTGATAGTCTCAAAACCGAAAGAGTCATGGTCCACATGTGCTACATAGAAGGCCAAATCGACTATGTTTTTGGTGCTGCCTCAGCTGTCTTTGATATGACTACATTCTATACTGTAGCAACTAATAAAACTGCTAGCGCTATAATTCTAGCACCTGATACTCCTCCAGAACGTTCTTATGGTTTTCTAGTGATTAATAGCATCATTACTGGGGATTCTAGCTATAGAAATAAAGTTAAGTTAGCTAGGTCTTGGGACCATGGAGTAGCTAGTGCTGATTTGTATACACCCGGAGTGTCTGCTAATGGACAATTGGTTGTTAGAGATTCAAATATCGATAGTGTTATAGATGTGCTGGCACCTTATGGAGCTGCGGCTACTAGTCATAGGGAGTTCACCACTGATATCAATGTTGATAGGGATTTGAACGATAATAATCATAATAGATTATGGGAGTTTAATAATAGTGGAGATGGAGCATAAAAATTTAGATACCTTATAAAGAAATCAAATATATTAAATTAAAAAAAAAACGAATTTGTCCTTAAAATACCTATCTGATAGTCTGCATTAATAATTATATAGCTACCAGGTTATTGTTATATAATTTGAAACATTCTTTTGAGAATGTGATAGTAGACCAGTTATGCAATACTCTGAACCACTTTTGTCTATGATACATAGGTATGCGTCACTAGTTAGGCCTTTTTTTCCTAACGTTAGACTAGCTATTTTTAAGTTATTAATGAAAGTAGTTCGATATAGACACCATAATCAAACACATGTAACAGTAGACTACGAGTCGTTACCGATTGGTTCAGTTACACTAGTTTTATTTATAAAGTTTATATCGTATCATTCAAAATTAAATATAGGATGGTCGAAATAGATTTGATTTGCCTCAGAATATCAAAATCTTTGGCAGCTTCATTATTGGAGTCCATTTTTGTACCATCCATAAATTTAGTTTTATAGTGGAAAATAATATTAAAATGTGTGATTCTGATTCCGAAAAAATTCCTTCAGATATCGAGACATGCAGCATCAATGGAAAGGTTCTTCTGGTAACTCATTTTGTTTTCATATATTTTTCATTTTATAATTTGGGTTTTATCATGAATTCATATTGGCACTACTGATCAAGCTACTGATATTCATACATGGCACTAGTGTTATGCTAAATGTGCACATAATGACATTGACGTAGATTATATACAGGGTGAGTTACTAAGCGCGCGGTGGTCCATATCACCTATACTAACAAAGATCGAAGAAAAAACTAAATACAAAACTTGTAGATAAACGTGAGTACAACATTCCGAAATTATTTTCCAGTATACAGGGTGGCCCAATAACTAGTAGTGACACAAACTTATGTTTTTTTTAAATAACTCTCTTTGTATATTATAACATTTCTGGATTCTGTGGAAGATTCTAGACATATTTCATGTACAATGTCATATACCTATCTTCAACTGTTTCGAAAATATTGACAGTTGAAAATTGACTTTTTTGTATCTTTGACAGACTGTAAAACCTGAACGATTAATTTTACAAGAAAACGGATTTTACATTCCTATCTTAGTTTTTCATAAGCTATCATTTGGCACCAATCTTGAATTTAATCCATGATTAAAAATTCCGCCTAATTATTAATTTCCGGTTAAATTCGAAGTTAGTGTCAAATGATAGCTTATGAAAATTTAAGATAGGAATGTAAAATCGGTTTTCCTTTAAAATTAACCGTTTAGGTTTTACAGTCTGTCAAAGATGCAAAAAAGTAAATTTTAAACTGTCAATATTTCCGAAACAGTTGAAGATAGGTATGACATTATTCATGAAATATGTCTAGAATTTTCCGCAAAATCCATAAATGTCATAATATACAGGGAGAGTCATTTAAAAAAACATAACTTTGTGTCACTACCAGTTATTGGGCCACCCTGTATACTGGAAAATAATTTAGGAATGTAGTACTCATGTTTATCTACAAGTTTGGTATTCAGTTTTTTCTCCGATCTCCGTTAGCATAGGAGATATGGACCACCGCGCACTTAGTAACTCGCCCTGTTTATTATAGTATTTAGATTACATTTTATAAAAATGATGATAACGAGTGTGTTCTAATCACACGAGTTTTATAGTCATGTTTTAAATGCACGTGTAATGTAAAACTTTTTGTCTACAAGCGAAAAATAAGAAAATGCTGTTTAAATTTTCGTTTATTAATGCCCGATTGCGCCGTCTCTCTTAACCGAAGCTTAAAGGATAACTATTCCCTAAAGTGACATTTTTTCATGCAAAACTGTCAGTTTAAGGGATAGTTATCGTTAAGCCTCAGCTAAGAGAGACGGTGCAATCGGGCATAAGTTGTCTACCTTTAAACTAGGTATGACATTTGTAACGTTTTTTTAATTCTACCTGCAGGAAATTGTTCCGTGCTCCAGACTATAATGGTTACACACTTTGCAACAGTTTAATGAATTTGTCTCTGAAACGTTATGGATTATCAGTAATAGGAATTTGCATCAAAAGTTATCATATTTATAGAAATTTGTAGATGTGTTTCACTACTATAATAGGTACCTACCTACTTTAAAAACTAGTTGTATTATAGATTCAGAACACTAACACCACTAGTTGTGTTATGAGCATCATAACATAACTCAAATACCTACTAGAAACAAAAAGATAATTATGTAAAAACGTCATAACTAGAGCGTTGAAGATAAAAAGACATAAAGTAGGTAGGTATTCAGAAATTAACAAAATTGATTATTTAAAATGTTTAAACTTCCTTGGAAAGGATAAAGGACCAGATTTTGGCATTAGAGGGTACAGCAGCTATAGATTAAATAGTTAAAGAGCATATCCCACAAGAATATACAGTCACTTCAAAGAAACTACATAGGGAAGCAGCGGTTTGTTGTGCCTGGAAGGCCTGTATTCATGTCCACTACCGTACATTCCATAGCCAGGAATCCAGGATAGCTTCTTTCTTCTGTCTCCCTTCTCCCTCTTTCAATTTTCCCTCCAAGAATTTGGCGCTGAAAGCAATAACCTTCTTCGCGTATTATGTGTCCCAGATAAGATATTTTTATGCGCTTCATGAGTTCCATTTCTAGTAGTTCGCCCCTTCGGATTACCTCTTCATTTGTGATGTTATCGACCCAAGGTTGATCTTGCCTATTCTATCCTGTATTTTATCTCTTTCTCCGGATCTCATCTTTCATTCGGCATGCATCCCAAATATTCAAAGTCTGTAACCTGTTCAATATTTTTGTGCAAGATATTGTCTCTACTCAGCATCATCAACTTTGTTTTGCTAGTGTTAATTTTCAAGCCAAATGCCTTGCCTGCTCCATTAATCTGATTCAGTGATGTCTGATAATCTTCTGCATTGTCTGCTAATATTGCGGTGTCGTCTGCATATCTAATTCTGTGTAGCAAAACGCACTCAAGTACTCTATTTAATTAGTTAGATGGTAAATGGCGAGCGGTATATTGATGGTATTTATTTTCTCGAGTGGCTACCTATAAAATTGTGGAGGGGGTCTATTCGCAAAAGAGAGAAACAAACTATTGAGGTTTACTAAATTATATTTTATTTTACTTAAAACCAAAAAATTAAATAAGCAAATATCTTTCTATTCTGACAACCACTTCTATATTTCCCAATTCAAATTATTCCACATCGGTTCAAATTTCATTACTACGGACCCGGAAATATCCATACAAAAACGCCCTACTTCTTCTATTCCTAATAACTTATAAGTTTATACATTAAAACACTTCCGATTCACATTCCTTTAAAACTACCCTTCACCTATATCTACAACTTCTTAAAACTCCTAAGTCCTTTACTGACTGCTTATGCAAAATAATTATTTAAGTCATAATCCGACTCACTGAATTAAGTATATATGTATTACCAACTATATTTTTATAAAAACCTCACAATAATTTCTAAATGAAAACCCCTAATTCAAAATTTCAGCACTTAATGTTATCAATGTTTCTTCATGAACAACAATTTTCAAATAAAACTTTCCAATACTTCTAATGATTAACGACAGCAATTTTATCTCATGAAGAACAACAGTTTTTAAACTAACCTTTCCATTACTTTTAATGATTAACGTCAATAATCTCATTTCATGAACAACAAGTTTCTTTGTGAAACTTCCCATTTCATTTAATGGTTTATTTAATCAGAAAAATTACTATTTTCGGATTCCGGATTCCTAGCCAATAAACACAATTATTTAATTAATAATTCTTACTCAAAATCGTATATTGTTAAGAGCATTATAATTTTCCTTTGTTAATTCTATTTTTTCTCAAAGTTTTACCTATTCAAGGTAAAGGCGGGAGTTATGAAAATCCTTAATTCCCGCGCGGGAGTTATGAAATCCTTAACTCCCTTGGGAGCTAAGACCCTGTTTATGATTATCGTAACCAAGGTATTATATGGTTATAATAGTTCAGTAGGATATAAAATACTTAATTAATTTACTTCAAAATCTCTAGAGCTCGCACATAATGTTGAACGACTTTAAATGTTTTTTCTTTCACAATTTTCCGTACTTTTCAAAGTTCAATTAAACGCGTTTTCCTGAGGCAATAAAATAAAAGAAACTCTTCGCGAATTTTTATCCGGACTGACTCATTAGGTACTGTAAATTTAACTCAAACTGGACTGAACTGACAACTGGACTAACTACTGACCTTCTAAAATCCCTGTATTTATATTTTTCGATTCCCCCAAAAATATTATTAATTACCCACTAAAATCGACAATATAGGCGCTCGTTTGACCATCAATTCAATTCTATTGGTCGACCACTCGACCTAGATAATTATTCCAAAAACTAATTTCATCATTTTAGAGGATGATGCAATCTGTTCGAAATTTTTGTCATTTTGGGTCCAATTTAATTAGGTGCTTACTGCATATAGAATGAACAGCATTGGAGACAAGATACATCATCCTTGTCTGACACTTTTTTTCTATTTCAAGTTGGTCTATTGTTGTTGGGTTGTCTAACCGAACTTCCAGTCCTAATTCTCCAAGACATGATCATGTCAAATGCTTTCTGATAGTCAATAAAGCATATAAAGACAACCTTTCTTTGATCTCGACAATTTTGCACCAAAGTCTGCAAAGACTGAATAGTTTCTCTAGTTCCAAAACCACTCTTAAACCCAAATTGACGAGTTCCGCTAACCTCTTCGCACTTTTTCTAGCGTCTTGTGTGTAGAATTCTAAGAAAGAGCTTCAGAAAGTGGCTCATGAGACTAATGGGACGAGAATACTTGCATGCTTTTAGGCTATTTGATATTATAATAAAAGTACAGCGAATTAATCCAATCCTCGGGAAATTATCCAGTGTTCTTATGCTGCATGTCTAATTTTGCCGCCTACCTACTATTAGATCTACCCAGTGGATCTTCATGGTGACCTGCCTGCAATTTTGTATAAAGATGCCTTGGAATGAATTTCGACTTTGGATAGAGCCATAGAGGATCTTAATCAATGTTCGATTTAATTTGTGAATCTCAGATGTACCTATTTCTGAATAGTAGAAGATATCGGCATATTTCCTTCATAATTTTGTATTGCCTCTTTCATTTGGTCACAAATCAGTTTTAATTCGGAAAAGCAAGATAACGGGGCTATACATTATTATTGAGGTATTCAGTGGTGTAGTGGATGTAGGGCATAATGTGTGGAATTGTATTGATAATTTTGCTTCAAGCGAGATCTTCAGCAGTTTTGGTCAAAGAGGTTGTCGACTCCAATGATGCCATGAAATTTGCGGCAGAACTTGAAAACATGCCTGCATTTAACTTTTAAGTTGAGTTCTAGTAAGATGTGGGATTATGTCTCTTATTTTCTACTTCTGGAAACTGGATGAGCATTTCTGGCAAATGTCATGCCTCATTGTATAAATATTATTGTCAACTACTACTTAAGTAAATACCACTCTGTTAATCAATTTTACTAAAGTGTGTCGACGAGTCAGCATTTATGTGGTATAAAATACCGCGCCGAAATCTATTACCGGAAGACTAAAGGCTAGTGCAAAGTACCTCAAATGGGATAAAGCCCCTCTAGCTAAGTCTCCTCCCAGTGCAGACTACCTTTAATGGGAAACGCCCTTCTGGGAGTATCGAACGCAGCAGACTAGGTCCAGTGCAAACTACCTTTAATGGGAAACGTCCTTCTAAACCTAGCTTTTTCTGAGAGCATTAAACGCAGCAGACCAGTGCAAACTACCTTTATTGGGAAACGCCCTTCTGGACCTGTCTCAAACCCAGCTTCAGTCTGCAGTCACGCCAAGTGTACATACAGAGTGGCCTATAAGTAGTACGTCCCTCCGTAGAAGAGACGTCATGATTCTATTTCTAGGGATAATATTATTATTATTCAATACATTATCTTATTATTCCTATACCAAGTGAGTTTCTCTCTACCTGAACCCCATCTACGCCCCCAGGTCACGCTCCTCTTGTGACGTCCCAGGACGAAACGTATAGGGGTTGTGACATTATCAAAATGTATGTTGCTGGGTAGTTTTATTTTAAAGCAAGTGCATGATCATGGATCAGTGTAGGTACACCTAGATGATGATTCCTTTGGCTCGGCTAGTTTGCTTGCTTTTATTGATTCATTGGTGATCGAGAATCTTTTGAGGCATATTGATGTATGGTTCCAATGGGCAATATTGGTTCCAGTGCAAGGTTGTACCTACAGTTGATAAATTTGTAGAGCTCGTTTGGTAGAGTGATAGAAGCCAGTGATTTCTCCAATATTTTTTCTAGGGAAAGTATTTATAGGAATAAGTACCTACTCAAGTTTTCTCGATCCCTTTATTAATATAATAACAAATATCGATGCACCCAAAACGTAACATCGACCCCAACCTTTAGTAACTCGAGCGAATTCTACACAGTAGAAAGAAAAAACATTTGTGGTTGATTTTATTTTTCCTTCAATTATTTATCACTTTGCCACATTGAATAAGTAACAAGTAGAGTTATTCCACTATAATTATGGTACCTACATTATCATTAAAAACAAGTGAAAAAAACTGAAAAAACAAAAACACCCATATTGGGCACGCATAACACCATTAATTACCCATCAATTAAACAAACAGTCCATATAAGTCACCGGTCTTGTCCTGCTTAATTAATCCAAATAAATTACCAAAAATGCAGCAACATTTCGAAAAATTTGTGCTATTAATTGCGGCTAGTTTATTTGGAGAATTCCATGCAGCACTTCGTAAGTAAAACTTATTTTTCTAACTTCATCTAGCATTCGAATTTTTTTGCTAGATTCTGGATTTACTACCTGCAAGACAAAAGATGCGGATTTTAACTCTTGTCTAAACAAAGCCATCGAGAATGGGGTGAAATTTATTAAAAATGGTTTAAAGGAGTACAATTTGCGGCCCCTGGATCCTTTCAAATATCCCTCGATGAAAATAGGGGTCGGTGCGGGGGCCGTAAATTTGGAACAAAACTATAAAGATATCACTGTTACTGGATTTTCCGGTTTGACTGTCTTAAACGCAAAGTGAGTATTTTATTTAGACATTTAAGTGCGGAAGAGACACTTTTCATTTGAGTTAGGATTAGAAATACCCATTTCTTTATAAGCTCTTGAAGAATGTGTCCGACTAAACAAAAAAAGTTCATGATGACTCAGAAACCTTCTGCTTTATTTGAAAACCCAGCATTTTCGGTCAAGTTCGCGACCTTTCCTCGCATATTTCCCGAACCGTAAGCTAGATCGCTTCCGGATTTATAGGAGTTTGGTCGACAAGACAACATCTACAATTTTATTTATACAAAAAAATTTGTTACGGTTATTAGGTTTGCCGCTAGAGGATTATTATGTCTTGGAGTTGAAAGTTGTAAGAGGGTAATTGAGTTCACGATATCTTTTGGAAAAATTGGTATTTTCTAATGAAACTCGTTGACGGAATGATTCTTTCTTCGTAAAATATAAAGGTCTATTTACTTTCAGCATGAATCATGGTTTAGGAAGTTCATTATAAAAATTTCTTTATTCTAACACGAGAACTAAGAGGAAAGTGAGCGCTCTGAGCCTCATTGAAGTTTAGAAAAAAAAAACTTTTTAATGAGATGCTTATGTACTTTTTGTGCAGAAAAACGTGCGAATGATACTAGGACAATGTTCATATCTGAACCATTTCACAAAAGTTTTTTTTGATATTTCAGCATGGATTTTGATAAGAAAAAGTTAACATTTTCAACTGCTGTTCCGTTACTAACCCAGAAAGCTACTTATAATATTGATGGAAAAATATTGATGTTGCCTGTACGTGGAACAGGACCTTCTACTTTGCAGCTACGTAAGTATTACAAATCAGATAACAAGGCCACCTTTATGAATTTCGAGGGGTTAACTTCACTGTGATATGCCTCAGAAGCTTCCAGAACAGACTCTCACATAACATTGTTATTGGGCTAAATTACTGCTTTTTCTAGAAAACAGCTTCTCGAACCACACATTGGACTTTCAAGAACAAACCAAAGATGGCATCGTCTACTACAAACCAACTAAATATACCATTAAGATATCAACCGAACATGCAAACTTCAATTTTGAAAATCTCTTTGACGGCAATAAGCTCCTAGGGGACAACATCAATAAAGTCGTAAACCAAGAATGGAAACTTATTTTCTTGGATGTCCGGGATGGATTCCAAGAGGCTTTCGGACAAATATTTTTGGATTATGCTAAAAGGATTTTTGAAAAAGTACCCATGAAGGAAATATTTTTAGAGTAGTTTATTATTCAAAACCTGTAGTCTTATAATAAAAATGCGGTGCTAATTCTAAAAGCCAGTCCCTTTGAATCACTGTAATGTCCTTCATGTAAAGTTTAATTCCATGCACAACTTCACCAAACACTATCCATTGGGGCTGTTCAATGTTATAGAAAACACTTTCAGGATGCACAAACAGGTCTATATCGCCTCTCACTGTTTTATATACTCCGCTTCTATGTAAATATGCTCCATTAGGAAATAACCCAGTCACTATGCATTTGCAAACATTTTCAGTATTTCTACAAGATGTTAGCGGAATATTATAATTGACCAATATTTTTTCCAAATTCCTTCTAATTTCCATTACACGCTTCATGCTAGAATGACTCAAGAAGTTCTTATGACAAAACCCTTGAGACATATCATTCTGTACAAACGCATTAAAAATATTTAAATAAGTTATCAAATCACCTTCTTTAACTTCAAACAACCGCTTCTGGATTCTAGCTTTAATTATTCCATTTCCTGTGGTAGGTTTATTGAAAACTGTTTCCACTTGAAGCATAGAAATAATGATAAGAATCTCCTCTGAGCAACTGAATTCTTCTGAAGTCAACAACATCTTTGAATATAGAGGATTAAGGGCAAATTCAGCCATGTGAAACCCTAAAGGTCTTGTCAACTGACAATTTATATCAATTGCATTTAAAGCATAAAGAAGTTCTAAAGCACTTTTAATATTCTCCATTGGAGGCATGCTTGGGAATTTAAATTGTAAAATATTATTTACTCCCATTGCCTTTAGTTGTAATATTGGGTAAGTTAGGCTGGATCTTACCATTTCTGGTGGAGTATTTAAAGGTAATTTTTCAGCCCACTCCTCTGTGTACAATCGGTAAACTTTTCCTGACCTCATTCTTCCTGCTCTGCCAGCTCTCTGATTAGCTGAAGATTTACTTATGGGCACAACCATAAGACTATCAGTATGTGTCTCAATGTTATACCATTTTATTTTAACAAAGCCACTGTCAATTATAAAAACTACTCCAGGAATTGTAACAGATGTTTCAGCAATGTTTGTTGCAACAATAATTTTTCTGTAACCTTCAGGGGCTTTTTGAAATACTTTTAGTTGTTGATTGTAAGGCAAGGATCCGTACATAGGCAAAATGGTTATTTTGTTTTTAGATTTTGAATTTTCTATGGCGTTAGCATGTTCTCCTAGTATACGTACTGCTTTAAGAACTTCTTCTTGACCAGTCAAAAATATTAAAACATCTCCAGCAGTGCCTGATGCATTTATATTTACAGCAGCTTCAACAGAGGCTTGTACGTAACAAGGTACTGGTTCAGCTACATAAAAAATTTCTACTGGAAATTGCCTGCCTTCTACAGACAATATTGTTGAACTGGGTGTTTTTAGATTTTCAAAGTTATTGAAATATTTTTGGAATGCTGTTGCATCCATTGTTGCTGATGCTACAATTAATCTTAACTCAGGTCTTTTCCTTAATATTTTCTTCATTAATCCTAATAGAATATCAGTATAGAGGGTGCGTTCGTGTACTTCATCAATCATTATAACTGAATAACTACTAAGTAAAGGATCTGACATCATTTCCCTTAGCAAAATACCTTCAGTAACAAATTTAATTTTTGGCTTACAAGCACATGAGTCAAACCTTACAGCATATCCGACCACGTCACCTTGCACTAAGCTCCCAGTTTCATCTGCCACTCTATTAGCTAAAGAAATAGCAGCAACCCTTCTAGGTTCGCATATAACTATTTGCTTAGGCCACTCAGCTTCTCGTAAATACTGCGGGATTTGGGTACTTTTTCCACTGCCCGTTTCTCCTACCAGAATCAAAGTTTGATATTTTTCCAGGAGATACAAAATGTGGTTGCGGTTATTGAATATCGGCAAACGTTGTCTCTGAGTCTGGATTGATTGGGAGATGTATTTGTTGTAAGTGAAATTGGTTTTTTCAACTGCTGGATCTTTGTCCAAGAACGAAGAAGTGTCGGATGGTTTTACGAATCTTGGTTTGAAGGCGGACGTGGACATTGTGTCCAAACAAACTTTTGTTGTTTTTCGAAAAGGAAACTTTAAACTTTTTTAGGTTTTAAACGTGTTTAAACTCCAAACTAAAGCTCACACTACTTGTTTATTTATTTTGGTTTTGTTGCCAGTGTGAAGTGAGTGTGAGGTTAGGTCAACTCTTCTCAGCGTTGCCAGACTTTAAATATGGAAGTGTGGTACACAATGCTCAAAAACTGTCGTACAAGGACGTACAGTGGGAATCATTGCAATTGGCACACAATATATAAATATCCCTCGTAATGTGTCAAATCTGACACACAATAATAGCAAAATGCTGCACGATTTATTGGTTAGAATTTTGACTTAATACGAGGGATTTTAAAGAGTGTGTGCCAAGTGCCAATGGCAGTAAATATCCAGTTAAGTTCCTCAAAATTTTGTAGAGGGCGCGAGTGAACTTGGAGTTCTTCAAATTTTAGCGGTAAATGTCAATAGTTTTAAACCGTTTAAATTAAGTAGAAGGAAAGATGAGTACAATATGAACAATGGACAATGAATAAGTTAAAATATCTTCCAAAACATTCAGTGAGCCTTAGAGAATATTTTTAAAAGTGTCAGCGTCAGCTTGTCTTGAAACCACACATCAGAATTAACTTTTGAGGTTAAAATTACAATCAATCATTTACGCGCCAAAATTTAAATAGCTCCAAGTACAGAAGCGCCCTCTTCAACTCAACTGTCAATATTACATGCCATTGCAATGATTCCGACTGTACGCGCCACGAATACTTGTGGCTTGTGGTACACATTACCTTACATAATACATTTTTAGTATACATTTACTAGAAAAAATATGATTTTTTTTTGAGAGCCCAAAATGTTGAACAGTAGCGTAACTTGACATCAGGGGCCTCGGTGCCAGATTAGATCAGCCCGCCCGCCATTGACCCCGCCCAAGGTTGTTTAAAACAAGGATGCCTGAACTTTGATGACGTCGTCTGTATGCCTCAACATAATGAAAATCTCCATAAGGCAGCCCAGATGCGTCATCAAATTACCCATTACCAGACAACCTATTAACTTTAGGAACCTTGGACCCTGCCGGAGTTTTTTTGGGTACCACGCCCAAAGACGGTAATTTTAAGCCTTCAAAAAACAACCTATTGTGTGATTACCTTGGTATTTACTCATCTTACCACATTGTTTCTCCATTCAAAAAGGCATGGGCTTTTCGCAAATTTTTCCCTCACTCCATCTTGAGAATGGAAATTGCCCATAAGAATAGGTACCTACACAACCAATCAATGCAAGATAACAGAAAAATTAAATTGTACACAATGATAGGTACATCACAAGAACTGAAATAACTGTGAGCCGTCGCCGCAAACGTTTTATTATAAATTTGTATTATAATTTTCAGACATCAGACATTTGAAAACATTTTTTTTTTCAAATCACATATTACGAATTTAATAAAATAAGTAGGTACTTATGACAAAAGAGGCGGGGCCTCCTAATTCTCGGGGGCCTCGGTGATATGCACCGAACTGCCCTATGATAGTTTCGCCAGTGATGTTGAAAACTTGAAAATAGCTCTTGCATTGAAAATTACAGCAACAGGAGTAAAGGGAAATCAAATAGAACTATTTATTTTTAGGGTACTTAGTCAAATTGAAATAAATTCTTTTGTAAAGCTGATGCTGGATTATGTGATACTGGAAGATCAAGAACATTTTATTTCTTCTGTGAGAACGAATCGAAAATCATCTTTTCTACATTTAAAATCGACAAAAAAATTAAATCACTAGCACAGCTTGAATCGCAAGCATTCCATCGAGGTCTGCGGGCGACGTCATCACTATAAGCTGCTGATAGTGACGTCACTCGCTGGCTCAGAATTTGATGGCGAGGTAGTTAGGGGAGTATGACACATCACATAACCCAGCATCAGCATATTCACATGCAAGGTTGTCAAGGTGCAAGGTGGTCAAGCAAGGTACCTACCCAAGCAAGGTACCCAAACCCAATTTGGCCAACACTTATATAATAAAAAGAAGGAGAATTTAGAAATGTGGTACATATTACCATAAAATATTACCCAACCTAATATTTCAAAACTGTGGTACATTACCGTACTACCGTACGCATTGATTTTCTTGTAACGAAGATGCCCTAAATTGTCGTACAAATACCACACCTGTCGTACGTCTGGCAACGCTGACTCTTCTGCTTCTTTTTTTTGGTTTAGGCTGTGGTTCTGCCCAATCAAGGATAATACACACTGTGGACTAAGGATTGCTTATCGGCCTCATTTTTGCTAATCGCCGCTATTCTGGTGTGTCACCATTTTTGACGTCATTGACAAGTCGTCAGCTGTTTGCATTAGTAGTCGCAGTTTAGAATGTTCTATGATGAAAAATAGTATTTAATTTTGATTGGATAATAGGCAAAGAGGAAGATGAAAACGAGATCTAAAAAAGAGTTATTTTAGAATGTTGGATAATGTATATTAAAACCAAGTATGCACAAAGCAAGAGCCCGCGGAATTTTAACCTGTAGTGCGAACACTGCGAACATCCTACGTTCAGGCGAGAAAGGACATGCTGCCTACGTCACAACTGGTGATTTGGCTGGTGTTGGAGGGGTAGGGGGGATTTGTTCCACACAGGCCTTATGTGGATAGGTTATCCTTTAGTAGTAGTGTGTATTATCCTTTCTGAACAATTACGTTTACGTAACCTAAAAGTGCAACTGACTGCACTGAGAGCGGGCGTAATGGAATGGAAGATAATTAAAATCAGCAGGCTAACTCTCACGCGCATCTTTTCTGCGCACGCTGCCATTAGGGGATACCATTTTGTCATAACGCTGTCATTAAACGGCAGGAGCGCCGAAATTTTATTTTATTTGTTTATTTCTGACGGAGGTCATAGGCGTGCGGTGTAGAGCGGAATTTTAGCTATGATTTATGATTTTCAAAATGATTTTGATATATTTGTGTTGTCATTTTTGGTGTTATCTGTTATCATTCTTGTATATTCAATAATAATAATAAATTAGTAATTATAAACACTATTATATGTAAGTAATAATAAATTAGTTTATTTAAAGCCAATACGACTCTGTCACAGGAAAGAAAAAACCTGAATTATCGTTAATGAGGCCCTGTTTCGTATCCCAAAATGGTCGCTAGTGACATTTTGACGATGAATTCCTTTTTAGTTTGGGTTAGTTTGGGTTAGTTTGGGTTACACGGGCTGTCACTCAAGTTAGCCTGCTGATTGTTTTTGTATATGCTGTGGTTTGGGTAATCGGTAACGAGGTGTATCCTCAACTTCTGTAGTTCGTAGTTCGAGTAAAATGTCGAAATTTAGAAACGAGCGAAACGGCCTTCGTGCTATGGCTTTTGACCACTGATCTTTCGACATCATCTTCGTCCGGAATCTTGTATTAGGTTTTCATGAAATGTATTTGCACCGTCAAAAATCATGGTACGAGAACGGAGAACGATAGGATCACGTTTATTCGAGTGCTGGGTCGCGATAGGTCGATAACCCAAATACAGATTATTTCTCTAGAGAGCGGGTAGTCGAACCTAAAATAGGAAATAACAGTGGTGATTATAGGTCTGTTCGCACAGCAATCACAAACCAGTCAGAGTGAATTTCATAGGTTGAAAAGAGTCAGAAAATTAGTTTCAACCAATGTTATTCACTCTGACTGGTTTGTGATTTCTGTGCGAACAGACTCTAATCAACCCGAACATGGCTTATTGCACTGCACTCTCAAAATATGAACCCAGAGCGCACCGGTGCAGGTATTTGAATAGCCCAATTTAAGTTCAATGATATGAACCAACTCAACCGGCTCGATCGTCTGCGCTGAGTGTGACGTCATGCCAATCCTTTCTAACCCTAATGTTTTGTTTTGTCTTTCCTAACCTCAATCTTCCATGTGTTTACACTTTACTGTACAAACATGGGCTCACCAAAAATGTTTGTCCTCTAGTGAATTTTGTACCCTCTTTCTGTTTCTGTTTCTGTGTTCACTGTTCATATAGCAAAAATGAGTAAAAAGCTGTTCAATTGGAAAGCCCGGCAAGTGGTTGATACATTAGTCGATGATTCCAGCACGAAACAGGTAAGATGGTATATCGCTAATAAAGTACATACAAAAAAAGCTATACGCAAATTTCCAATAAAAAATGTTTTTTTTTTTAAGATTAAAGTAGATTTAGACGTGAAAGGTCATTATGATCAAAGCAACGAGTTGGTTTTGCCCTCTGATAAACGAAAAACCAAAGTTAAAGATGACAAAACTAAAATCACCAGAATCTTGTCTAATAAGCAACGTAAGAGATTGGAAAAAATCGTTGATAAGAAGAAGAAAAAGGAAAATGTAAGTAGAACATTTATTTATTTATGTTTTAAGGCACTCTGCAGAACAAATTTCTAAATGGTACAAAAGGGCAACATCCGTCAACAAACAATCTGTGATCCCTTATCATTGTCCTCCTTGAGTAATTTTTCGGATCCTAATTCTTTCTTTCTCAGTCTAGTAACGGCAGAAGAATTGGAAAAAATTTTTTGGGCATCAAAAATAAAACCTCATCAGGTTGGAATAATATATCAGGTAAAATCTTTCTTGCCCTTCTAGACCTTGTCCTAAATTTTCTGGCAAGGGCCATAAATAATTCCCTGGAAACGGGTTTCCCAACTTTTTTGAGAAGGGCCACAGCCGAGGCCACAGCTATCCCAATTGTTAAGGGAGGAGAGAAGGAGTTGCCCTCTAACTACCAAACCATATCACTGCTGCCCATTCTAAGCAAGATAGTTGAAAAGCTCATCAAGGAGTGAATAGTGGTTTTTCTGGAGCAAAATAGGCTTTTGTCTTGCAATCAGTTAGGATTCCAATCCTCAAAAAATACAAGTGATGCCATTTTTAATGTCCTGGAATTGGTTTACCTCAGACTTAATGATGGTGAGAAGGCTGTAGCAGTGTTTTGTGACTTGGCCAAAGCTTTTGATTGTGTCAACCACAAAATACTGCTGCGCAAGCTTAAAATCTATGGTTTTAGGGATTGTCCTGAGCTGATTTAGTTCTTACTTATCACAGAGGAGTCAGAATGTTGTCTCTCAGGATAGTGTTTCAGCTGGCTTGATAGTTAGAGCTGGATTTCCACAAGGGTCTATTTTGGGGCCATTTTTGTTTTAGAGTATGTTATTTAGATAGTAGTAGGATCTTCTGCTTTTCGCGTTTGTCTATTTCCATATGAGAAACTAAGCTCTAAAGGTGGATGTATATCATGAACACTACACGCAGCGGAAAGTCACTGGTTTTGGTCACAGGTGGAGAAAGTTCAGTTGCGAAAATAAGATCTAGGGATCTATTGTAGCTATTCTTCACATTGTTAAGTTGCTTAAGTTCCATGAAGAACTTACTATCTATCAGAGTTTGTTCGGCCAAGGAGTGAGTAGATTCCGGCACCAGAAAATCATCCAGTTGACATTGGGAAGATTGAATTTGGCAAATATGATAAAACTGGCATTTGTACAGAAAGTCCATATTTGCTCAAATTCAGAAAAGTTTGCAGTTGGTATAATCCCGCTCCTTGATCCGTGTTGGTTGTTGTATAATCCCGATCGGCTCGGAGAAAATTAAGAGAAGGCAGGGTGGTCTTGGGCTCTGGGTTTCAATTTCTAATCATCCCTTTTAAACATCAAAATTCCTAAAGTTGACAATGTTATTTTTCTGTTAGGCTGAGCCCAAGAAATAGCATCAAAATTCCTCTTAAAAAAGATTGGCTTTATTTTTAAATGGTTTATTTTTCTTTTTAGAGAGCAAATTTGCTTGAATCCCTTCAAAAAGTCCAAGCAACTACAGAGGAACTTTCCCAACTCACTTCAATTGCATCGGTTCAAACAAAAGGCTTAAGAAAATATTTCCAAGAGGAAGCAAACCCTGACAAAATCAAATTCAAGCCAAATTTAATTGTCGAAGATGGTCAAAAGAAAATTAATACATTATCGGGAGCAAAAAGAAGAAAATTACTTCAAGAAACTCTTCTTCCTGATAAAAGAGCTAAAATAACTGACCCTAATGTCGTTGGATTTGAAAGTGACAGTGAGGAATCTAGTGGAGAAAGTGATAATAACGTAGTTGGGAAAACAGAAGAGCTAATCGAAACCAGACCAATTGAAGTTGAATCAACAATAATTGAGAATAGTGATCATGGAGAAATAATTTTATCAGAAACCAAGTCAGAAATAATTGAAATAAAAGACGATCCCAAAATCATTAATATTGAAAAAAAGCCTGCAGTTTACGTAGATGTAATCAGAAACGAAGAAATCCAAATTGCTAGAATGAAATTGCCAATTTTAGCTGAAGAACAACAAATAATGGAAACCATTAACGAAAACTCCATAATAATTATTGCTGGAGAAACTGGCAGTGGAAAGACCACACAAGTGCCACAGTTTCTATATGAGGCAGGTTACGCCTTGAAAAAACAAATCGGGGTTACTGAACCTAGAAGGGTGGCTGCCATTTCCATGTCTAAAAGAGTGGCGGAAGAAATGAATTTAAGCACCAAAGAAGTCTCTTATTTGATTCGGTTTGAAGGCAACGTAACTGACGATACCAAAATTAAATTTATGACTGATGGTGTGTTGTTAAAAGAAATGCAAAGTGATTTTTTGTTGATGAAATATTCAGTTATTATTTTGGATGAGGCTCATGAAAGGTAAAGGACTTCTATTCAACAAACTTGTTAGTGTTAGTGTTTTATAAAATATTATATTTTTCTAGGTCAGTATACACAGACATCCTAATAGGTTTCCTATCAAGAATTGTCCCTTTGAGACACAAAAAAGGCGATCCACTAAAACTAATAATAATGTCCGCCACTTTGCGTTTAACAGATTTTACTGATAATAAAAGACTCTTCAAAATAACACCTCCAGTTATAAAAGTTGATGCGAGGCAGTTTCCTGTAACAGTACATTTCAATAAACGAACAAACGAAAACTATTTGAAAGAAGCTTATAGTAAAACTGTTAAAATACACACCAAATTGCCTGAAGGTGGAATTTTGATTTTTGTCACTGGCCAGCAAGAGGTTAACTATTTAGTTAGAAAATTACGCAGGGCATTCCCTTTGAAACATAAAGACAAAATGCTTGAAAAAGAAAAAGAGGTTAAAGAAGAAGAAACAAAAGAGGAAGTTGATCATTTTGATGAAAATAACAAGAAAAAATCTATTAGGAAAAAGAAGAAAGTGAAAATAGTTCCTGAAATCAATTTAGACGATTACAGCCTTCCTAATGATACTGAAACCATTTCTGATGATGAAGAAGGCTTAACATCAGATGAAGAAAGTGACAACATAGATGACATAACAGTATTTCAAAATGCACAACCTTTGTGGACTTTACCGTTGTTTTCTATGTTGCCATCTCATAAACAGCAGAAGGTAATTTTTAGTGGGTATTCACTTGGTAGAAATAAAGAAACATACTTAATAACTTTTATAATAAAGGTGTGTATCAAGTTTTGTATTCATACTAGTTCAAAAGGATGTAGTCATGACAGGACTAGTGTGATAATAGTTCAAAACAATGCAGTAGTACACTTATAGACTATAATAGGTTTTTTTTTTCTCTAGGTTTTCCAATCGCCTCCTAATGGTTGTCGTCTGTGTATAGTCAGCACAAACGTTGCAGAAACGTCTCTAACAATCCCCAACGTCAAATATGTAGTGGACTGTGGCAAATCAAAAATTAAACTATACGATAAAGTTACAGGTCTAACGAGTCACGTCGTACATTGGACCAGTAAAGCTTCAGCAGATCAAAGGGCCGGTAGGGCGGGTCGTACAGGGCCCGGACATTGTTACAGGTTGTATTCGAGTGCGGTGTTCAATGATGTCTTTCAGCAATTCGGTACCCCAGAAATTCAGCAAAAACCCGTAGACGATTTGTATTTGCAGATGAAATGTATGAATATCGATAAGATTGTGAACTTTCCGTTTCCTACAGCGCCCGATTTGTTGCAGTTGAAAACGGCCGAGCAAAGATTGGAAGTTCTGGGTGAGAATTTGAGATTATTAATTGGTTTATACAAATTACACACAAAAAAAAAAACTAATTTTTTTCAATTACACGAAGTGCTAAAAGAAAATTTATGGAAATCCTCGTTCCTAGAATTCTTGAATCAATGAAAAAATAACAGAATAGTAAAAAAAGAAAATATGCCAGGTTTAACACTATATAGAACGTGATTTGTTTGAACTTAGGTACATAATAGGCAATATACTTCTGTCAAAGAAGAGAAGTAGTTCAACGTCAATATTTTTTTTTTCTATTCTAGGTGCATTAAAAAAAGGTCAAGTAACACTTCTAGGTCGTGCCATCTCAAAGTTTCCTGTACTACCACGATACGGAAAAATGTTGGCCTTAAGCCACCAACAAGATCTTTTACCTTACACTATTTGCTTGGTAGCAGCTTTGAGCGTCCAAGAAGTCTTACTAGAGGTGAATAAGTATTTCCTCAAGGATTTTTGTTTAATCGATTACTGTCATTTTCCACTTTTCAGCTTATGGTTGCAAACAAATAGAAACTTTTTTTTTCAGACTCCTATCTTAGCCACTTCCCCAGAAGACCAAAAAGCCACAAGACAAAAATGGTCAGCACTAAGACGTCAATGGGCAGGAACTGGAAACGCACTTTTACTAGGCGACAACAGTGTTTTGCTTAAAGCAGTGGGCGCTGCTGAGTATGCTCACAGCCAAGGCAAATTGCAAGAGTTTTGCGATAAAAACGGCCTCAGACATAAGGCTGTCAGAGAAATAAGAAAACTTAGATTGCAATTGACGTCTGAAATTAAAAAGAATTTGCCCGAAGTTGATATATTTGTTGATCCCAGAATGGAGCCACCGACTGATCTTCAAGCGAAACTTCTCAGGCAAATTTTACTTTCGGGTATGGGAGACCAAATTGCGAAAAAAGTATCTGTAGAAGAAGTGACTGAAGACGAAGATAAGGCTAAGTTTAAATATGCCTATAAAGCCAATAACATGGAAGAACCTGTATTTTTACATCAGAATTCCGTACTTAAACAAAAATTACCTGAATTTGTAATATACCAAGAAATCTATGAAACCAACAAAATCTACATGAGGGGAGTCACAGCAATAGAGCCTGATTGGTTACCAATTTACGTACCAGGCCTGTGCAACTTATCAGAACCTTTAGTTGAACCTCCGCCATATTATAATAGCAAAACAGGCAAAGTGCATTGTACAATGCAAGGTACTTTAGGTTCTCAAGCCTGGCCTTTACCACCCATGGACATGGCCTACCCTGAGGGAGTAGACAATGTTAAATGGTTCGCAAGGTTTTTTTTAGAGGGAGTTGTTTTTAAAAAAATTGAAAAATATAACAAAAGTTTGTTGAGCCAACCAAAGGTTATGATTAAAAGTTGGGCAAGGTATATTAGAGAATAATAGGTTTTGCTATAGTGTTTTCAATTTGCTCGTTTTTAGGTTGCAGCCTAGAACAGAATCGTTACTCAAGGCACTTCTGGCTAAGAGAGTTACGGGAAAACAGTCTTTGGAGGATGCTTGGAAGGAAGATTCAAAATGTAAGTGATTCAAAGAAGTGATATTCTTGGAATTTATTATGCATTTTTTCCACAGATTTATTGCAAGAATATCTAAAATGGCTGCCCGAATCTGCCCATAGTGAAGTTACTCTAATGTGGCCTCCTCTATAATAATTTTTTTTTTTAAATTGTATATATTGTATGTTACCTCCTTAATAAATTATCAAGGTTTAATTTTTGATAACTTTTTTATTGTTGTAACATTATCTTTAATGTGTAATGAGAGTGATTTTGGGTTTATCAATGGGTTTATATCAACGTTAATTTGTGTCTTTCCAATAAAACGCATCCCTGTGATATGAAATGGTTCTCATTTTTTCACAAGGGGAAAAAAGCAAATGAAAATATCTAATTAAGTTACCGAAACGTTGGCAAAGAAAGATAGTTTTTCGAGTTTCTCGCACTGGTATGTAGGTACTACCATGTTATCAACTGATGAAACTGCAAAGGTTAATTCCGCTAATCAGACGTCCGACTTTGTTTCCCTCTGCCCAGAGTGCATGTGAAGAACATAACAAAGTTGAAGTGAAATTGGGGATAGTCACCTCCTAGCAATATTGAGGGATTTTATAGAGAAAAGGGTGCGTTGAACGGCTATCAAGAGCCAATAAACTGTAGAAAAGGTAGACCCTTTGTTTGGGAAGACCACCATCAGCATACTATCTCAAAACTCAATGCTCAATAGAATTTGGAAATCATTTAAAATTGCAATGTGTATTTTATTTATATATAAGTAATAACTTTAGGCTTTGAAGGTCTATGCATCGAGTTAGGTCCCTATTCTGACTGAAGAGCAAGAAAGTTTTTTAAGTGTCGTCAGAGTGTCGTGAATTCGACTATCCCTGACAGCCTTCAGCTTTGCTAAAAATCAGAGGTTATAATTTCATTTTAATGGAAATCAAATTCAAAAATAAATAATTTCTCTCTCAGGTATTTGAAGATTGCAAAAAAACAAAACATTTTCAGGATTGTATTTTTGAAGTGCAAAAGAGTTCTAGTAAATTATCAGTAGATGAATCACCATCACCATGTCTCTGGCATCGAAGATCACTCTCGGATCTGCTGTAGTGTTTGCATTGGGAATTATTGGTCATGTACATTATAAGCAGTATTCGGACAGGGAACAACTTCACCAAGGAGTTCTAAATGACATAGAAAGAAGGCAAAGACGGAAAACGGAAAATGTATTGAATCTACAAAAACAACTCGAGTTGGCCAAGGAACTGCAAATAGCTGAAGATAGGGCTAAAGAAACCACCTAGAACTACTTGTGATATTTCGAAATGTTGTTGAATTTATAGAGTGAATAATTGTTATAAAGAGAAAATACAGTAGGTATTTTATTTAAATTTATTAGAAGTATTTATATGAAAAGTCATTTTTTTCTTAAATAAAAAGAAAGGGCCAATGATAATCTACCTAAGTATATTCTGTTTAGTGTTTATTATCATAAAAGTGTCTCTCATTCCAGGTAGGTAAATACACTGTATCGTATACCTACATAATATCACTATTATCAGCCCTTCTCACCTCTATTTTCAAAATTACTAAACCCCAGTCTGAAATTCTAAATATGACCTGAAACTAACCCAAACTACCTCAAGTTGTGATTTATGACAAAGTCCATTCAAACTTCGTTTGTTGCATAGTCTGAGTGAGACATTCAGCAATAGATGAGAATTGCTTGTTGATGCCATTATGATCTTGAAGGAAACTAGGAAAACATCAGTTATGGTAGTTTAGTTTTTCTAAATACCTTATGCAACCAAAGTTATCCAATTTTAAAAATAAATAGGTTTTTCCAAAAAACATGCTTGGCTTGGTAAGAGTTTCCTATACCTACACAGTAACAATGACCCAAAGACTTTTTAATACAGAAAAGGTTATAGTTTGGTCATATAGTCACTGTGTGAAAAGTACAGAGGTAAGCACCTAAATACTTTCCTTTATCATGTTACTTTTACCAAACATAGGCTTGCAAGATCTTTTCCTACAAACAAATATGTTTGATGTTTAACAAAAAACCGAAATGATACAGGGATATTAAAAGCTGATAGATAAGGATAAGAATAGCGATATATTTTACCGCTCTGTTGAAAGGCGAGAAGAATTTCTATTCAACAAATCTTTCTGGCAGCAGAAATACGTGCCAAAGCATCTTTTATCATCGGCACTAGAAAACCGGAGAGTATATTGTCACAACCCCTATTTGTTTCGTCCTAGGACGTCACAACGGGAGCGTGACCTGGGGGCGTAGGTGGGGTTCAGGTAGAGAGAAACTTTCTATAGGTACAATAAGATATGTATTATATTGAGTATACAGAATAATATTACCCTATGAATAAATATTAACATGTCTCTTCTACGGAGGAACGTACTACTTATGCCACTCTGTAGACTGTAGATTATGTATACTCTGTACATTTGGCGTGTATAGAGTATACATAGACTGAAGCTGGGTTTGAGACAGGTCCAGAAGTGCGTTTCCCAATAAAGGTAGTTTGCACTGGGAGGGAGACTTAGCTAGAGGGGCTTTTCCCAATTCAGGTACTTAAGCACTAGCCGTCTGCCGGTAATGGATCTCGGCACAGTATTTATACCAAATTAATGCTGACTCGTCGAGACACTTTGATAAAATTGATGAACAGAGTGGTATTTACTTAAGTAGTTGACAATATTATCCATTTCTGCTGCAGAGCAAGTGCCCAAAACAGCAGTTTTTGTCCGAAAATTCTCGACCCCCCTTGGAAGATAAACTGCTCAATGCCAGCAATTGGCCCCTGAATGTAGAGATTGGCAAATTTCATTCCTCTCGTCCGGGACCTATAGCCTCGCGTCAGACTAGATGCTGATAGCCTGAGACCGAGACCCGGCTTCTCATCTTATTTCGTACTACCAAGATATGGATTGGGATTATACAGCAACCAATACGGATTGAGGGGGGGCAGCTTTATTAGCGTTAGACAGCAACTTTCAGCAGAGAACCCACTGCAAACTATTGAATTTGAGCAAATATGGATCCCCTGTATCTGTCACGGTTGTGAGATGGTGATCAGATCAGCATGCATACCTCTAAGGTCCCCTCTGAGATGACTTACAGGTAATATTGTATGGATTTGAAAAACAAATATGCAAATGCCAACTGGATCGCAGAGGATGATTTTCTGGTGACCGAGCAAACTCTGATAATTAGTACTTATGTTGCTCATGGAACTTCAGCAACTCAATGTGAAAAACAGCTACAATAGATCCTTGAATCTTATTGTCGCAACTACTCTACCTGTGTATAAAACCAGTGACTTTCCGTTATGTAGGGTGGTTGATATACATCCACTTGTGGAGCTCAGTTTCTCATACGGTAGTAGACAAACACTAAAAAGCCGAAGATCCTGCTACTACAGGGGCGGATGGGCACACCGGGATACCGGGAGATTTCCCGGTGCGCCGGTCCTTCAGCCGCTGATTGGCTTACCTATTTAAACAATTAGCGAGCCATACGGAGCTGAACAATTACTTCAACAGCATTGACTGGAATCTGTGTTTAAGTAATAATGACTCTAACAAAGTGGTCACTACTTTGTAAGAAGTTTTACAGGAAGGAATTAATAAGTCTGTTTCTGCAGAAATCACAAACTAGTCAGAGTTAATTTCATTGGTTGATAACTAGTTTTCTGACTGTTTTTAACCAATGAAATTCGCTCTGACTGATGGTTTGTGATTTCTGCAGAAACAGACCTATAAAGTATTTTCTCAAAAAAGACCAAGGTCGACAAATATCCCAAATGGGTCAAATATGAGCTAAAAAAGTTATTTGCACATAAAAATCGACTATAAGAAGGACAGAAGATCAAGACGGAAACGGACTATAAAGCTTATTCTGAAACCAGGAAAGACGTGTGAAGTACCATATAGTGACATGTGCTACCTGTTACAGGTTACCATTGAGGTAGCATGTAACCAAAGCTCAGCATTTATTTCTATCCGTTCTTTGAACCCTCAACAGATTGTTGAATTCTTTGCCACACACTTCAAGAATTGTTACTCTGACCACAAGGGTGTTGAGATCAAAGAAAACTACTCAGTTCCTTTTGGGATCTCCGATCATCTCTACGCAGTCGAGAAAATACAGAGAAAATTTCTGGATTTTGATGCCTCAAAGAGTCCTGATCCCTGGACCGGATGGTCTCTCCCCAGTGTTTCTTAAAGGCTGTTGCGCATCTCTAATAGAACCCCTAAAACATATTTTCCAACTTTTTTTCGATACTGGCATTTTTCCCAAAAGTTTGAAAATCTCAACACTTTTCCCTATCCATAATTAAGGAGATCTCTACTATCGCACGTTCCTGAAATTATAGAATCTATTCTAACAGAACGATGTGTAATCATGCTTAGTAACTACTGTTAACGAACAGCACGGTTTCTCCAGGGGAGAATCCACTGTTACAAATCTTGCTGTCTAATGTCTATCAACAGTTGCTAACGAAAGCTTATTGGAATCAGGAAAATAGGTGAACATGATCTTCACGGACATTTCAAAGGCCTTTGATAGTGTCTGCTAAAAGTTGTTACCAAAAAACTCTCAGATATGGGCTGAAAAATTGTGGACGGACACTCTACCTATACTGTCTATGCCTATACTCTCCGGTCGGATTTGGACAGATTGGTACTTTGGTGCAACTTAATCTTACTAAGTGCAAACACATGATTTTCCACAACACCATAAATCCTATAACTACCCACACACACCATCAACAACGCCAATCTAGAAACAGTCGACACCTTCCAAATGCTCTACAAACAGATTTCCTTGCCAGAACCCGGAGTATGAGACTTATTTACAGCCGAGTCTACAGCTTTGCGGCATACTTACTCATCAGCCTTGAGAATCGACCGAACTTCTGACAGAAATTTGATTTCTGCTTCCTGGGAAGAACCCGACAAAGGCTGTATTATTTTGTTGTAAATTTGCATATCATTGAAGTTTATTTCTCCAGTCTACGTGGTTTAACAACGGTTTAACTTAGACCCTGAATATTCGACATTCGTTTGGTTCAGGGCCAAATTATGGACCAACTGGTAAGTGTCTGGTTGTTACCTAGCAGGTACTTTCTATTCTCCAGTGCATAGAAAGTACCTGCTAGGTAACAACCAGACGTTTACCAGTCAGTCCATAATTTGGCCCTCAACAACGCACTCACCCTAGGCCAACTATTTATGAACGCGCTTATATGCACTGTCAAAACCAGTTGTTGGAACTGGGGTCAAGGGTCAGTGAAGTTTTTGGTTGATTAAAATCAAATGTCTGGTTATGTTGATAAGCGCTTTTCAAGTTGCTACGCGAATTCTCGAAGGAAACAACAATTTATTATACAAAACCAGGTAATATCCATGCATAAAATGCCGTAGCTCCTTTATATGGCTCACATTAATTTGCTTCGCTATTAACAAAAATTTTTTTCTTTAAACAGTAATTTGTTACTTCCTTTAAAGTACTCAAAAGCTTGCACAATGACCAAAGGCCTAGTCTTCCTAGGACCTGGAGCCGAAGAAATGGAATTCGTTATCGCTGTTGATGTCATGAGACGTGGAGGAGTAATTACTAAATTAACCGAATTTGTTGCACTAATAATAATTGTACTTTTTTTATCTATAGATTGATGTTACTGTTGCTGGTCTGCCGGATAGTGATATTGTCAAATGCAGCAGAGATGTTAACATCAAGCCTGATCTCGGAATTGCCGATGTTAAAGGTCCTTTTGACGTCATAGTTCTACCAGGAGGTCTTGGCGGATCTAAAGCCATGGCAAAATCTGAACTGGTCGGTACTTTATTGAAAGAACAAGAAAAAGCTGGTAGATGGATTGCAGCTATTTGTGCCGCGCCTACAGCTCTCAAAGCCCACGGAATTGCTGAAGGAAAAACCCTCACATCGTATCCTGCAATGAGAGCTGAAATGGAAGAGGGAGACAAATATAAGTATAAAGAAGACAGAGTGGTGGTGGATGGTAATTTGATAACTTCAAGGGGTCCTGGAACTGCTTTTGATTTTGGGATTACGATCGTTGAGAAAATTGTTGGCAAGGATAAAGCTCACGAAATCGCTAAAGCTATGCTGTTGACCTGTTGAACACAAGTCTTATCTTTTCAGTTTTGTTTTTTATATTTAGTCTCTTAGTGATGTTTTGCTTTAAATAAATGTAATTTATTAGACTCCGGCACATGAAAAATTTCACTAAACTAGTACTAGTATTCTTTCGTTCTGAGCAAACTGATTGAAGTCACCTGAACTAATTGAACCGTATTCTTGCGATTTCGGAGCCCATCATACCCACCAAATGATTGCAATCAGTTTATTCCTAGCCCCAAGTGATCTCATGTCTTCCAGATCATTTGTGAGTCAGAATTAGCCTATGTAGATTCTTGTTTCTTTAATATATGCGACATAAATTAGCAGTTACGTATTAAATTATTCATTATTCCATGAAAGGTATACCTACAAGTAAGTACAGCTAGTACAAGCATAGAATCAACTAATGTGTATAAAAAAAAGTATGTCCCCCTTGAGGTAGGTTTTGCTTGAAATGACTATTGCCATGATCGCAGAGCGATTATCGCGGAATCCTGCTGGTATGTTTTTTTTAAATTGTTAAATTTTCAATCAATACTTTGAAGTATCCTTCTAGGGATGTTGAGGAAGTCTTGGCAAACTCAACATTGCTAACATGTCTTCATCATCAATTTCTTTCAAAAAAAGATATTTCAAAGATAGTGTTTTACTTTTCTTACTAATCTTATTTTTTGTTACACTCATCGCTACACATGGGATGGGATCCAAAAACTAGCACTGAAATGGCCAATAATTATTATGACAAATATTCCGCACCAGTTCTGCCAATGGAAATTTGAATTAACAAACCACCGACACTAGACAACATTACCAGTTGTACAGTGATGAGGAATGTAGCGAACCCACTTCAATATTTCAGATGCATAGAGATAATTATTACAGATTTCTCTTTTGACTAGATCACATATCACACACATAATATACACAAATTCAGTAGACTTATAGCTATACAAATAAAATATTTCATTTTCACAGCTGACAGATACCTACATGGAAAATACAATTCTTTATAAACCAGTAGCCAAAGTGTTTTCTAGTCTTTGTTTTCTTTGGTGTCTTTTTTCAAGCTATCATTCCATTTGGATTGGATTATCTAACAATTAAAAAATAAAACCTTTATTACCTAGACTCTAGACATAATCTAGCGAAAAATAATTTCGTTGGAATAGTTATAAGTAAACAGGCATACAATGAAGAATTCACAAGCTTATATTATAATATAGAATAAATAAAAAATTATACAAAAATAACACCAAACTCATACTTGAATTTTTATAAATTTATAAACTTAAACATCTCACTCGAATGCTAATTAGAAGTTGATGATAATACATGTTCAACGTCCATAAAGAACTATTATTGGGTAATTAGAACTACATAGTTTTAAAATTAGTGTCAGTAGAGTAGTACCCCCTTCATAAAAAAACTTATTTTTTTGCTCAAGTATGAACACATTATGGTAATTTGACCGTGTTTTTAATTAGAAATAAAGCAGCGGAAAATTGATTTCTTTCCAGGAGCATGTGGAAAGTAGGTAATTCGCACAATCATTTGAGTGTGCAAAGTTAGGAAAATAACTATTATTACATAAGTACTTTTCACAAATCTTCTATTTTAGTAACATGGGGCTTCTATTAATTCCAAGCCTCTCTCCGATCGTACGTTGCTTTGAGTTACGTACCATGGGCATGGAGAACGGCAAACGCAGTCTTTATTACGAAACCCAGACGCGAAAACTACACAGAAGCAACAAAGGCATATAGTCCAATCAGCCTAGCCTCTTTCTTTCTAAAAATGCTGGAAAAAATAATTGATAGGCACATGAAAAGAGAAACCTCTCCATAAACACCAACACGCCTATCAAGCAAGCAAGTTGTGCGAAACAGCACTGCACAGTCTTATATCAAGGTCTAAGAGATCCATTCATCTCAAAGAGATCGCTTTGTGTCCATTCATCAACATTCAAGAGGCCTGGACAACACCGCTTCTTTGCTGCGGCTGAAAGACATGGAATTGACGACTCTACTTGTAGGTGGATATGAAACATGCTTCAAAACCGACAGCTTTGAACCACTCTATACGGAGAGACATTGGAGGTTCCTGCAACTCGAGGTTGTCCACAGGGGGGATTATTATCACCTCTCCTATGGAATTTGGTGGTTGATGACTTACTACAGCGTCTTAACTCGGAGGGGTTCCACGCTCAAGGGTATGCTGACGACGTGGACATAGTCGTGCAGACAACACAGCAGTCTGCAGAGAGAGTTTACCACTTTCGGACTCAAGTTTAGCTGATAGCAACTTTGACAGCGAATATCTTGAGAACTTATTCGATTTACAAAAAAAAAAAATAGGCCCTTGTGACGAGACTGAAAATACCTTTAAATCAAGGTACCATTCGACCCATCTTTCCTATCTTAACGAGAGGGGTGAAAGTTACCCCACCCGCGAAATACCGATGGGATCAAAAAGTTGGTCAAAAAGACGAACATTTGGCCCCTTGAAATACAACACCTGGAGAAAATCACGCAAGGGCGATGATAGGAAACCCTTCAACGTAACTAGCAACTGATGTGTTGCAACTTGCACACATATTATGAAACAAGTGATAGGGCTATTCACAGGACACTGTCACTTTAGGAGGCACAGGATGGGGATGTTTGATGGACCAACTGAATGCAAACTGTGGAAAGGAAGATGAAACAGCTTCCCACATCATATTATGACTGTATGGCCCTATCTCACAAGATATGCAGACTCTGCAGAGCAGTACATGGACTGAGGATGGACTATTGCCCGAAAATCTTGTCCAAAGGCTATTAGGCCTCATACAGGAAACAGGACTCTTGTTGGAAAAACAGGAAATTGGGGAGCACAATAAGCCAACAGGCTGCAGTGCATGGAAGGCCACAGCGCCTAGATCCCCCTAACCAATACTAATCACCCTTGGTGAGTTTTGTTTAGTTTGCTGAAAATATATTCTCCACTGCTTTGAAATCACTGTCCAATCACCAATTTCATCCGTTCCAGATTCTTAATTGTTCTAAAGAAGAAATGCCTCCAATCCATTATCAGTCAAAAGCTTTGCAGATGTTTTCCGAAAACACTGACCAGTGTATTCTGAAGCGTTTGGTAATTTTAAAAAAGTAGCAACATCTTTTGCTGTTTGTGCAATTCGTTGTTTACCCATTACCACTCGGCGACAGCTATTGTTTTGATATTTAATGAAGAATCTTGCTGAAGTTAGATGTGTTGGGCGAAGAGCGACATATTTACGGTATAGGTTAACATAGATATCGCCCATAATAGTGAATGAACGTGATTTTTTTGTTTCGTTGCCATGTATTTTCACTAAGATGAATTTATCCAAATCTCTGATATCATTAATGGTCAAGTTTAGCAGCTCATCGCATCTACATGCTCCAGTTACCCCAAAAATCAATACAACCTGAAATAATTAATACAGCATGGGTTTTCGTGACTAAACTTTCTTTTTACCTTTGTAGCTAAATATGCATTATCTGGTGCATTTTCTAGAAAATCGTCAAACTGTTGTTTAGTGAGTACTCTGGAGTCTTCTACCTTGTACCCCTCTCCTTTTTGTTTCATAAACGCTATAAGTTTGGTATAAGTGTTTAGGTCTATGCTGTGCCTGATATTTAATTCTGCTTTGACCATTGAAAAATTCGTCAATAAAGTAGAATTTTTATTATGTTTTGATAACTTGGAAAAATAGGCCAACAAAACATTTTCAGGAAAGTTCACTGCTTGTTGTTCTTCACAAAATTTTACTAAACGTTTGTAACTGTCTTTATATAATTGCTTTGATTTTTCAGGAACTTCAGAATTAATAACACCAGAATTGGCAAGTTCCGCTAGTTCAGATGGAAGAATATCACGCCTCTTTCGAATTTGTTTCATAAATGATATAAGTTTGCTATAGGTGTATAAGTTTATGTTGTGCCTGATATGTAATTCCGCTTTGATCATTGAAAAATACGTCATTAAGGTGGACTTTTTATACTGTTGCGACAATTTGGAGAAATAGGCCAACAAAACACTTTCAGGAAAGTTCTCTACCCTTTGCTCTTCACAAAATTTCACTAAACGTTTGTAGCTATCTTTATATAAATTCTTGGATTTTGAAGGAATAGTCACTAGGGAATTGTTGCCCAAATTGGCATTGTAAACTTCCGCCAGTTCAGGTGGAAGAATATTCGGTTTTTCGTTCATTTACGGACAAAGATTACTATACTCAAAACTGGAACTCTACTAGGAGGACTGCACTCTAATCAATCACAAATTTCAATTTCAATTTTATTTAGGTTAAGATGTTTGTTTTTGTTTACTTTAAATGTCAAAGTCAAGTTACTCATTTGATGTCACAAAAAAAATGGGTATTTTCCAGAATTCACCCATATTATTTACCGGTGTCAAATATTTCGGTGGATAAATGTGCGGTGTCACGTCTTAGCTTAGGTGATCCATGGATCGATCAGATAAACCGAAGGTCTATTTATTTGTGTCGCACTAACTTGAACTAAGCTCTAATATTTCAGATTGTGGCAGATAAACCTGGAATAAACCTAGGTTGTTTCAGAGAGGTAGGTTGCCTCAAGATAATACAAATCTCCATAAAGCACCCCAGATGCGTCATCAAGTTACCCACTATCAGACAACCTATTAACAATAGGCCTTTTCGAAAACGCTAATCCGATTAACTCGATCAGCAGCTGTTTGTCTTTTATTTTTTTTTTATGAATATGATTGAAAAAAGACACAAAACATGATGATCCGGTTAATCGGATCAATGTTTCTGAAAAGGCCTTTTAGGAACCCTAGGATAAACCATGGCTGGGTTCGGCTATTCAGCGCGGAGTTGCAGTAGAGTGAACAGAGTTAATGGAGTCACCCCTAATGATAAAAAGCAATACCCGAATCTTAGCCCGAACGGCTGGAGTGCGAATGGAGTCACTCGAAGTGCACGGAGTGAGCAAGCCGAACCCACCTCATATAAAACGCTCACAAACGATCGAACGCCCCAAAGCAGGAAATGTGGCCCCGAAGAACACAAAAAACAAACCTCAAGCAAGACACCGGCTAACACCGGTTAATTTATTTAAACCGCGACGAATGTAGTTCATCCAAGGACGAACCATAGTTCGTCTGTGACGTCAAGAGTTTGAACGCTGGCTAGAAGCTGCGTCCATGCTTCCGTCGAACTTCGTTCAATATGACGTCATGAGTTTCTCGCGAAAGCGTTTGTGTTCATCAAATCATGGAAGTATTTAGTTCGTCGCGAAAATTCGGTTTCAGAAACGCATCAGCTCTTTTCACGTGGCTCCGGTTCAACAAACCGCAACATACCGCTCAAATTCGAGTGGTATAGATGATGTCACTTTGTAACCGGGTTAGGAAACGGTATGTCATTTCTCTAACGCTCGTCTCGGCGATATGGTTAGAACAAAAGAAATAAAAAATTTGTTAACAACGGAGAGCAGGAAATTTGTGACTGATGTTGACTTAAATATTAAGTGTTTAATATTAAAATTTCTACCTACCTAATCAATTGACGAACATGGAAACAATTAAAGTCAAAATAGGATTTTTTTTTAAGATACACGTGAAATTTTGGTGCAGTTACATCGACCTATAAAAAATATTGACAAGTCGTTGGATTGCCTAATTTAAAATAACATTTAACCGTTCGTTTTCAAATGGCATTTTCAGTGACGTCATCACTTGACAAACCGCTACTTTACGTTTTTTAACCCGGTTAGTTTAAACCGGAGCCACGTGAAAAAGACTATCGAATTTGTTAGCCGGTTAATCTGCTGATCTTGCACCAGTGCAATTTGAGATTATGTTCTATCCGCTAGACCTGCTCTAACCAGATTCTGGAGGGGAGTGTGGACTCCTGAATGTGAAAACAAAGGAGCAATTGTAATAATTTCGTGAGAATGCGGTTTCCATGTTCTGCTTCGGGTTCAAGATCAGGGGGCGGATTACGAACCGAAACCGACATGGATTTCGAACGCACTCCATGCGAATGCATCAGAATGCGTTCGAAATCCGTGGCGGTTTCGGTTCGAATCGAGAGTTCGTAATCCGCCTCCATCTTGGAGCAGGTACGGTACATGAATGTCTTTTTCTTACACTAATCGGCAGTTGGCAATTCTGCCTCGTCGGCGTGCTTTATCTCCCGTCAGTAAACATTGTCAATTGTGTCTGTCAATTTTGCGTCTTGAGAGGTAGTGGATTTTGCAAATTTCTATTTGTGAAAAACTAATAAGATGGCCCTTTCAAGCGCAATTTACAATACTCTTTTCAAGAGAACATCAACCTTCGCCCTGATTATTGTTGGATCAGCGTTTTTCTTTGAAAGGGGCTTTGATTTGGGATGCGACACATTTTTTGATAGCTACAACAAAGGGGTATGAATATTATATAACATCCTCTACCAAGTTAAAAATTTCCCAGTAAAAACCCTCGCATTAATATATATATTTTTTCAGAAACAATGGAAAGACATCAAGGGCAACTACTCCCAGTGAATATTCCATCAATAGATCAAAATTTGTAGTATTTATGGTTAATAATTATGATTTGTAAATAAAACTCTTCAAAATGTTAAATATTTTATTTTAAATACACTATTCTACAACTTCCCAAGGTTTCTCTGGTCTTTCGTAGTGCCAAGGATATATGGCCTTAAATTGAGTTGGTTCTTTGAGTTGCACTCCACTGTCTTCAAGTGCTTTTAAAAACAAGGCTACCTTTGAGTCTTCTTTTGGTTCTAGATCACAGCTGATTTCTGTGAGACCAGTTTGGAGACATCTAAAGCCCAAGATCTACAAAGAATTATTGATTGAATCTTGTTGCATTAATGTGAAGAACTTACTCTGCCTAAATTAATAAATGCTGATGTATCTTTGCCTCTGTACAAATATTTTTTGATGCACCACTCTGAGGTACTTGCTCGTAATACTTCTCCATTTTCAAAGTGGGTTATTGTGGCAGTAACATACTTTCCTGAGAGTGTTACATTCAACCTGAAACACTTAGTAGATTTAACAGGAAAATAAGGAAACTTGAAATTACTTGTGCCAATAGTTTTTTCCAGGCTTTTCTACATGATAACCATCGGGTTTGTAAGCTATTCGCATCCTTTCTAGATTTCTTGGATTTCGGTTTACAAAGGGGGCCAAGTTCTGGTTTTTAACTAGGGCATTGCTGCTATTTCTTATTTGTACAGGCGGTGTAAATAGTTTGGTGCAATTACGTACAACCTGCATATCAATTGATAAATTTATTATATTTTTATTGTTAAAAGTAAATATAATTATACAAAATGAAAATTTGAAAATTATTTTTTTTCATAATTTATGGCATGGGTCATGACAAATGACAAGTGACAGATGGGACACCGGCCAGAAGAGCTCCGGGGCGTCCACGCTTAATCCTTTCGGAAAGTGTTTGTTGCACCTCAAGTGCTCAAGCCCGAACTAAACTGTTTAAATGCAGTCGCTGGAGCGAGTAGCTCTAAGGTGAGTTCGGAATGGTAGAAAGTGTCGACACTTTTTACACTATTGAAACTGTGGCGTTAGTTAATTGGTAGCAGTAAGCTTGGTGTACACTTTATTTGCGTTTGGAAATAATTTGGTGCTCGAATAGTGAGACACCATTTACTCGGTCCAAAATGATGGTGTATTCGGTGTTACACCGCCTATTATACCTTCCTCACGTGATATAACACTGCACTACATTAACACCGCACTCGCACTGCACTAAAATCCCAGTTCAAACTCAACAAGCCTGTCAAAATTTCAAAGCAAATCGACGAAAATTCTTCGTTCTAAACTAATACAATTAATGACGTCACGCTTCTTCTTATTTCCTATGGCCGATTTTTTCAGGGTAATGTAGCTAACTTCACCTATATTTTGGTTTTAAAACCTTTTGTTGACTATTGACATTGACCTCAACTCAACCTTTGGACTTTTTTCCTTGTCCAATGGAATGGAGAGATTGTAAAAATATTCATTGTTCTTAATTACATACGAACAATTCGAATGGGTACCAAGTTCGTTTCAATCAGTTAGTAAGTTATTTTTGTTTGCTGTGCCAGTATGTCTTTGATAACCAGAACCCTACAAAAAGGTAAAATGTTTTAGATTCCCTTGAACTATTTTTTTTTTCCTATAGAACTATAGTTTTCCAAAAAATTGTACACATTGCAATACTGTACACATAAGTATATAGATTTTTTTCAGCATGTCTCCTAAAACAGAGAGGCATAGCCTCCCTGGCGGCCCTTCCAGAAACCCATCAAATGCTCCAGAAAACATGCAGAGACTTTGCCGATGCCGAACTGAAACCTGTGGCAGCCAAACACGATAGAGAGCATTTATATCCGGCAGAGCAAATTTTAAAAATGGGAGAATTAGGACTGATGGGATTGATGGTACCAGAAGAATTAGGCGGCACCGGTCTGGATTATGTGGCATATGCTATTGCTATGGAAGAAATTTCTAGAGGGTAATCGATTACATCAATCATTTATAAATTATGCAAAGGCTTTTGAACTATGTAGAAACAATTGGAATTTGTTTATGCAGATTTGAATATTGTATCTATTAGGTGCATGTATAGTAGGTACTTGGCAAATAATTGTCCTAATACTATGTAATTGGAACTAATTTATTTATTTGAACGGAGCAGTAGACTCTGCAACCCTGCCACATTTATTATCTGAAGCTGTAGCTATGGGAAATTTATGCTAGTTATTGTGTTTTCATCAAAAAATTTGTATGTATAGTAAATATCCCAAAAAGACAGTTAAAAACAAATAAAATTCTTTCTCACAAATTGATGTTGGTATTGCTCTTAGGTATTTGAATACAGTGGTTCACATAAGAATAATAATGTTATAAACAATTAGTTTTGACTGATAAGACAAACTTGCTAATATTCTACTATAATAGTATATTTTTTGCCAAGTTTTTTGCTATTTTTTTTCAATGTAAGCCAAAAATGTGTCATTGGCAAAAATATTTATAAACTCACAGTTCAGTTCACAAACACAATGATGTATAGTATAAAGAGGAGAGGTCCAAACACACTCCCCTGCGGTACACCAAATCTTACTTTTTGTTTTCTATTACCTAAATAGTCTGCAAACCATTCTACAACACTACCAGCAATAGGTACCACAATTTTTTAAATTTTGACAACAAAATCCCCTATCTATCGTTTCAAAGGCCCTCTGTAGATGCAAGAATACACCCATTACTATCAACATCGTTTTTGATTTTACATAATGCCAACTGAAGAGCGGATTCGCACAAGTGCCCGCGTTGGAATCCAGACTGGTTAGTTATCAAGATTCCATTATTTGTAATATGTTCCAAAACTTGATCATGCACTGCTATGTCCAGAACTTTTTCTATAGGTGCCTATGTGTTTATTGGAAGAAATTCACTGACGTCCATAATATTATTGACCTTCTGTATTGGAATAATAGTACCACACTTTAATTTATCAGGAACTTTACCAGTTCTAAGTGATTTGTTTAGAATAAAATGACTAATGGTTTCAAATATGGACCTAAGAGGTCTATAAACCTAGCAGTCCCAAGGTGGAAAAAAACTTTGGGAACTATATAATAATTAGGTGCTAATTAGGGCCTCTAATTCAAAATAAGGTGCTCCTTTAGTTTTTGGGAAAGTCAAAAAAAAAAAACGGGACTGCTAGGTTTATAAAAGCTAGCAGTCCCCTATAGTAAAAAATATTTTTTCAAATTTTTTCTTTGTATCAGAATTAGGTGCTCCTAAATAGTCCAAGAAAAAATTGAATTGATTAATTATTAACTGAGTTACAGATTTTTTTTAATTATTAGGGGACTGCAGGCTTTAAGTTTACATGTTGGTGTGTCAGAATGGAAAACATCGGGATCTGTATAATAATTGGGTGCTTTTTAGGTGCTAATTAGGGCCTCTAATTAAAAATTAGGTGCTGCTCTAGTTTTCGAGAAAATCAAAAAAAAACTAAGGGATTGCTAGGTTTATGAAAGCTAGTAGTCCCCTATAGTGGAAAATATTTTTCCAAAATTCTCTTTTGTATCAGAATTAGGTGCTTTTCAGGTGCTCCTAAATAGTCGAAGAAAAAATAGAATTGATTAATTATCGAGTTAATTATTAACTGAGTTACAGATTTTTTTTTTAATTATAAGGGGACTGCTGGCTTTACATTTACTTGTTGGTGTGTCAGAGTAGCAAAAAAACTTCGGGATCTATACAGTGTCCGTAAAGTAACGGATAAATTCATTATTTTGAAAACAGTAGAATTTTTGAAAAATCGCTCAGACACGTCAATTTTGTTTGGAATTTTTTAATATATTTTTTATTATACAGGGTGTCTCAAAAATAGCTCCGCTGTTGTCAAGTTTGTTTTTTCAAATGGATCACCCTGTATATTATGACATTTATGGATTCTGCGGAAAATGTTTGACATATTTCATGTACAATATCATATACCTATCTTCAACTGTTTCGGAAATATTGACAGTTGAAAATTGATTTTTTTTGCAACTTTGACAGGCTGTAAAACCTGAACGGTTAATATTAGAGGAAAACCAATTTTACATTCCTATCTTAGATTTTCATAAACTATCATTTGACATCAACTTTGAATTTACCCAGAGATTAGATTTAACCGGAATTTTTAATCACGGATTAACTTCCAAGTTGGTGTCAAATGATAGTTTATGAAAATCTAAGATAGGAATGTAAAATCGGTTTTCCTCTAAAATTAACCGTTCAGGTTTTACAGCTTGTCAAAGTTGCAAAAAAATCAATTTTCAACTGTCAATATTTCCAAAACAGTTGAAGATAGGTATATGATATTGTACATGAAATATGTCAAAAATTTCCCGCAGAATCCATAAATGTCATAATATACAGGTTGATTCATTTGAAAAAACAAAGTTGATAGCAGCGGAGCTATTTTTGAGAGATAATGAAAAATATATCAAAAAATTTCAAACAAAAAAACAAAATTGACGTGTGTCTGAGCGATTTTTCAAAAATTCTATCGTTTTCAAAATAATTAATTTATCCGTTACTTTACGGACACAGTGTATAATAATTAGGTGCATTTTAGGTGCTAATTAGGGCCTCTAATTGAAAATTAGGTGCTCCTCTAAATTTCGGGAAAATCAAAAAAAAATTCTTCGAAACTCCCAATAATGATTTCTCCGCCTACTAGAACCATCGATAGTGATAAATAACATGGATGACTCTACACTTTATTTTTTCCCAAGATAGATTTTGACATTGAAAACTTTGAAACATCAACAATAACGCTTGATCCTGATTGGTCGCAAAATGAGGTGTTTCTGCAGGTTGACATAAGTTTTACAATAGCGACCAATAAGCGGCATTAGCGGCATTGTTTATGTTTCAAAGTTGACAATGCCAAAATCTATCTTGGAAAAAAATAAACCATACACAACCATAACGGCATTAGTGCAACAAGACAAGATCTCGTCACGTGAATTAAGACGTTTTTAGCGGTGTGAAAGGAGATTAGTCACAAGGCCCTGCCTGGTTTGCTTTCGGTCCCTTTTTTCCATACTTTATCTCACTCTTTCCAAAGGCTTTTTTAGGTGCTCCTCTCAAAAACTAGAGGAGTACCTAATTTTTAATTAGAAGCCCTAATTAGCACCTAGTTATTACAATGATCCCGAAGTTATTCTGACACAACAAACATGTAAACGTAAAGCCAGCAGTCCCCTAATAATTAGAAAAAAAAATCTGTAACTCAGTTAATAATTAATCAATTCTATTTTTTCTTCGACTATTTAGGAGCACCTAAAAAGCACCTAATTCTGATACAAAAGAAAATTTTGGAAAAATATTTTTTACTACAGGGGACTACTAGCTTTCATAAACCTAGCAATTCCTTAGTTTTTTTTTGATTTTCTCAAAAACTAGAGGAGCACCTAATTTTTAATTACAGGCCCTAATTAGCACCTAACTATTATATGGTTCCCGAAGTTTTTTTCTACCTTGGGACTGCTAGGTTTATAGACCTGGACCTAATAATCTTAGCATTCAACAATTAATGAATAGAACAGTCATCAAGCCTATTTTTCAAGCATCAGAGATATTCAACACTTCAACCTAGAAATCTTCAAACAAATTTGCATCATTTCTGACCATTTTCCATGCTTTCGCTAATTCTTTCTGTACTGCCAACAAAATAAAAGTTAAAATTTGCTGTAATCTCCGAACAATCTCTGAGAGTTTTCTGTTAATCATCAATATCAAAGGAGATACAATTTGGACCTAAGAACTACCTGTGCCAATCACACTGTTCAGTGTCTTCCACATTTCTTTGGGGTTATCCTTGAACATATCTATTTTCCCATAGTAATACCTTTCTTTCTTTAACCGAAGAAAATTAACCACATTGTTCTCGTGACACTTAAACTTTTGTTACTTATGTTGCTTTTCGTTATCATTTCCATTTCTAAAAATTTTATAAGCCTTGTCACAATTTTTAAATCCATCAAAAACTTCATTATCAAAGCAAGGTGAGTTAGATTTATACTTGCAAGTCTGTACAGGAGCAACATTGTTAACCACCTTACCACAATTTTCCAACAATTCATCAAAAACACTTTCAACATGAACGGAGTTCAAACTCCATTCACACAACAATAAATTCAACTTTAAATTATCCATGTTTTTTTCACTAGTAGTACTAGTACATATTTCTATACTTCTTCACCTTATCATTTACGCATAATTCATTGCAGAAATTAAAACTAATAACAGTGAGCAAGCAGCAATCCTTGGAGCATCGTTTACCTTTCACCCCAAGCCGTTTTGATTTGTGAGCACAAAATCAACCAAGGTCTCACTAACATCGGTAACTCATGTCAGTACAGTGACCAATTGATCTATGATCTATTCCATGAGCTGTAATTTGGTGCTTGAATTTACATTATAATCGTCAATGAGCACGCGTCTCTGCTATGTTTGGTAAATACCGTATCACATATTTCTTCAAATTCTTCAAGAAAACTTGCAGTCGAACTTGATGGAGAATGGTAGATGCAGCTATTAACTCAAGTGTGAGACACTAGATGCACCCTAAAAAATTTACACCAAAAGTTATCAACAAGTTAAAATTTCTTAACATTTGAAAATCTGTAGGCAATTATTGTTGATATAAATTTCATGAAAATTAGTTTCGCAATAAATTAAAATCCCACCAGTATGTCTACTATTAGAGTCACATCTACAACATACAGGGTGTCCCACGGTGGATGGCGTATTAGACGTTTATAGAGAACTAAAAAGCGGATCATTTTGAAAATTTGGCAACCGGGATAAACGACCATAATCTAATCTAATCTAAACCAGTGGCAACATCGCTATTTTAAATGAAACACCCTGTATGTGATTGCATATTTGGATTCTACGTAAAATTCTGAGCAGATTTTATGTGATATACCCTATACCTAAGTTCAACTGTTTTGGAAATATTGACAGTTGAAAATTGACTTTTTGCAACTTTGACAGGCTGTAAAACCTAAACGGTTAATTTCAGAGGAAAACCGATCTCACATTCCTATCTTAGATTTTCATAAACTATCATTTGACACCAACTTTGAATTTAACCGGAGATTAAATTTAATTGGAATTTTTAATCATGGATTAAATTCAAAATTGGTGTCAAATGATAGTTTATAAAAATCTAAGATAGGAATGTAAAATCGGTTTTTCTCTAAAATTAACCGTTCAGGTTTTACAGACTGTCAAAGTTGCAAAAAGTCAATTTTCAACTGTCAATATTTCCAAAACAGTTGATCACGGTCATTTATTCCGATTGCCAAATTTTCAAAATGATTCGCTTTTTAGTTCTCCATAAACGTCTAATACGCCATCCACCGTGGGACACCCTGTATATAATTCACAATCTTCAACGTCTTTGGTTCTGCGTGTTTCACTCAGTAGAATGATTTTGGTATTATAAGAAGCAATGATCTGCCTTATTAGTATATGTTATTTGATCTATTTGATCTTAAGATATAGAGTGTATACAATAATTGTATGATACTTATAGGCACTTCCAGTACATGGCGGTCCCACTTTAGGTGCTTGTAAATTATTATACCCAAATATTTAGTCTGAGAAAGCTCCATAATAATCTTATTCCAACTCTATATGGACACTATCAAAATGAGGGCGGTATGCCACATGGTTATTGAAAAATTGAAAAGGCTATCTTTTTTTTAAATTTAAAGTGAATTTAAAATTATTCAGTTCAGTTCTGAACATTATTCAGTCCATTATTTACACTGTTTTACTCCATCCTATGATTTTGCAAAGAATATTATAGCTGTAGGTATCGTCTGTATAGGAAATTATTGTACATACCATCTTTAAGTTTTAGTTTAGTTATTGTATTGATGTATATTTAAAATACACTGTTTCCTGTAGCACCCCTATTGCAATGTTTATTGAATCAGTTGCGGTATCCACTATTTTCACATTATTCCCTTCGAGAACTTCCAAAAGTATGAGGCATCTTATCAAAGGCCTTCACCAAAAATACAGCTATACATTTTTCATTCCTGTCAATTTTATCCGTTATGTGCTCTGTTACGATAGTAGAGAGCATCTGAGGAGCCTAAACCACTCAGAAATCCATATTGATTTGTGAATAAAATTGAGTTTGAACATAGAAAATTAAGTATTCTATCCTTAATGCATTTTTTGGAAATTTTAGAGAAATTATTTATTAAATTTATTGGTCGATCATTATTAATAACCTTTGTCTTATCACCTGCTTTATATTATGGTGTAAGCATACATATTGTGAATTGCTCAGGAAAAGTGCTGTTTTCTTTATATTCGCAAGAGCACCCAAACTGTTATTCAGTATAGGTGGAAAAGTGTTGTTTGTTTTGCAGATCCCGCTGGGATAGTGTGACAAGTAGAGTTCATCCGGTCAAAACGCATCCCTTCTTGCAGCGTTAAAAACGCATAGTGTGAAACCGCACTTATAGGCCTTAAAGTGAACAAAAACTGGTTGATTTTTTTGTAAATACACCTAATATTTAAATGTATTACATTTAAAAATGTATTGTCCTAATTTATTTTAATCGTTAAGTATTTCATTTCCCGATATTTTCTCTTTTCTTTAACCATATCAATCTCCAATGACTACAGATTTTTATGAATCCATAATTCCGGTAGGTTTTTTGCCATTTCTACTATAGTTTATACGAAGTCAATCCGAACAGCATAAAAAATTTGACCAACTAGAAGAGGCCATCTAGGAATCTGAAGTTGGGTTTGGGCAAGAAAATATTCATACGGGGTTTAGTCATCATAAAATTAAATAATTTTTATCGGGATATATTGGTAAATAAGGCAGTCCCTAGCAGTTTGGATTGACTTCATATAAACTTTACCCGAAACTTTACCATTATCCATTTAATCTATCTTGGATCGAAGGATATTTAAATCTTATATTTCAAATGATACTTTTCATTCGCTGTCTGACAGTTATTACATATTGTGTTCAATTTCGGAAAGTCTTTAATATGAGGTTCCCCTGCACAAACTTTGCACAGTGTTGCAATATTGTTGACAATAATTGAAGCACTTAGGTATACCCAAATCCTCAACGACGCTGTATCGTTGCCAATCTATAAATATTTTCTTTGCTTTCATTAGTTTTTGAAACACATCTATCTGGTTTGTTTTTTTTAGGTGTGCTAGTGCAGGAGTAATAATGTCAGTCAATAACTCTTTATATTTAGGCCCAATAATGAAATGGGGCACTCAAGAGCAAAAGGAAAAATGGGTCAGACCTTTTACAGCAGGAAAAAAGGTCCTTAATTCACCAACACATTCATTATTATAGTTACCTATATAAATTTAATTTTTTTGTATAGATTGGATGTTTTGCTTTATCGGAACCAGGCAATGGTTCAGACGCAGGAGCCGCCTCGACAACAGCGACACTTGAAGACAATAATTTCGTTATAAATGGTACAAAACAATGGATTACTAACGGGTTTGAGAGTGAGGCGGGAATCGTATTTGCCACAACAAATAAGGCCCTGAAGCACAAAGGCATATCGGCAATCATCATACCAAAACCTGTAGATGGATTAGATCTGGGCAAAAACGAAGACAAATTGGGCATAAGGGCATCCTCCACTCGGGCTCTGATGTTTGACAATTGCAAAGTTCCCAAAGAGAATATTTTGGGGGAGCCTGGCCTTGGATTCAAAATAGCCATGATGAGCTTGGATTCTGGTAGAATAGGTATCGCTGGGCAAGCTTTAGGTATTGCTCAGGCTTCTTTGGAAGTGGCTTTGGATTATTCTTCGAAAAGACTGAGCTTCGGAAATCAACTTTATAAGGTAATATTTGGTCAAATATCACTCAGTACAATCTGAATATTCCTGATAGAGGTAATGAGATCGCATTATAAAGTTTCGTTACAATTTATTTGTGGCCATCCATTTTTATAATAAGGAAGATTGGCTGTAATTAGTGAATTCCCTTTTCTTGAAAAAAAGTATTTTGTCCACAGTCAACTTTTGCGCCCTCTAGCTATGTCTTGTCTGGAACTTTTCCAGCCACTTCACCCTTTCAGTAGACTAATTTTGCTAGAATTTTGGGGTAAATTAGGTAGATCGAGTTCCAATAGATTTGATATATTTCAGTGATATACATGTACTTTCAAAAAAAAAATTTAGGTAGGTTTAATTTTGATTCGGGTTCATACCAATCACCTGTGGTTGTTATTTCAATGGTGTTTTTTAGGTTGGTATGGTTTGCGTTGCACTGACAAAAACTAATAAGTTCAATACCGGTCTGTAGCTAACCAAATATCCCATTTTCTCTTCATTGTCTTACAATTTACAATGTTATTTAATATGGTATTCAAGTAGACTTTAAATTATCAATTTAATATTCAAATTACCTTATCTAAATTATACTTAGTTACAAAGTAATTATTAAATTTCAGCATCAAATAATCCAAAGTAAACTAGCCACAATGGCTACCAGACTGGATGCCGCAAGATTACTGACATGGAGAGCTGCCTGGCTAAAAGACAACCACCAACCTTTCACAAAAGAGGCAGCAATGGCTAAATTGGCTGCAAGTGAAGCTGCCACGTACTTGAGCCATCAGTGTATACAGATTTTGGGTGGAATGGGGTAAGTTTTTCTGTATTACTTATTTATTAAAGATTCACAAATGTTTTCTTTAGATATGTGAGTGATATGCCTGCTGAAAGGCACTATAGGGATGCGAGAATAACTGAAATTTACGAAGGCACTTCCGAAATTCAAAAGTTGGTTATTGCTGGAAATTTGATTAAGGAATATGGTCTTTGAGTACTCGAGTAGATTTTAAGCAAATAAATTTATTATGTTAAGTACAAAAAAAACAAACTATTACATTAGTTTATTGTCAGATTAACAACCCAAATGTGCCTCATAATTTTTAAATTGTTGTCATTTATTTTATTTATTAAGTTCCTAAAGTAATACACATTATATATTTATGTATTTTTTGTATACCTAAATTCTAAATAAATCTTTCCGAATATACTCTGTCTCTATAGTTTGCTAGCTTCAGGTCTGCAGTTAATTGAATCAATGCCTTTATGATAATCATCGCTTACGAATAATATTCAAAACCTAGTAATCGCAGGAGTGATTTTTTGTTCAGTTCCACCCATTTGCTTTTCCCCCATCAAGGTTGCTTTTAAATTGTTTTCCTTAGTTTTCTACATATAATTTTTTCAATTTCACCTAATGAGTACCTGTTTCCTGCTGATTCATAAGATATGACCGTCCAAATAAGAATTAGTCCAATTAGTCTTTGAATTATAATTTTTATTAAACAAATGTACAACATTCTGGTTGATGTCCAACAGAAGAAAAAGCAAAATATTCAAATAACTTAGGTATCTAAATTTTTTAGCATCAAACAAAAACTTAATTATCATTAGAAGACACCAAAAGAAAAGTGACCTCATCCATTGGAACAATGATTGTTCTGGGTATCACAGATCCACTAGAGGTTTAAGGATACAAAAAACTTGAAAAAATTCTAAGAAATGCATTTACTTAATGATAAAAAAAAAATAAAAAAAAAAGTGGACCAATAACCAGAAAATCTTATTTTACTATAGCGAAATATATATCTTAGCATTTGAATATCGATATTAAAATACCAAGCATTAAAAATTGAACATTTAAGTCAAGAACACATTTGCATATTACAAAACTTTCACCAATAAAGCCATATTTAAAATAGGTACTACAAACTGAAAAAGTCATTACATTAATGACAAAAAGAGAAAAAGTATTGTCAGTTTGTCTTTCTACAATGAATAAAATTTTCTACTTTTAAGTCCACAATTAATTTTTAATTAATTTATTTATTTAGTAAAAGTTTTTTAAGGCGAGTTCATAGTTGATAGTTCAAAAGACAAATTTGATTCTAATCAGCTGGTCTCTTTTCGCTATGCTTTTTCGTATATTCCTCAGCATTTTTAGTAAATTTTTTCTTGTCCTTCAAGTATTCTTCGGCTAAGTCTGCCCTAAGAGGATGCTCGGGTTCCGGATCGTTTACTAAAGCGACAAGGGCTTGAATCACTTGGTCCGTTTTGGTGGCCGGTTTCCAATTTTCCGCGCTAATTATTGGTAAGCACACTTGGCCCTTTTCATCAATATTGGGATGGTATATTTTAGTTTTAAAACTGATTTTTGGCGGTTTGAATGGATATTCTGCAGGGAAATTGATTTCTATTTTAAATGCTCCTCTATTATATGGGGGACTATCCTGAAAGAAAAAAAAATTGCATAGAATTATTTGGTTACAGAAAGATTGTGTTGTTGAACTTGAAAATTACAAACACGAACTTGAAGATTGTAAGACATTTTGGAATGGAATAACTAACACAATTAAAATAGAAAAACATTAAGAGTTCTTCAAATTGAGTACCTCCCAAGTATCTCTCTACACATGCACATTTTATTTCATATAGTAAATGTAGACCTTTCTCTCAAAAATGTTTGGCTACACCAACAAAAAGTGCCATTACAAAGTGTTTTGTCTACGATTATGATTACGATATACAACAGTAAGCGGTTATGACCGATGAAACTGTTGATTATTTGATGGTTACATTTCACAATAGTTTTCATTCTATATTTCCACTAATAACTTATAACTGGCCGAAATGCGAAACAATGTTTTCTAGTATTTCATGTTGAGTGTCAAGTCTATTTTTGAAAGAATTGATACTTGGAGCACAAACTGTATCCTCAGATAGCGCATTCCAATGATAAACGATTCTATTACTTAAAAAGTTTTTTCTGGGAAGTTTGGCATTTCTTTTCTTCTCCAATTTCTTGCTATGACCTCTTAGCTGTGTATTTGTATTTGCATGAAATATATTAAGGTTTGTTTGGTAATATGGCAGCAATATCTTATATATCTGTATAAGGTGTCCTCTCAAATATCTTTCCCTTAGTATTGTTAGACTTAGTCTCCTCAGTCTTTCAGGGTATTTCAAGTTTGCCAATTCTACTGGGATTTTTGTGACCCGCCTCTGAACTCTTTCTAAAAACTTTATATCTTTTGCAAAATATGGATTCCATATCGTCCCTCCATACTCAAGTTTTGGTCTAATATATTATGTTTTATGCAATTGAATTATTGTTTCTATTGATCTATCTGAGAAGGCTTTTTGAATGCAGTAAATGAGAGCGTTTGACTTTTTTACAACTTTGCTGACATGCGACTCCCATTTTAAATCGAAGGTTATAATAATGCCAAGATCACTTTGTTGGTCAACATGAGTTAAAGATGTGTTGTTTAGTTGGTAGTTGTGGACGGTTCTATTCGTTCCTATGCTAAGTACTGTACATTTCTCCTCGTTGAATTTCATGCCCCACATTTTGTTCCATTTTTCTATTTTTTCGAGGTCTTCTTGGAGCTGTCTATGGTTGTTCGAATTTGAGAATAATTTGGCGTCATCAGCAAAAAATATAATAATAGTTTGTATTTGCATAGATAAATCGCTAATGTACCATAAAAAGAATATAGGACCAAGCACCGTTCCTTGAGCAATATCGCTGAGACATGTATGTATGGTTGATAGCTTGCCATTTATCCTGACTTGAAAAGTTCTTTTTCTATTTTGGTGTCATATCGAAGTCTTTTCGACACTAAAAGTAGTTTCGAAAAGAAGCTCTTTGTGACACTCCTTTTTTACTTATTGGAGGTTGGTGACACTGGCTGACTGATGGCCATCGAACTGTCATTCGCGATTTTATAATAGAAGATTTCTATATTTGGCATGTAATGTTACCAACCTAAATATATGAAATCGAAATATGAGAATAAAATTTCTAAAAAAAATTTGTTTTTTTTAATTAAACAATACCAAAATAGAAAAAATAGTATAAAATATTCGTTTCATAAGACATTTTATCGCACTCGCCCTTTAGAAAACTCGCCTCCGGCTCGTTTTCTAATATAGGGCTCGTGCGATAAAATGACGTCTTATGAAACTTGTATTTTAATGTACTATTTTGTCAAGAAGATTGATAGGCATCGGAAGAGCTCGCCATCAATACCATAATGATCCATTTTGTGTGGCATTTTTTTAAAGGGTACTTTATCAAACGCTTTTTCAAAATCCAAATAGATGACATCAACCTGTTCACTTCTGTCAAAACTTTGAGTCCACAAGTTGATGCATGTTGTTAAGTTAGTCGTGGTTGATCTTTTTGGTAAAAATCCATGCTGATGTTCTGTTATAGCGTTGTTTTCAAGAAGAAACGGAGTTAGTTCTTTGGCAATTACTTTCTCGAAGCATTTACTTATGTTGGATGTTAGGCTTATCGGTCTGTAGTTTGAGGGTAACTGCTTATCGCCCTTTTTATATAATGGGGTTACGATTGCATGCGTCCATATATGCGGTAATCTTCCATTCATCAATATTTCATTCATTGCTTCTGCCAATGGTTTACTGATATAGTTAATACATTTTTGAAGAAATATTACAGGTATGTCATCGGGACCAGGGCTGGTGTCAGTTTTTTAGGCTTCTTATGGCTACAGAAACATTTTCTTTAGTAAAGAGAATTGTTCTTAATCTGTTACGATTTTTTATACTGTCTGAAAGTGAGGGAAGCTCATCATCTTCGTGCTGAGAGTAAACTTTTGTGAATTGTTCTGCAAAATTTTCAGCTATTTCAGAGTCATCAGTTATTAGGATATCCGAGTTTTTTAAGTTAATTTTGGAAACATTTGAATTGAGATTACGTTTGACATATTTAAATACTGCTTATTGTTAGGGGAGGAGGCAAGCTTTTTCTCAAATTCGCTCCTAGAGACTCTTATTTTGTTCTTAAGTTGATTATTGTGGATCCTGTAGATCCTATATTTTTCCTCTGAGGGTGATTTTGAATAGCTATCCCATAGATTTCTCTTTTTGTCTCTCCTAGTTTTGGATCTTTGAATTTTGGTTATATTAGCTGTTTTGTTTGGGATTTCTTGGAGTGGGAAGGTTATGTAAATGTTTACAGTTTAAATTTTCACAAACGATGTTTTTATTTCGTTACAAAATACACCTTGAACAACCAAACACACTGATTAAATTCTAAAAATCAAGTTTGGTTTTCAAATATCAAAGCTCACTAGCTTTTTTGCCGGATGGCGAGAAAACAAGTACAGGGTTATTGGTTATAAATGTCACCCACCTCTATTTTTTTTATTTGACATTTTAGAAAAAAATGTCCCAAATAAAAATTTTATGATTGAAATTAAATTTTTTGAAAAACTAACTTTTGCCTATACAGAGTGTTTCAAAAAAGCTGGTCGTGCTCCAACTTTATTATTTTAAATTGAATACCCTGAATATTCAACTGTTTTGGAAATATTGACAGTTGAAAATTAACTTTTTTGTAAATTTGACAGGCTATAAAACCTAAACGGTTAACTTTTGAGCAAAACCGATCTTACATTATTTTCTTAAATTTTCACAAGTTATCATTTGACACCAACTTTGAATTTAACCGAAGATTAAATTTAATTGGAATTTTCAGTCATGGATTAAATTCAAAGTTGATGTCAAATATTGGGGTCAACTCATAGTTTTTGAAATCCAAGATAAAAATGTAAAATCGGTTTTGCTCTAAAATTAACCGTTTAGGCTTTACAGCCTGTCAAAGTTGCAAAAAAGTCAATGTCCAACTGTCAATATTTTCAAAACAGTTGAACTTAGGTATAGGATATATCACATGAAATCTGCTCAGAATTTTATGTAGAATCCAAATATCCAATAATACACAGGGTATTCCATTTAAAATAAGAAATTTGGAGTATGACCAGCTTTTCTGAAACACCCTGTAGGTATATGCAAAAGTGAATTTTTCAATTTTTTTTATTTCAACCATAAAACTTTTATTTCGGACACTTTTTTCTAAAATGTCAAATAAAAAAGATAGAGGGGTGAAATTTAAAACCAATAACCCTGTACATTCACTCTGGAGGAAGTTACATTTTTAATTTCACAATAACACAAGTGAATAGATGAATTTGTGGACTGTATTCCCAAAACAACAAAAGGGTTGGCACGAACCAAGCAAGTTTCAATGTTCAAAACTGTTCAACTCAAATTCACGCTGGTGGTCCTACCTGCCATTAGCCAGGATGGAATGCACCCCGCAGAGCGGGGAGATATAACTGGTACCTACTGGGTGGCACGATAAAGCTAAAACTTGAATATTTTCAGCAAAATAAATAAAACTGGAATGCCTATTATTGTGAAGCCAACACAAAGTATACATCAGTACAACTACATGAAAAAAAAAAATCAGTGCGAAGCTGCATAAAGCAGAGATTATAGTGAGAAGAGAAGAAATACACTTATAATGAGCTCAAAGATACATTAGTTTCTCATGATGAACATATCCAATATCCCGTATAAGAGATAAAAATAAAAAAGATATTTTGTAAAACAAATCAACTGCTGTTACTGCCTACAAGAATTTTCTGAAATACAATAGACTAGAATAATTGGTATCCCAAAACTGCTTTCGATTTTTCTGTTCCAGACTCAAGTGAATACTTTCAAGATATAGTTTCGATATTTTCAACCCATTATTGATTTAGATATTATTACTATGAGTAGGTAAAACAAACAAGGTCATAATTGAATAAAATTACTCATAAGTACATAGATAAAAATAATAACAACTTACGGGAACAATTAGACCTTGCCAAGTTAAAATATTGGTTTCGTCCACTTGTATGTCTCGGAATGATTTCAAGCCTGAGTTTCTGATATCGCCCAATTCCTGCAAATGAACAAAAATTATAAGATTTCTTTGTGAAACTTTTGTGTCTTCATTTTTCACGACTCGAATGAAAACTAAAGATTTTTCTATTCTTAGATACCTTGAATAACCGATGAACACATGGTTTATACAAAAATAACTCTGTTCTGAGTTTTGCAGGCAAAAAAAGAATCAACTTTTATGTCAAATCCTTGAAAAATAATCCTTCGAAAGTTATACTCACTTTTTGCAACCTCCTTGTGGCTGCCATTTTGTTAGATTTTTTCAGAAATTATCAACCAAAACCAACTTATGTCTACAATAACCAAGCACTTAACAATAATTTCAATAATTATTGAACGGTATTTCAATACTAATTACTGTGAATTTAATTATAAATTTTCATCATTTTCTGAAAATGCAAATTCTTCTGTATGACAGCACCTTGACATATTTGACAATTCATTGATTGATTTGTTTTGAGTTTGATGTTCAAAATTGACAGTGACAGTAGGCTAATAGGCCGGGGATTCTAAAATCACGATTCGACATACGAGTCGACAACGAGACGATTTTTCCGACGATTCTAGGTTAGAAATCTCATTGGAATTATATCTTTCGACACGACAAGGCTGGTATCGTTGTCGAGTCGTATGTCGAATCGTGATTTTAGAATCTCGGCCTAGTTGTATTCCAAGATTGTATTCCTTTCAAGAGTTTGAATCACTCGAGCTACTCGCTCCGGTGTTTAGTCGCCCCCGATTTGCAGGGAACAGATGCGTGGTGCAACAAACACTTTTCGAAATGAATAAGCGCGTGAAGCCCCGGAGCTGTTCCGGAGGTTCTCCTAGGTGTGAAAGAAATACAACTAATCTGTGCAATAGGCGTATTCGAGCTGTTCAACTGTTCAATTCGATTGACTAGATCGATCTGGATCAATTTAAAAGTGAACCAGACCGTGTTCGATTGTAGTTGGATCAGTTTTCCTCCACCAACAAAAAAATGATCCAGATCCACTCTATACCTTTACAACTTCAAATTGAGACTTATCACAATCAAATTGAGATTAACAAAATCAAATTGAGACTTAAAACAATCAAATTGAGAACAATCAATTCCAAATTGGTACAACATCCGTTTCCATGTAATTGAACGTTGTACCAATTTGAAATTGATTGTTCTCAATTTGATTTTGTTTAATCTCAATTTGAAAATGTTTGTTCTCAATTTGATTGTGATATGTCTCAATTTGAAGCTGTAAAGGTATAGATCACAAGAAGTGAACTAAAAATATTACCGATTCAGTTAGATCAAATATAAGAGAACAAAAACAAGTAAGTTTTCTACACCAGAACAACTGATAATTGACAGTTGACAGTTATCGAATTGAACCTACTTTTTCCCTTCGATCGATGGCCGGGGATTCATCACACGACTCGACAAAGAGACGATTTTTCAGAGGATCCTAAGTTGGAATCTCAATAGTCCTTTAACACTTGGCTCCGGTTTAAACTAACCGGGTTACAAAACGGTTAGTAACGGTATGTCAAATGATGACGACATTGAAAATATTTGCCACTTGAAAATGAACAATTAGAAAAATGTTATAAATTAGGCAATCCAAAGACCTGTCAAGTCTAATTCGATCTATAGCATACCTAAAGTCCGTCGACTTTAATCCGATACTCGAAATGAATGTGAGCTGGTGGCACCCTACATTAGAGCGCCAATGGTCACCTGACGTCACACCTCTGTTTTTGCCATATACTTCACCCCCTCGCTCCTCATACGGAAAGTGTCAGATAAAATTCGACGAACAATAGTAGCTGTTGATTTTTCAATATTTTTGCCAGTGCAGTTAATAGTAGGTCTGTTTCTGCAGAAATCACAAATCAGTCAAGTGAATTTCATTGGTTGAAAATAGCTTTCTGACTGTTTCCAACCGATGAAATTCGCGCTAACTGGTTTGTGATTTCTACAAACCTAGTGTTAATAAGTTGATGTACCCTCTAGTCAAGGATGATGCAAACTACTACTACTACAGGATGGCCTATCCTCATAAGGCCTGTTTGTAACAAATCCCCTCCTACCCTCGCCAAACAACCAGTTGTGACGTAGGCAGCATGGCGTTTCTCGCCTTGACGTAGGCTGTTTATTGTCTGGCCAGCCAAACGGCGCACTGCTAAGGAATTTGCTGCTTTGCCAAACTTGACGGAAACGATAATAATCAAGTTGGTGACATATTTTTTTTGCTATGTAGGCATGTGTGGCATTTTAAAAAAGAAAAAAAACCGGCAACATTGCGAAATGATGGATGTGGTGAGGCGTGATTATTCAGAGGCATGATTCTATTGGTTAGAGCCTGAACGACAGCACAGTGACGTGATTATTTGCGAAACTTAAAAAAAAAAATCTAATAATTTTATTGGTTCATTTCCTTGGTGTTTTCGGTGCCACTGAACTTAAAGACATGGCTGTCATCAAGCGATGTCAGTTGAGGTGTCAGTGAATATTCTTAGGTTACGCCCCACTTTTCTTCCCCCTTTCGTCTCTAACAACTTACCGCTTGCCAGACTATAAACAAACAGCTGACAACTTAGTTATGACGCAATGGTTCAAAATCAATATGCTAGCGATTACCAAAAACGAGACCGATAAGCAGTCCTTAGAGTGTGTATTCTCCTTGCCCTCTAGTAACTGCACCAAAATTTCACGTGTATCTTGAAACAAAATGTCCTTATTTTCATTTTAACTTCAATTGCTTCCATGTTCGTCAATAGATTAGGTAGGTAGAAATCATAGAGGTAGAAACTTAAAATAAAATTAACAAACGCACAACTTTCTACATCTGTCACAACTTTGCCGCTTTCAGTTGTTTACAATTCTATTTTTTTTCGTTCTACGTAACCATATCGCCGAGCTAGTTAGAGAAGTGACATACCGTTTCCTATCCCGGTTACAAAGTGACGTCATCGATACCACTCGAATTTGTACAGTATGTTGCGGTAAGTTAAACCGGAGCCACGTGAAAAAGCGTTCAAACTCATGACGTAACAAAATGAACTATTGATGAACTATATTCGTCGGGAAAATTCGGTTATAACGGCTGTTCATTTGTACTTGCTACATGCTCGAAAAATCAGGAAGATCTGCTAGGAGCTGCTATTTATGAGTTTATTATATGAGAGTTATGGGACAAGTGAACGCCGATCAGCTACTGAGATCTGCTTGAAGCAAGAAGAGCAGTACAAATGAACAGCCTTTCGAGAAGTCAGGGCCTGTATCGAGTTGCGTCTCGTTGTCGAGTCGTGTGTCGAATCATGATTTTAGAATCTCCCTGCTGTGAACTTACGAATCGAATACGACTCTAGCTGTTATTTCAGGATCATTCGAGCTGAATTCGGCTTGCAATCTCAGTGCACTCTAGTACTCCGTTGGCACTCCAACTCCGACCACTAGGATATATAAAGTATGTTTTTTTTTTTAAAGATAATTCCCCAAGTCAAAAATTTAGTAACTATGTTGGCAACACAAGCCTTAAGCCTTTTCTACATAAAAAATTTAAAAGCTTGACAATTTTACATTGTATTGCCAACAGAATGTCATTTTGACTTTTATCTTTAAAAAAAAAACAGATTTTATATCTTGGCGCCTAAATATTGGACCAATAGGAATACTTCCGAATCAACCGATTGACGGAAAAACGGATGCATGAAAAGTAAGCTTTATGCCTCATTCTCACTTGCGCGAAATTAGCTCTTTCTTTGACATTGCTACGACAATTTGACGTTTTCTGCAGGTATAAAATGTCAAATTGTCGAATGTTAAAAAAAAGCGAATTTCGCAAGTAAGCTTTATGATGATACACACTACTATACTATATTATACTACAGGATAATCTATCCTCATATGGCCTGGGTACAGTGGCTAAATAAACCTTTACATACAGTGGCGACAATAGAGTTCCCGCCGCCATCTTGTTCCCAACCTCCTGTTAGTTTCAAATATTAATATATAAGATTTAAATAGACATCTATCATAAAAAATTAAAATATTTGATGACCATTATCAGGTTCATCAAATACGTTGTTTTCCATGTTTTATGATGGATGTTCACCTAAATCCTATATATTCATATTTAAAAGTAACAAGAGGTTGGGAACAAGATGGCGGCATTTTCAATATAAACATATGGGATTTTTGAACCAATCAAAAATGAGACCGCAATTGTCGCCACTGTGGTAATAAAGTCACTGTAGGCCTGGGTGGAACAAATTCCCCCCTTCCCTACCCCTCAAGCCAAATCACCAGTTGTGACGTAGACCCAACCTTGAACATCGACTATGAATACGGGCCTATAAGGAACTCCTGAACTGCTCTAGAGCGCCCTGGGCCGGAATTCTGGTTCTCAAAAACGCTCACCGCTTTCTAGTCGCTCAGCACTTTAAATGCAAATTTACATTGAAAGTGCCGAGCGACTGAAAAGCGGTGAGCGTTTTCGAGAACCAGAATACCAGCCCTGGACTGTTTATATATTTTTTAGTGCATAGAGTTTCGCGCAACTGAACTGTTCGTTTTTCCTCTCACCTGCGCTCTCAAGCACCTGAAATTTCATGGGTGTATCCAGAGATAGGTGCATCAAAAACACGGATGCCTAAAAGTATAGGGTGCGTTCCAGTGACACAATAATTGTTTGGGGCACCAGAGTGTGAAGCTACGAGTGTGGAGCACCTTGAAATTTGTCACTGGGAAAGCGGCTAAGATTGCTCATCCTAATAAAGCGTACGCTCGCCAGTACTCGAATCGACAGCTGGTCTGCGTGTGACGTCACCAATATTAGCAGCTGATAGTGGTGACATCACCCGCATACCTCGATTGATTGTTTGCGATTCAGGCTGTGATTGTGAGTTAATTTTTTTCGTCGATCTCAAATAAGGTACGGTTGGTTAGGACAGTGCGCGGCACACGTTAATTAAAATTCATCAGCAAGGCACAGTGGAAAATTGAAAATTAGCTGCCAGAAATAGAACTGTTGACAATTCCGCTGTCAAATAAGGTAAAAATTTTCAGGATGCCAACTTAATAGTTATATACAAAAATTTCCTATGATTCTGGTTATTTGAAATATCGCAAAGTACGGAAAAATTATTGGAAAACATGTAATTAGGCGTATAAGTTGATGTTTATTGTGGTTTCGGATTGCGAACCCACGATCAAGAACTTATTTCTAATTACAGATCACATTCCGAACGGAATAGACTGACTCCGAACCAGTTTCGAACTAATTCTAATCTAGACTCAGGGTTGTCCTACCGATTTCAAACTTATGGCTTGGTTATTGGTTAAATATCAAGAGCCCAAGAAAATAGTTCAGAATCGAACCGGAACCGATTCTTGTTGAACCATGAGCTAAGAACTGGGCCCGGATTTTGAACCCACGATACGATAGATCGCCTAATTATAAATATAGATAGATGGA